GGTCCGAAACGCGCGCGCGACGGTGTGGTGTCTGCGGCAACGTCGGACACAACTCTAGAACCTGTCAAGTAGTGATTACTTCGTCTGAAGAAGAGGAATTTAAGTAGTTACAAACATTTCTATGCGTTGTGGTTGCGTGTAGGTCAAAAATGTCGAGGTGGTCGGGTTGAGGTGTTTCACTCGCTTGTCTGTTTCACTCGCTTGTCTGTTTCACTCGCTTATCATGCACGTTATAGCTAGTACTACTACTATATAATGTAGTACTAGTACCTTGCCTTTTAGATTAATACTATATAATGTAGTACTAGTACCTTGCCTTTTAGATTAATACTATATAGGCGGTACCTCTATATTATTAATACTAGTAGGTACTACTACCTACTTAATATATATATACACTAGATAGTACTAAGGTGCGAGGCCCCTAGCGATCAATTAGGGTTCGATCTATAATCGATTAGGGTTCGATTAAGGTTCGATGCTAGATCAAGGATCGTACCTCGATCACTATAGAGATCACACCTTAATCAGTAAAGAGATCAAGGATCATACCTAAATCTCTATAGAGATCACTAAAGAGATCAAGGATCACATCTAAATCACTATAGAAATCACTAAAGAGATCAAAGATTACACCTAAATCACTATAGAGATCATTAAAGAGATCAAAAATCACACCTAGATCACTATAGAGATCAAAATCACTTTATACTTAGAGAATTTTAAAATTTTACTTTTTACTAAAATAAGGCTATATTATTAAGACTACCGAAAATATAGAGTAAATATAGTAGAAAAGGTATAGTAGCCTAGTAGTATAGGCCTCGCTTTATTAATAAAATACGAAAAAAAAATAAAAATTCGATGTTTAGGCGAGTTAAACCCACGAGCTTTTTTTTTACTAGTTAGTATAGAAGTGTTGATCGCTAAGTAAGGATCGATAGACGATTAAGAGAAAATTAGTAGATAATCAATAGGTAATTAGGTAGGTAATCAGGTAGGTGATCGATTAACCCGTGAGAAAATCAGTATTTTAAGCCTACGATCGTCTAATCGATCCTTACTCGATCACCTATTAATCACCTACCTGATTACTTATTGATTATAGTCCTGATTGCCTATCGATCTCTACTTGATCACTTATAGGAGGGCAGGGTAGTATATAGTATATAATATAATCAGTATAATACTATGTACCTAGTACTTAATATGTAGTATCTATATACTATGATCTAGTAATCCCTACTTGATTATAAGATCATAGACTTAAAATACTAATTTTCTTAAAAATTATATATCTTATACTACTATTCAGACTATTAGACCTGCCGTGGCCGCGCCCTTAACGGAGGTACCTAGTAAATTTAAATTTTTTATATTTTATTTATAAAGCGACGACTATACTACCTCTACTAAGGTGACCTCCTCTAAGTGATCGACTAAGAGTCTAATCTAGGTCTAATCTACATAATCTAGGTTTGATCCGGGTTTGATCCGGGTTTAATCCGGGTTTAATACGGATCGAGCACGGTATAGACACGGTATAAACACGAAATCAATACGGTAGTAACACGGTAGTAACACGGTATCAACACGGTAAAATTACTAGGTAAGGCTACTAGGCACTAGGTACCTCCTACTAACTAGGTAGTACCTAGTACTAGTATATACTAGTAGAAAAGGTATAGTAGCCTAGCGGTAGTTAAATAGGTACGAATAAAAAATATAAAGTCGATGTTTAAACCTACGACCTTTTTATAGTACTTCTTAATTAAGTATAGATTAATATAGTAGGTAGTCGATAGGCGATTGATAGATAATCAATAGATAATCAGGTATATAATCGATTAGGATCTGATCGACCTTGAGAAAATCAGTGTTTCAAGCCCGCGATCTTCTATCGATCACCTACTTGATTACCTATCGATCACCTACCTGATTATCCATTGATTATGATCCTGATCGCCTATCGATCCTTACATACTTGATCACTTGTAGGAAGGCAAGGTACTATATAGTAGTATGTAGTCTTATGTCTCTTATGTCTCTATAAGCTTTACCACGGTACAGTCCCAGGCTCTCCGCAGACCTTCCCAACATCTTCATCTCGATCTCCTCGGATGACTGAGGCAACACGTTCACCTCCAACATATGGTTCGGGAGCGCCTCTTTGTCTCAGCTCTTCGGTGTTCATAAGGTTGGTAGCATTCAAGCCAGGATCAGCACCGAAGACTTTAAAGTTCTCCTTCTGTAAATCAATCCAGTACGACACCATCAGGAAATTCAAGGCTGCCTTGCTAGAGCGATACGGTTTTCCGGCTCCGATGTGGTGGCGAGAGGTTGGGTCGGCTAGGATTGAGATGGATCCTGTGCTAGATGACACAAATACAAGTCGTGGTTCTGAAGACTTGCGCAGGGCCGGGAGGAATGCCTCGGTGGTGCTCACGACACCAAAAAGATTGACCGCATACACCTCGCGGAAGGCGTCTCTCAAGACTGGGTTCTGGCTGAAAATGCCAGCGTTGTTGACCAAAACATCTAAACGACCATATGCTTGGATGACTTCTTCCGCGGCCGCGTCCACTGATTTGTCGGACGTTACGTCGATTTGAATGCTCGAAACAGTGCCTTTAATTGGGCCGGACTGTAGCTGCGCGACAGCTGCCTCACCCTTCGCCACGTCTCGACTGCCCAGCAAAATGTGATATTTCTCAGACGAGTATACGAGGTTCTTGGCCGTCTCGAAGCCGATGCCGTTGTTTCCTCCTAATCAAATATGGATCAGCATGTTGAACACTATGATCGGGGAGTTGTAGGTAAGCCCTAACCAGTAATAAGGACAATGATCTGAGGTGAAGCCATGACTGATTTTCTCGGGCCAATGCTTATTTTTGACTGCAGTGATCTCGTCGGTTCAGCAGCGAAGCGAGTACCATACATAGTATATGTCCAAAGTACATACTAGTATGTACGGATATACAGGCGAAATCGGAGATAAGAGTCGCAGTGGAGGTAAAGGGTCCCGTTCCATCTCTTAAAGCCGCTCTATTTCCATGAAGTATGTAATCTTGCAAGAGAGGGTGTCAGGCTTCGAGCAGCAGGTACTACCGTAGGATCCATTATCAACTTTGTACCGATGCTCGTCACGCGACGCCAAGCTTGACAGGCGTGTACAGAGGCACGGTGCGGTCTCACTTCTTCACAAGCCCAGCTTCCCATGCAAAGGACGAAACAAGCTGAGCCTGTTTTTCAAAAACCTGCAGAAGAACTCCATGAAATTCTGGTCGGACGTCCGTGCAGAGATCTTCCAAGACGACGAGGCTACAATCCATATTGGCTGCCTGTCGGACGGTGGAAAGAACGGCGCCGCTTGAAGCCATCCCGGTGATAACCAAAGCGTCTATATTAAGACTCCGAAGTGTGATGTCAAGATCGGTTCCATGAAATGCAGATACACGGTGCTTGGTTATGATGATGTCGCCTTCTAATGGGGCAACCGCGGAGTGGACTTGGGTTGATGTACTTCCTTCCACGAAAGAGCCCTCTTTTGAAGCTCTCACGAACGATAAATTTCGCGGACTGATTTCCGGATAACCAGGGCGGAACCCTGTAGTAACATAGATGATCTTGATGTCCGCCTCCCGCGCCGACTTGATTGTCTGGGCGAGACGTTCCAGATAGGGATCTAGATTTTCGAGGGCTGGGACGATGCCGTTCTGGATGTCCAGGACTAGGAGAGCGGTGTTTCCCATTGTGTTGAGTGCTTGGTCGAGGGTTCGCTCTAGGACGGCTAGAAATCACAGTTTAGGACGTGTTGAAGGGCTGCTGGGAAGTTATATGAACTTCAAATTCAGGCCCGGGTTGTGACCCATGGATGACTTGTGTAGAACTTTGATTGGTCAAATGACGTTCTGATGCCTGGGCCGGGGCCGGTGCGGGGGCCTGTGCCGGAGCTAGAACCGGAACTAGAACCGGAACTATCTTATCGTTCTTGCATAATTTACCAGTACATTACAATATTCGCCAGCAACAGATTTCGCAGATGAGAATAGAAGCATACGTCTGGCCTCGTACCAAATGGAGCAACATAGGTATCTCGGAGAATTCTTCTCCCCAGAATCGAATCTCGAAAAGAGCCACCAAGTACTTCAAGTAGTACTAAATCCCGAACCTGCCGCCGCCGAGCATACGAGTGGAAACGAAGATACAAATGGCAGGAGCAGAGAGACACATTGAACAGCAAGTTCATATTGCTGTCACACAAGACGCTCTTTCTCAATTTGGAGTCCGAGATAAAGAGAATGTATCATCAACCGCTTCGCCCATCTCTGCAGAGAAACTACTTTCCAGCCCTCAACTTGATCGCCAAACACTTGCTTGAGCGTCACTACTACCAAGCTAGATCTTCAAGGATTGGCGCCGACTTTTGTGTGCGACCAGCCTACATTTTTTGCGCAGTCATCTACTGTATGTACCTTATCGTGGCCATCATCGGGCTTGCCGTCAAAAACACTGCAGTTACCCCGGCGCTGATGGTGCTTCGATGCTTGACAATGCTGTTATGGCTGACATTGTCACTTCGTCGAAGCGCTATACATCGCCTACACGAGTGTCGCGCCGAGCGTTTTATTTCACCTTTTGGTTCCTGGCTATCCTCGCCGCTACAGCTTTTGTCCGCTCAGAATGTGACGGATCCGGGAAGGGAAGCTGAATTGGTCCCTGGTCACCACAATCCACAACAAGGGAAAGGCGGCATGAGAAGGCCCAGCCCCAGTCCATGGGACAAAGGCTGACGAATTAAAGCAGGGCCGTCGTCTCCGGACCCCGAATCCACTTATGATGTTCAAGTCTTTCCCAGAAAGAACGCGGACCGGCTCTGCCTTATCTGGTGATTGTGTACCAGAGTCTGGCTTCCCACTGCAGTCCGCCAAGATATACGGTGCAGATCGCTCTGCTCCATTTGGGTGCGGAGCAATAACCACCGCTGTATGCATCATTCACTCGAGGTTTGATCAAGCATCATGCAAGCAACTTACTAAGCTGGTCTACACCGACTTTTTCATTAAGCGGCCCGCCCATCCTTTTCGTTGGTTCATAGTAGTACTGTAGGCTTTAGCCAAGACTCTGAAGCATTATGTAATTGATCCTACTAGGTACTTTGTACGACTAACAATATATATGATTACAGTCTCAATACAGTGAACTTACTAGTATTAGTACTATACTATAGTATATTACTACTTATTGGTGTACCTATTACTGTATATTGAAACACTATATATATTAAATTTAAACCGGATTGAAACCGGATTAAAACCGGATCAAAATCGGATCAAAACTACCTATGTAGATTAAAACTACTATATATATACTAGGTATATTAAAGCGATCTAGTAGTACTAGGTACTACTTTTATATACTACTAGTACTATCCCCTAGATCGTGGACGGCGCTCTATGCTTCAGAACGCCGATTTTTATAAGAAAAGTCGATCATGTAGTAGATAAGAAGATACAGCGGGGGCCTCAGCCCGCTGCCGCGTTGGATACTAGTATGGATGCAAGGATTGTCGGACACGGGACCCGATGTGATTCCTTTTCCGGGCATTTCCCCTTCCCTAGGAAAATGTCCAGGGTACAGGGTTGAAAGGTCGACCAATTACCTTAAGCGCTGAACAGCTTATCAGGACAGCTTCTGTAGAGCCTTGTACATATGCGCGGCGTCGTGCACTGCATGTGTCTTGCATGAACACGCAGCTTGGAGCCGGCCCATGATAGGCCTACTTCGAGTCTGTGACTGGGAGATTCCCATCCATTCCATGATCTGGAGGATTGAGAGAATTCGCCTCAATTCGTCGTACAAAGCCCTCCCTTTCCCCCTTCCCCAGATGTGCAGAGCCACCTGAGGTATAAAGCAACTAGGGGAACTGCCCTCGTTAGTCCTGCGCACAACGTCTCGTCCACTCGCTCGTTGCAAGATCTTTCCTAGTCACCTCACCATCCATCGGGCGTAGGGTACCACTCAGCCACCATGCGTTTCCCATCCATCGTCGTCGCCGTCGCCGGCATCAGCACGGCTGTCGCTGTTGCCATTCCAGGCAATACTAACGCACTCGTGGGCCGGAGCGCTGTCTGCGGTGGAAGCCTCGCTGCACTTTGCTGTGCCACTGATCTACTCGGCCTCGCTGACATTGCCTGCACATTCCGTAAGCTCACCATCTTCTGAAATTGAATGCTGAATTCAGAACAAAGTGCTGACCATCGTGTCGGGGAAAAGCTCTCATTCAGCCCGCGAATGTCGGCAACTTCACGTCCATCTGCGCGGCAATCGGTCAACGGGCTCGATGCTGCTTGCTGCCTAACGTGAGTCAAGTTCCTCCAGTCCTGAATATAACCATGCACCGGTGGTGTTCGAGCCGTTGACTAACTTGTCCATTCCATCAATAGCTCGAGCATGGCCTCATCTGCACAAATCCTTCGTGAATGCTTCACCATCCAGCTTGACCAGGCCAAGAGACACAAGGCCCATGAAAGGAAAACAATCCCATTTTCTCACAGTCATTCTTTATTTTGCAAGGTCGGCGCTGCTGGCGCCGCAACATCGTCTCCGCAAACACCTTCGAGGGGGGTAATGTAATGTTGTCGACTGGTTGTTGGAGAAAATCGGGTTGGAAGAAGCAAGTAGTGTTTGCAAATGTGTCCTGTTAGTATAGTACATAGTATACGAATAGTTCCCCTCTCGAAACTTGCCAACGAGAAGGTTTCATTCAGCACGGTGACCAGGTGATCGATCTGTCATCATTGCACTCGAGGACGGACAGGTATGTCCATACCGAATATTGCCATACCGGACAAGAGTCTGCGGAGCTGGTAACAAACAGCACAAGTGGCTCCGGTTGCGAACATAGATCAGGTGCTGAACACTGGCTGCCACCTCCAGAAGCATGGTATGATCTTTCAAGTGCAACAGCAGGGCCTGTTGCAGGGGTACGTTGGCAGTTGTCTGGTGAGTTCGAGTTCTCCCTTCCCGGGGTGGCAGGCAGGGGGCACTGTTTTCACTTGGAGTAGATCATTCATCGTTCCCTAGATTCCAACCAAGATAAGATACATGGCACAGTCGTAAAACCGACAACTCCCCCTTAGGGAGGTTCCCCCAACATGACAGCCGTAGACCAAAGCATCATAGGTATCGTCGTAAAGCCCATCCAATCGGCGCACCGAGGTGGTGAAAGAAAACAAAATCCGTCAAAGGCATCGCTTCATAAAGCAGCTGTTAGGCACAGAACGTAACCCAATCGCCTATTTAATATGAACATCACAACTGTGATATAACCCTTCCATCCGTCCGTAGATGTAACGGAAACGAATGAAATGCACCCATTTAGGGCATACTCGTTTGAACAAAAATGTCGTCTCACTTTCGTAGAGACGTTCGTTTGGTTGCGCCTTGATCAACGTACATGGGCCGGCTGGTCGTCGGGGCAAAAGACTGGTGAACCTCTTTTTGAGCATCGGAGCGCCGCTCCGCTCCTAATACACATCGTCCTCAAAAGGGTGCGTCTTTTGAGGTCTCGTCATGGTCGGAAGATGCGGGGTAGATCAAAAGGCATAGCGCGAAGGCGAATGCCGTCGTAAGTAAAGCGCCCAAGAATGAATTAATGTGGAAGCATATACTGCAGGACATGAAAGTGACCGGTCAGCTCAACGCTAAATTCAGTGGAAGGCGGATAGTATTCCGGATGCAACTTGTAGGACGGGGTTCATCGTCACCGGCGCTTGGGAGCACAAGGGGAGATTTCCAAAGGGCTACTCTTCAATCGGCATCGTAGGTACCCGTCCTCAAATACGCATAGACGTAACGATTGTCTCATGGTCTTTCGTCGGATATTCCATATACATGGATCATCGGAGTGTTTACACCATCTGAAGTGCAAGTGATACCTGACAGGGGTCGAACGGGAGGAGTTCGCCGCAACGTTTGCGGTTCCGGCTCAGGATACCCTGGCGTAGTCCCGTGGGTTGTATCGGTACTGCTGCAGCGCGGGTGACGAGCTAGGATTCGGGTCTGGTGTCGACCCAGGCGAACGCTGCGGTGGACCTGCTGAATGGTTCGGAAGAGATCCGTTGCTGGCGGGTAACTCTGCGACAAAGGATCGTTTGTCGAGGCCCGGGGAAGCCATGTTGCCGCTTTGGTCGTAGGAGCTTGGATGCGAACTGACGGAGCCTGCGTAGCTTTGTCGGTCCGATGCACTGCTGTTGTGGAGCGGGAAATTGCTCTGGTTGGGTGAACTGGCTGAGAGTTCGGAGACGGTCTGGGAGAAGCGGTTGGGTAGAGCCAGCCGCGTCGACTGCTCTGCCACGTAGGACGTGCTGCCGGGCATTTCGATGGCGAGGCCCTGAGGAGGCGCGAAGCTGTTGGTCGGATTGTTGCTGCCATACTGGGACTGTCTGGCGTAGGCGGAGGAGTATTGGTACCCCGGCGACATGGGAGGCTGTGGGATATGCGGCTGGTTCGGGGACAGGAGGGATGGGGAATAGTGCCCCGACGAGGACTGGAATGTCTGCGACCTATCGGCCGGGTTCATGGTCTTGAGTTTTCCGTCCTCCATCATGGCGCTGAGCTGTCCCGAGTCGATCAGCTCGGCTTTCTTGACCAGGCGGTCGACCATGATCTTGGAGGCAGCTTTGAGCTCCTTCTTGACAAAGGAGATCATTGCGGGATTGCATTTTATTTCTATATCCTCCCTCAGGTAGAGTCCCTCGGCAGGCGCACCACTTCCCAGTTCCCTAGACTCGGGAGGTTCACCGGGCTGGTTGCCTCGAATCTGCCATTTGTTGCGGATGTCCACCCCCATGGGCGCATAGACGTGTGTCTGCAGTCCCCATGGCATGTCGTGGAACACACCCTTGAACGATATCTTGCCCGACCCCATCCTCCCCATGCCCGGCACATATTGTATCCGTTCAGTGATCTCGTACCAGGTGGAAAAGTATTCGTCGGCGGGTGCATTCTGAGGAGCCTTGATCGCGGTGAAACCGAGCACGAGCGGGTTCAGTTCGATGATCTCGCCGTGACTGTGCAGCATGTCGATGGCCAATTGGCGGGGAATGTGCGGGGGGATCGGGGTGATGTTCGCGTAGACAGATTTCTTCTTCATGTCGAGGGTGGTTAGGTTGGCAGAGGCAGGGAGATGGACGGACTGGCGCAACCGGATTAGAAGGTGCCTGGGAGCGTTTCCGACACGGAAGTCGAAGCTGGAAGGCGACAGATACTAGTATGTCAGACCTATGCAGGAAGGAGTGGCTGAATGGTGACTAATGGGGGAAGCTGACAACCCGTGCAGGGATGCGATGGCGATCGTGAGGCCGAAGCCGCGGGGTAGGACTCGACAGAGGACGCGACGATAGGGCGGCCAGGCTATCGCAATGCCTCCGTGCAGGTTGACGATGTCAGGAGAATGTTCTGAACGGTGGGATCAGATGTAGCGCAACCCAACGACGTGGGCGCAGTAGTACTATTAGTAGTACGGAGTACGGATAGTTAGTAGGATACAGTAATCCTAATAGTGGGTATAAGGCCAACCATGGTGTGGCCGCGATTATAGCATGTATCTTATGTATACTACCACACAGCCCCCAGCCGTGCGGAGTCGACGCCAGCTGCCTATAGAGTATTTACTGAGTCCATAATTTGGAAGCTTGCGGCGCAGATGGTGGGCCTGAGTTCGTCGGCTACAGTGGCGGAGTCGTATCGACGGAGTAAGCAGCAAGGCGCCTCACAATAGTATCTCATTTTCTAGTCGCATCTGGCGCGTGTTATTGACTCTCTGCTTGACTCTGTTCTGTCTGATCCGCCGCTCTCGGATGGGAGGATCCCCTGGAACTGGATCTCGAACCGGACCTGGGGAAGATAGTGGTTCGACCATCTTCGCTACTCCTAGAAGTCGTCGTTCATATACCGCTGCAGCCATGCGTTTCTCCCGATCCACGATCGAATCTTCTTTCCGAAAATCCTGTCTCCAATGTCAGCATGGTGCATTCAAATTGCGTGGGGAGGCTGTAGTGGTCAATTTACTCACCATAGTGGAATGGTCAAGGAGCACACAAACAAGAAGAGCCCCCCTAGGATGCAGAACACCTGCAGAGCCCCGTCACTTGCCAGCCAGTTGTTGACGAAATAGGTCAGCCCAAACGTGAGTAGATTTCGTGCATTGATAGCTACAAATGCCTCCTCGTTCAGTTTCGGGTAAGAGTCGATCACATAGCTAAACACACATGTCGCTGCGAACGCCAAACTCATGTTTGCAAGGCCAAAAGTCAGGACCGGCCCCGCCCAGTGTGTCTGATAGTGGATGGTTGCCCCAAATCCAAAGAAGCCCACAGTTCCCAGGACAATGACAACTATGATGAGAACCAAGCGAAATTCGGGTTCATAGATGCCCTTGTTCTTTTTCGTCAGATAGAGGCAAATCCAGTCGTTCAAGGGACCCGAGATAATCTCTCCAATCAGTGTCAGAATGAACGGCGACAAGCTGATGAGGCCAACCTGTGACACTGTGAAGTTGTACGGTGGCGCCACGAAGATGACTCCATTGACGACACTGAAAACGACAATCCAAGTCAGGGTGGTGCCATATATCAAAAAGCCCCAAAAGACGGCCGGGTAGAAAAACAAGATCATCGGCCGCGTGAAGATTTTGAACATGGGCGCGTAGCTGTGTCGCCCGGTAAAGATGCGCAACGACTGCCAGTATGTCAACTTGGGCTCGGCCGAACCCTGTGTCACGGAATACGAAAGGTGCTTGTCTTTCTCGCCACGAGCCTGGGAGACATCGTGTTCGTGGGCCAGGGCCATGTGGACGTGCTCGGCTCCAGCCTTCTCCTCGTCGCCCCTGACTGAATCTTGCACCGGCACAACGACCACCGCGTCACGACGGTAGGCGGTCTCTGGGACTAGAAAGAGGACGGCCAGCATGAGGACGCCGAAGAAGATGGCGCACACTCCGAAGGTCCACTTGTATCCGTCGTATTCGATAATGTAACCACTGACCAGAGCGCCACCAGCTATCCCGGTGAGAAGGAACAAGTTCCACACCGCTATGCGTGTAGCTCGCTCATGCACAAAGTAGAGGTCGCCTATCGTGCATTGAACCAGGACCTGGTAACACCGGTGAGCATCTTGTCGAACTCGCCCCAGTCAGGTACTCACCTCGTAAGGTGCCATGCCGACACCCGAGATGACTCGGCTTGCCAGGAACGAGTTATAAGTCTTGGCCTCAGCACCCCAGACACTGCAGGCGAACATGATGCAGATGGCCAGAATGTAGATGGGCCTTTTCCCGTATATCTTGGCCAGAGGGTTGGTGAGAAATAACCCAAGGCCGATCGTCAGAATGAGCCATGCCGTAGACTGAGACAAAACCTCCACGGAAATGTTGAGCTGGGCAGAGACCTCGACGAATCCTGGTGACAGCATAGGTCCGAAAGCGCCCACCACGGCAGCAGAGAGGCCGACAATCAGAAGGATCATTTCCTTCTTCCACTGAGGCCAGTTCAAAGGGTCGTTGGGCGAGTCTGAAGGCTGAGGGATCAGGATGATGTTGGAGAATCTTCCTTTTCCATGCTTCAAAAGCTCTCGAGGTACTTCGCTATACTCGGGCGGCAAGTCCTCTTGGTCGCTCATGAAGCTGCAGCACAGTAAGAGTAAGTCGCTGGATGGCAGAAGGCTCGCTCGGGGGGTCACGCAGACTTACGCGGTGCCAGGCACCACCTCCAGCTTCTTGCAGTCAAGGATTCCAAAAGGCATCTTGCCGGAGCAGGTATTTCCGTATGCGAGCAATGTAGGCAGGGAAACCAGCACGGTAGAGGGGGTTGATTTAAATGCAACAGTCTTAGACCAGCGATCAATATTAAATCATTTACCGAGTCTCGGCATCGGCTAGGTGCTAGCAGGGGCCTGTTTCTCCATGATAGTCATGCGAGAAGGGAGGTTCCCTCTTCCGCCTAGTGTGAAAGTAACTTTTTGGTTCGGTTTATGAACGTGAGTTGCATCCTCTTGGCTGCAGACATCACACATGAATCGAACTGGAGCATCGTGAAGGGCTGGAGTTGGCGCGAATAGGCTTGAGATCACTTGTGTTGACGTTGAGTTGGCTGGGACAAGGCGGCAGCGGAATATTCCCACTGAGTCGGGTATTCATCGTACGGTCCCAGACGACCCTGCTTGAGAACCCCAGGTCTGCCCCGGATTCGGTTTACCCCAGCCACGCCATTCGGGGTGAACGGGGGTTGGTAGCGCATACCCGCTCATGGCAGAGTGGATTGCAGTTCACTCTGGTATCATGAATATGTCTACCTTCTCTTGTTGGCGGTGCTCGTTCCGATGGCCGTATAGGACCGCTCGGCAGTTGACTGGAATTGCAAGAGATGTAGCGCCTCTGCATGTCTTGTTGTCGACCTCTCCAGCTCCAGCCCCTCTTTTGATCCTTCGAGGATAGGATTAAGCCAGCATGGATGGAGCTGTAACCGAGGCTCAGGGGGAGGGTTCGGGATGAAACTTCAACTTCGGCTATCTCGAGGCCAGATTTGTCACAGCATGGGCGAGAAAGCAAATCAGCGGGAACTGTAGCTGCAGCTTTCTTGCTACAGCCTCGTCCCCTCGAGTGGACGGAGACTCGACAAACCTGGAGATCAATGTTGCCGTCCGCACAGAAATGACGGCCTCAGTTGTCTAGCGGCGTGGCGGTCACTGTACGGAGGATGGAGTACAGGGTACGGAATACTGATGTTCGAGTGTCTGTGGTGCGAGTCGATTGAACCGCGTCACGTGGCCGGTGATTTCCTTTCCTGCCAAATGACAACGACACTCAAGTTCTAGGACTCTATCTCATTGCATTCCTATGTGTATCCCAATCAGCGTGCACGTTGCCCTGTACCCAAGCATGTTGGTCAATTCCCTTGCGCTCGCACCGGTTGGATCCCATTCGTCTCTGGGCTCCGCCACGCTGTCGGTGGTGAGCTGACGGCTGTACCGTGGCTCAACTTCTTCAAAACATCCTCGACCACATCATACGCATGGGGTTCTGCATCGAAATCAAGCAACCATGCCTCCCGCTTGAGATGCAGCGACTTCGGGTCCTTCCAGATCTTGTCCCAATCGGCCTTGTGCCATTGCTCGCGCGTTGTGACCCCCGTTTTCTGGGCTCGGTGCACCCGCTCATACCGGATAGCCTCGTACGCCCGAATGCCCAGCGGTACGTTTTCTTTGCCCGCCTTCTCGAGGGTGATTGCGAGCGTCACTCCATCTTCCATGGACTGACTGGCCCCTTGGATCGAGGTGGGAAGGAAAGGATGCGCGGCGTCACCGATCAGCGCGATCCTCGCCTTGGGCGAGATGAAGGTTGGTAGCGGGTCGCGAAACACGAGCTTGTAGTCCACGAGCCGATCTGGCGGAGTGGCGTCTACAATGTCATGCACGACTGGCGCCCAGCCGACCAGATTCCGCCTGACCTCTTCTCTGTCCCCAGGGAACTGCCAGTCTTCGTCGATGTCGGCGTCGTCCTTGTGCGTCAACACCCAGCTGAATTCCTTTCCATTCTTGATGGCCGCTGCTAGGAAGTGTTTGTCTTCGCCGATCTGCGACTGGAAGTCAGCACTGGGGGATATATCGAGGCTCCGGTTCTGCAACGCAGGTTGAGAATGGAGGTGCTTACCCAACCAGTGTGCGAATCTCCATTCACCACCAGATGTTTCGTCCTCTCGTTCTTGGCAAGTTCATGGGAAGAGAACCACGTGCGATAGACGGCATAGCCTGAGGGCTTTGGTCGGTCCTCATAGCCCAATACAATCTTCCTCCCGGGAGATTTGACGCCTTCAGCGGACACCACACAGTCTGCTGCCAGTCTCTCTCCATTTACCACGACTCCTGCTTCCGAGTCGGTCTCGAAGTAGTCGGTGACATGCTGGCCGAGTCGAATGTCGATTCCCCTGGCTCTGGCATGCTCGTACACGACCAGGTGAATCTCGCCTCGGTGGCCGTTGATCCGTCTCCCCCATTGCTTGTCGGCGTCCCATGTTTGCCTGGTGGCAAAGTTCCCCTTCCAGTCGTGGAAATCCAGTCCCTCGCTATGGTGGCTGATAGGCTCGAGCTTGTCAACGACGCCTTCCCATCTCTCAAAGATGTGGCCCGAGTTGGATGCGAAGCTGATGATGTCTCCTAAGGGCTTCAGCTCCACAACCTTCTCCAGCAGTATCACCGAGTGCCCTTTCCGGTCACACTCGATGGCCGCGCAGAGTCCCGCGAACCCAGCACCGACAATGATCACCTTGATCCCGGACGGTGGCAGCCTCGCGTAGCTTGGCATCTTCAATGTCTGCCACTGCATGCGAATATCGTGGAATGTATTTGTTGCACTACAGCCCGACGAACCGTGAGACGAACTGTGGGAGACCTCTGGTTGGTTCTGTGGCTGACAATTGTCTCTCGATTTATTTCGGTCGAGACGACAGCATTCGTTCCTGTTCCAGTCAGACACTCCATTACCCAACTCAATAACTCTTACAAATTACAAGTCCTCACAATATCACTTTTCAGTGGGGGTTTCTCCGCGATGTCTCGACAGCACAACTGCCGAGCTCCAGCGACCGAGTTGAGCTGGCACTGCCGTGGCATGCGTGGGCTTTCTCCGCCTCCGCAATCCATTGTCGCCCCACGAGGCGCTTGCTGAAGCACTACTACAGTCCAATGTCATTGGTCATTGAGCGTCTGAATGCGACCATCTTCTGTCCCGCCTTGCCCTCAGTGATCCGGGGAGACGTGCGCTCCTGGACATGCTTTCTTGGAGACCGAAGACAATTCGAGTTCTGTGACCTTTCTGGCAGTGTTGGCATAAAAGACCTTCGGAGAGGTTGCCCTCTACACCTTCTTACGGACTAGTTGACCGCAACTCTCCTCCATCTTCCATGGCTTGGTCTACCGTCTTTATCGCCTGGTCTACCTGGACAGCCATCTTACTGCTAGGGGTCACCGGTGTCCTCATCCACGATGTGATCTTATGGAAGCGTATGCCGCCGGGTCCGCAGCCGTTGCCATTCATCGGGAACAAACTTGACGTGCCCCAGAAATACCCCTGGATCAAGTTCCGAGAATGGTCGCGCAAGTACGGCCCAATCTACACGGTCTGGTTCGGCCGGCGACCGACGGTGATCATTTCTGACCCCGTTGTCGCGGTGGACTTGCTCGAGAAGCGATCCCACAAGTACAGCTCGCGACCGAGGTTCGTCGTCATGGGCGAGATCTTCTGGGATATGTCGAGCATCCTGGCCCAACCGTACGGCAAAGACTGGTCGGTGCGGAGGAAGGCATTGCACAGTGTACTCACCCAGCGTGCCCTGCAGCACTACAAGCCTGTGCAGGAAGCAGAGGCAACTCGTCTATGCCAGCAGCTGCTCCAGCGGGCCGTGCCTGACGACCTCGACGACCTGCTCAATCGCTACACAGCATCAATCGTGTTTACTATTGCCTATGGGCATCGCATCGACAGCATGCAGTCGCCCATTATCCGCCAACGGATGAAGATCATGCACTGGAACGCCACGGTCAACGTGCCTGGCAGGTATTTGGCCGAGTCGTTCCCATTTCTCAAGTATGTTCCCGACATGTTCGCCCCGTGGAAGCGTGAAGTCAAGTCATGGGGGCTGGAGGAGGCTGCCGCCAACGCTCAGCTGCTGGATTATGTGCGCGAGGACATGGAGAACGCCAGGAAGCCCGGGGCTCGCCCCTTGCCAAACAGCCTGGCGAAGCAGCTGCTCGAGGCGCGCGCTGAGAACCCGGCGGCGTTCGCATTGCTCCGCAAACGTGATTTTGCCAGCTTGCCGTCTTCAGTGTTCGGTGCAGGGGCCGACACCACGGCATCCACGCTGTCGTCTGCAATCCTGGCCATCGTCACAAACCAAGAAGCCCTCGCTGCTGCGCACGCCGAGCTTGACGCCGTCGTTGGCACGGATAGGCTGCCCGCATTCACCGACGAAGCGGCACTGCCTTACATCCGGGCGCTCTGCAAAGAGGCTCTGCGCTGGCGCCCCGTCGCCGTGCTGGGTGGGACGCCGCACGCCAGCACCGAGGCTGATGTGTACCAGGGCTACTACATTCCCAAAGGCACCAACATCCTGGGAAATAGCTGGGCCATCAACCTGCATGAAGAATACTACCCGAACCCGGACCGCTTCAACCCTCTGCGATTTTTGGATGTCGATCCGCACGAGCTAGGTTACCTGCCGCCATCCTACCTGGCCAGTACGCGTGTAGAAACGGGCCGCCCGCACCCCAGCAAGCTCGGCCACAGCAGCTTCGGCTGGGGCCGTCGCATCTGCCCCGGCGCCGATCTAGCATCGAACAACCTGTTCATTGCGGTCGCCCGCATGCTGTGGGCCTTCGACATCAGGCCCATCAAGGGCGTCGTCTATGACACCTACAACTACACTGACGGATTCAACAGTCGTCCGAACCCGTTCGAGTGCGAGATCATGGTTCGCAGTCAACGGCATGAGGAAGTCCTGAGGGCCGCGTTCGTTGATAGTCAGGACTATCTGGAGAGTAACTTCCCGCTTTTCAAGGAGCATGAGATCGTGGTTTGAGAACATTGATCATCTGGTGAGGACAAGAGGGCCGCAGCACGGTTGATCGTGCTAGTACTCTGAATGTGGTTTGGATGTAAATAAGATGCGCAAGAAGTGGTAACGGTCACCTCGCGCCTTGCATCTTTTTGATTCGTTCTTCAGCAGCTCTTGCTCTCCGTTCCCTTTCGAGCCTCATTCTCATTTCGGGCGTCAAGCCTCTCACCTCTTCTTCACGCTTTTCTGCACCCGTCTTCTCAATGGCGGCAGCGAGCGACTTGCCCGCACCAGCTTTTCTTTCTAGCCGGTTTACATTCCGCTGCTCTTCTTCTTGCCGGATCTGTTCCAGCTCGGTTTGTCGTCGTCGAGCTTCAGCAGCGGCCGCTGCTGCTTTCTCCTGCTGGGTTTTTGCGTCGGCCTCTTCTTGGCTTAGGGGGGCCGGGACGCGCGCTGAGGACCAGTCGAAGGCGTTGTTCCCAAGTTGGTGACGGCCAATTCGGAACGCATCTCTCGTTTTGGTATCGCCTGCAATTTCATACGGCGTCTTGCCATCTCCGTTTTGGATAGTCGGATCCGCCTTGGCCTTTGTGAGCAAGGCCAACACCAGCGCAGGAGAATTGATCGCTGCGGATAGGTGTAGGGGTGTGGGTGCGTGGTGATGCTCAGAGGGGGGAAAGAAGATAAAATTCGGCGAGAGTTCGTTCTTGGTCAAATATAGCAGCACTCCAGGAGCTTTCGACCGCCGGATCAGTGCCTGTAGTTGAGAAGTGTGGAATTGTGCAGTCTCGTCCTCCTTGCTAACCTTTGGTGCCGAGGCTTTCGCTTTGGGCTCTTTCGGAGCAGCCCTCCCGACAGGCTGCTTTTCACTGGGCGGCTCGACGAACTTGCCCACCTTCAACCTTGTGAGCTCATGAAACGACCGGAGAAGTTCGGCTTGAGTGGCCCGACGTGTACTGAAAGGGAATCCACGTATACGTTTGTCATTGCTCTTTAACACCTGGCCGTCGTACGGCCCAAATAGTGTTCTCCTGTTTGCGCTCCCGGTGGCTCGAATGAAGAGCAACTCTGCGCTGTTGATCTTTTCTCTCCATTCAGTCAACACATTCCTGATATCAGCCTCCAGAGCCATCTCGTTATACCGCCGTATTGATGAGCCCGCCGAGTGTGCATTGCCCTTGGCGTTGTCGTTCGCAGATTGTGAGCCGCCTTGTTTTCGCCTCGTTGTGTATCGATGAAACGTTTTATGAGCCTTGACGACGGCGTGTCGTTCTTCTACTCCTCCGGGTCCCTTTCTCACTTCCGGTACTAGGGAGACAACCATGGCAGCGAAATGACCACCACCAATCATGCAGAGGAACCAGTGAGGATCGTGATGTGAAGGTTGAGTTGCATGTGATGGTTTTCCGCCTGTTTTCGCCATTGTCGGTGTCAGCTGTTTTCTGTTGATGATGTCTACTAACGACGTCGATGCATGTTCTTGTTCCTCGTTTGTAAGGATGGCCCGATACAAGCCTAACCCTACATCGTCGCCAACCTTTGGACTTGACAACCATAGGAGAGGCGCATTGCCGAGGCCAACTCTTTTTGTAGAGACTACATCATCATCTTCAACCTGTTGTGAAATCCTGGCTTGCTTCCGTAGAAGAACACTCAGTGTTGTATCTCCAGGCTTGCTCTCATCTTCATTTCCGTCCTCCGAGTCTTCGGAATCGGAGCCAGACAGCGATTCGTCCAGATCCCCGATCATCCTCACGAAAGTGGCTTCGTCTACAGGCGGTAAGTCTTTGACGCTCAATTTCAAATTGTAGCGGTGGAAATCGGACTTGACATGGAGCCGCTGATCTTGGACGTTGTCGAAGGAGACTCCGCACAAAGAACATGCGGTTGAGGTAGCGACGCTGTCATCGTCAGAAGCGGATTGTCGCCGCGATGACGAGTCTGGCTCTTCTGTCTTCGGTTGCTGTCCGCCCACAGGGGCAAGGCTATGGAGGAGTTCGGGGGGCAGATCGTAGACTACACGAATGTCAACGTAGTCCGGAGAGATGAAGGAGAGACTTTACCATAGAGGGGACGCCGCAGGAGTTGATGGGTATCATTTGCCTTTGCGGCCATCGTGGCTGCCACGCCCTCTCTGTGACGGGACCAACAAGCTTGCAAAGATCTTCCTTGTTTCCTCCTAGAACAAATAGTTGACGCTGTATGATGGCACAGGATGCCAGTCACCTACCAGTGGTCAGTGTGACTTGGCTCCGTCATAGTCTGGGACATGAGCGGCATGCATATCACGGGATTTCGTGTTTCGTGCCTGCGCTTGGCGCGTTGTCAGCCTTGCGCTTTGCCCGGATCAGGTACATAGTAGTAAAGCTGGCACCTTAGATCCATCACCTGGAGTACAACCATTTACTTGCGCAGCTGGTGCCTACTGCGCTCTGGCTCGCACTGTTTCACTCTCTGAATGTCTATAAGTTGCAAGGTGATCCTCCAAACCTCTCAAACCTGCAATTCTTCCTGACACGACCTCGTCGTTGACTGGTGCCAACATGCCTCGTATCAAAGCGCCCCCCCACGCCTCCACACTCTCTTTGACTGGCGTGGCTGTCACGTTCGCTTCGTACTCCCCCACCGCTCATACCTATTTTGACAGCAAGAACATCGCCCAGTTGAAAGCCGAGATTTCCAGATGCGGCGGACAGTACATCTCCAGCGTCGATCTGTGCAATCACCTCGTTGCCACTGAAGACCAATTCAACAGACAACTTCTTCGCGTCACCGAGGCACTGCGGAACCCGAATGTGACCATCGTCAACTATGACTGGCTAGCAGCATCCCTACAGTCAACCAAACCCGTGGCTACCGATCTTTACCTTCTCGGTACGAAGGGTGGTGGAGGCGGTGATGTTGATGCAGAGAGTGATGCAGACAATCCACTTACCCCACAAAAGTTGAAGAAGCCCTCGAAGCGTCCACGACAAGGTGACGAAGAGGATGATAATGATGAAGACCCTGTGATAACGAAGAAGGCAAAGCCCTCTTTTCCGGCAACAGCAACGGATGAACCTCGAAAAGATGCCCCAGCTCCAAAGTTAGCGAAAATCCACGTTCCTGTGGACGAGCTGTGCAACAATGCAAATCAGTATCGTGTCTATGTCGACGATAATGGCATCCCCTACGACGCTACTCTTAGCAAATCCGACTCGACTGTCAATAATAACAAATTCTACAGAATGCAGCTTCTAGTGCACTCTAACTCGGGCTTGTCTCACTGTTGGTGCCGTTGGGGCCGGGTTGGCGACAATGGCCTGTCTATGATGTTTGGTGACGGGACATTGGGATCTGCAATTCTTGAGTTCGAGAAGAAGTTCAAATCGAAGAGCGGCAACAAATGGGCAAACCGGGATCTCCCACAGTCGTCGTCGAAATACACTTATATCGAGATCAGCTACGAGGATTCAGATGATAAAGAGGTGACAAGTACCAAGCAATCAACTCCACGGAAAGAGCTTGTGACTAAAGAGCAAAGCAGCACAGTGAGCAAACTTCCTCCAAGTGTGCAGCGCCTGATGAGTCTCATTTTCGACCTTCAACTCTTCAACAGCACGATGGCCAGCCTTGACTATGATGCAAGCCGAATGCCACTTGGGAAGCTGAGCAAGAAGACCCTCCTCAAGGGCTATGAGGTGCTCAAAGACCTTGCTAATCTCATCGCGGATCCGGATACCTCAAAGCTCTTAGGGATACCTTACGGCCAGGCCATTCAGGAGAAAAGCAACCAGTACTTCTCTCTCGTCCCCCACGTTGTCAGTCGCAAATCTGTTCCCGTTTTGAACGATATGGATCTCATTAAGGTGGGTTTATGTAGTCATATGTGCAATTCGTGGAGACTAACGATCCCTTGTAGCGCGAGATCCAGTTGTTGGAAACACTGACAGATATGCAATTGGCGAACGAAATCATGAAGTCTGCAACAGTCGACAAGTACAAGCAGGAGAAGCTCCACATCCTTGACAGGCAATACCAAGGACTTGGAATGCGAGAGATGACCCCTTTGGATAGTGCCAGCGATGAGTTTCAGGAGATTGGCTTATATTTGCACTACTCAGTTGGTGGCACTCACGGCGTCAATTATCAAGTGCAGGATATATTCCGCATCGAGCGTGAAGGCGAAGCCGGACGACTCGACACATCACCATACGCAAATCTGGGCAACAAGAGTGATCGGCGTTTGCTTTGGCATGGTTCCCGCTGCAGCAATTTCGGCGGCATTCTCAGTCAAGGCCTGCGTATTGCACCTCCAGAAGCTCCTGCCTCGGGTTATATGTTTGGAAAAGGCGTCTACCTAGCCGATATGAGTAGCAAGAGTGCGGGCTACTGTAATACCTACAGTAGTGGTGGCACAGGGCTGTTGCTGCTTTGTGAAGCCGAACTGGGCAAGCCGCCACTCCGTCTGATCAATTCCGACTATGAAGCAGGTGACCGTGCAAAGAAATCTGGAAGCATTTCCACCTGGGGTATTGGCAAAACAGCACCACAGCGCTGGAAAGATGCCTCCTGCATCCACACGTCTCTGAAGGGTGTTCAGATGCCCGATGTCGTGTCAATGCCTCCAGGTCCGTCGAATGAACCGAATGCATATTTGCTCTACAACGAGTACATCGTTTACGATATTGCTCAGATCAAGCTCAGATACCTTCTACGGGTTCAAATGACTTGAAGACGTCCTGCTCGTTGCAGGCTGTATGCCGACCTGACAGCCTGGATGTCGGTGAGACACCTTCTGATCCTCAACTTCAGTGATTGGTGTTTGGAACACAACACATTGACAGGCGCAACGGTACAGGGGCAGATGGGATAGTCCACAACGAACAAAGGCCATCACGATCCAGAGCTAGATGAGATGAAGCCTGGAGAGCTGGGAGCTGTGAAGCTGGGAGCTAGGAGCTGGAGACCAAGGACCCATGAGTAACGCCACATTGGACTTGACAGTTGCTTCGTGTTCGGCAGGACATGGCTGATATGAGATTCGTCGATACGTCTAGTTTCAGACGCTACAGGCAGTAAGGGTAGGTAGAGAGCATCATAGCAGCGAAATGAACTTGACTAGGGCACATTTTCTGTTCGTTCTTGTTCTTCCACCGGGGTCTTTTTTTCCATCATTTTTGCTAATCTGGCTAATGATACAAGATCCTTCTATCGATTGACACTGTGTCACCCATGACCCTTCCAATGCATGTTAACCAGGCTGTTCAATCATACCAGTCGTGAGGGTGGCGTCCGACCCTATGGGGATGAGCGCGGGTGCGTACCATCTCGATTGTCTCTCGAGATTCAAATCCGAGCGCTTTCGACTGCAGTAAAATGACCACGCCACCAGGACGGGTACCTTCAGCCTGCGTTTCTGAACCGAGCACTGCTCCAGATGTCGAACCGTCCTGCCGATCTTCCTCCCCCTCGTGGGCACCATGCAAGGGCCGAGAGCTACCTATATGCAACCCCCATCTAGAACGCACGTTCATGATAAGCCGCTGCCCGGCCTCGGCGGACCACATTCTCTTTACGGGAGCTGGGCTCGCGCTTCGCTGCTTTCGCTATCACCCCTGGACCGGTTTGAAGGTCGGGGACAGGCCTGGCTTCACGCTTGTGCTTGTTGAAGATGCCGTCGATGATCAGAGTGGTCACGGTGTCTCCGTTGGCGTTGGCATTTGCCTTTGCATTGGCATGGTGTCCCTTTTTCCCGCTGCCGGTGCCCTTGTTAGTAGTAGTTGTCGAGGTAGAATTGGCCGTAGCATCGGCGGTGGCATTGGTATCGGCGGTGGCGTCGACAGTGGTATTGGTACCGGCGGTAGCGTTCACAGAGGTGGCCGTTGAATTGGCCACAGCCGAGACGTCCGTAGCATTGGCGGCGGCGACAGTACTATTTGCGCCTGCGCCAGTTTGGGCGGCACTGTTGTGCTTGTGATTCTTCCGGTCTTGCAGGGTGTTGCGTTTGTGGCCCGGAGGAACGGTGACGACGTAGGCGGAGACAGCGGGCGCGAAGATGTTAGGCACGACCACGAGGGCGCTCAAGGCCAACGAGTGGTGCATGTGTGGTGCCTGTGCATGGGCGAAGACACTTGGCAAGACAAAGATGGTGAAGGTAAAGAGAGCGGCGAGGAGGCGGGCCATGACTGGTTGCTTGAAAAGGTCGAAAAGGGACAACCTGTGTCCAGTTGAGAGAATAGAAAATAGGGAGAGTGAGGTACGTTAAACGAAAAGGCGAGAGAGTGAAAACCAGGGCCGGCCTGTTGTATAGAGAATGAGCTAGCACGGGGATAGAGAGCAAGAATGGTTGCAGCAGACGAATCCGTCATCTCATATAGAAAAAGGTCTGGTTGAGCATTGGGAAGTTCCTACGTTGCCTCGTTTGGGATCCTCGTCTCATCCGTGACTTGAGACCTGGATGAAATGGATAGCACCACTTTTCTCTCACGATTTGACCCTCGACTTTGCGGGTTGAGGAACAGCGAGCCGGTCTAGGCTCTCCACGGGTCAGACAACCGAATGCCCGTACTCGGTGATTTTCTCGGAGCGGAAAAGAAAGCGACGGGATGTGCCGTTGGGGCGAAGGGGTTGGGGGGCTTTGGCCGAGCGGCAGGGAGGGATGTGCAGTACCTGGCCCATTGAAGGCGCATTCATTGTGCCAAAGTCGACTGATGGTGCAAGTGATGAAGCATGATGAGTATGGATGCTGCCGTCACCTTGACACCACAGGAAAGGATTGGCCGGAGAGCTGGAGCCGTGAGACAGGGGACGTATCAGACGTGGGGGGCCATGACGAGGCTGCGCATCCCCGGTGGAGCGGAACTGGGACTTGAGGCTGGACGCGTTCCAGCTTGACCCCGGCCTTGGCAAGCACACCATATCTGATACACTGTGATAGAAGTCGCCGTCGTCATCATGTGTGGAAAATGGGTCAAGTAGCCTCGGTGGCATTGGATTATTTGCAATAGCTGATGGGCATCTCTCATGTCTCGTTAAGATTTTGTGTTGTACATATTGTCACATCTCAGTCTCCGCCAAGTCTCCGACCAGCGCCTCTACCACCCCAGCTGCTGGAGAAACCGCTGGCCCAACCTCTGCTCTGTTGCTGAGGGACAGGTCTTCCGGGTCTAAAGCTCGTACCGTGGGCGTGATGGGTAAAGGCACTTCTATCTGCTCCGAATAGCCGCCTGACGGCCGCTGGAGTTTGAATATAATTTCTGCCGCCTTGAAAGGTCGGGTACAACCTTGTGAGGAAATCGTACAGGTGCGCCGCAATAACTCCCATTGCCTGCTGCAAGGCCGCTTGTGGGCCGCCCATGACCAGGGTAAGTGTGAGCATGGCCCAGGGAAGCAGCTCGACTGGAATCTGGACAATGACAAAGTGGGCTTTCTTGCCACGGTTGTCTTGAGCGAAGGTATAAATGAAAGCAAGGAGGAGGGTTTGAGTAAAGACATGACCTCCCAGGACAAGTCCTCCGGTCCCCTGTGCCGAAGTTAGTCGGTGCAGCTCCAAGGTACTGATTGCTTCCTTGTGTGGAAGCATCATATGCTAGGTGCGATGTGGGTATGTAGGGGGCAACAACCACTGCCCGCAAATTGATGTATCACGAACAGTTTTTCTCAATACAGCCCCCACCATGCCTGCACCACATACAGTCCTTTTGACAGTTTTGCGAATGATGGATCTGTACGTACCGCAGGGGTAATCTCCCTCAGTTCCAGGAACCGCTTCAGCTAGGAAAATGCTGGGCGGGCAGATATGCGAGGTTTGAACAGAAGCAATGCGCCAAGAGATAGGAGATTCAAGAGATAGGAGGGAATGAACATCCACCCACCAAGATGACTGTAGCAACAAACACCACGTAGGTGAAGAAATCCCCAGGTTGACTGAATCGAGGGGAATTGAGTTCCAGTCCCAAGGCATAGGTATACACTTGACACTGTTAGAAATGGACCTCGATTCCAGAGAGATGCTAGAGATAGAGAGTGACGCACTGAAGTAGAGGTCGAAAATAAAGGAGAACCCGGCCCCAGTCAAGATAAAGGAGGATAGTAAACGCCACAGTTCCGGAGGAAACTTAAAGATCCATGGCGAGTAGAATACAACGGACATGGGATTGAGGAGACCTCCGTGGACAAGAGCAGACTCTGCAAACATGGCTGCCACAATCGTCCTGCTCAGCGGTCAGCTAGCTGCCGGGCGAGCAAGCAGGGATGAGGGAGAAAGTGCTGACCGAGTGACCGGAGGGGCACTCCAAAACCTATCCATGATGTCAAAACCACCGCTCATCTCGAGATCAGGTCTTTGAGGACATGAAGCAAAACATTTGGGGAGAGGGGAGAAGCAGCATGCGCTGTGGAAGTTGAAGTTGACACTCTGTTCCAAGGAAAAAAATAAGCTGCAGACAGAAGAAGACGATATGCCAAGAGCCATAGGGGGCTAATCCCAACACGAACTAGTGTGGAAATTCGAGCAGCTCCGCACGAGTCTCGTGAAAATGAACTTTTTCTAACCCTGCCTTTGCGTACCTAGTCCATCGCATTTCTTTGATCGTAATATATCCAGCTCCCACTCACCCACTCACCCACCGTGTCTGGCGCCCTTCTCTTGGGATCGTACTTGCCCAAGCTGCCTTTGACCGCTTCTACGCGGCTCAACCCCCGTGGGAAATCGGCCTCAACGCGCTCACGCCAGCCGCCAATTCCCCGGGACATCTACTCGCCAAAATGGCAAAGGTCGAGAAGATTGAAGAGGGCGATTTCAGCATCAAGCCTGAAAATGCCACACCTGCGATCCCTACCTCAGAGTGGCCTCTTCTCCTCAAGAACTATGATAAACGTGAGCACTAAGCAACCACAACCACCCGCAACCCTGGTCGGCAGTGGAACTAATCTTCCTCTCCAACAGTACTCATCAGAACCGGGCATTTCACTCCTATCCCTTGTGGCTGTACACCGCTGAAGCGCGACATCAAATCCTACGTTTCCTCCGGCGTGATCAACCTCGACAAGCCCTCGAACCCGTCCAGTCACGAAGTGGTCGCGTGGGTTAAGCGAATCCTGCGAGTCGAGAAGACCGGCCACAGCGGTACACTCGATCCCAAAGTCACAGGATGTCTCATTGTCTGCATAGACCGGGCCACGCGGTTGGTCAAGTCCCAACAAGGTGCTGGAAAGGAGTACGTCTGCGTGATCAGGTTACACGACCGGCTACCGGGCGGCGAGGCACAGTTTGCGCGAGCTCTGGAGACCCTGACGGGTGCCCTGTTCCAGCGACCTCCTTTGATCTCCGCTGTCAAGCGACAACTACGGATCCGAACCATCCATGAGAGCAAGCTCTATGAGTTCGACAACGATCGCCATCTCGGCGTCTTCTGGGTGAGCTGCGAAGCCGGAACCTACATTCGAACTCTGTGTGTGCATTTGGGATTGCTCCTAGGTGTTGGCGCACATATGCAGGAGCTGCGACGAGTACGAAGCGGAGCTATGGACGAATCCAAGGGCATGGTCACCTTACATGATGTCATGGACGCACAGTGGGTGTTGGACAACAACAGAGACGAATCGTATCTACGCAGAGTCATCTCGCCTCTGGAAAGTCTCCTTACGACATACAAGAGGATTGTCGTCAAGGACAGTGCAGTCAATGCCGTGTGCTATGGCGCAAAGCTCATGATTCCTGGTCTTCTCCGCTTCGAAGCAGGCATTGAAGTTCACGAGGAGGTTGTCCTGATGACCACCAAGGGAGAAGCGATCGCCATCGGTGTCGCACAGATGTCCACCGTTGAGCTTTCAACCTGCGATCACGGAGTCGTCGCCAAGGTCAAGAGATGTATCATGGAGAGAGACCTGTACCCTCGACGATGGGGCATGGGTCCCGTGGCATTGGAGAAGAAGAAGCTGAAGTCTGATGGAAAACTTGATGTAAGATGATTCACCCCCCACACCCGGATCTATGGTGCTCTGTTCCTGCAATATTGGATACTAACAAACCTCCTCAGAAATATGGCCGACCCAACGAAGCCACTCCAGCGAAATGGGCTGAACAGTACACCGACTACAACGCCCCGGCCTCCGCAGAGGGCACAACCGCCGCTCCGGTGAAGGAGAAGACCTCACAATCAGACGTCCTCGCCGCGCCGCCCGTGGCTCCTAACGGTGAAACCGCCGATACCATGGACCTCGACACCAGCACCGCAGCCGTGGCCACGCCCACAACCAACGGCGACGCCTCGAAGGACAAGAAGCGCAAGAAGCACGATGGTGAGACGCCCGAGGAGCGCGCCGAGCGGAAACGCAGGAAAAAGGAGAAGAAGGAAAAGAAGGAGAAGCGGAAGAGCGCGGCCAGCAAAGCCGACGACAGCGACGATAGCGAGTAGAACTGCTACGTTCGCGTCAATCGGTGAATCGGGTCTGGTCGCTTTTCAAGTCTTCCGCTTCCATCTTCGCAACCGTCGGATCTGCCTTGAGGAGTTGATGCGTGTCATATGTTCTGGGCCGGTTGTGATAGTGTGCTAAATAGTTGTGTGGGCTACGGAAACGGTTATGGACATGCAACTGGAATCGGAAATGGCTGGCCAGTCGAAGCTGGAAAGAGTCGAAATCTGATAATAAATGACTTGCCACAGTCTGGGGCCTACATGGCCGTCCGTCTTCCTCCATCTACATATCCGTTGCGTAGTTGTTGTCCATGCAAGTGCAGCTCATGAGTTCAATCAACCCCGATCCTGGAGCAGGTATAGATGTATCTGTGTATGGGAAAATTGAAAGGCTCATCAGACATAACGACAGATTCACGGCATAGCAGGTAAGTTCATCGTCGCACTCGCTCACCTATTACAGTGTTTAACCATGACAGTCCATGTATCAAAGGCCGACGTAGGAAATGACCGCACTCAGCCGGCTCGTGCTCTCCAGCCTCATCACACGTGATCACACCTCTTCCATCATACATGCTAGATAGCTCACGTCAGATCTCACCGACTGCCGCAGTGGATGAAAAGTGACTGAAACCCCTGCGGCAGAGAGAACAACCTCAAGTTCAGACAAACGAGGGTAGGGGAGAGTGGAGAAAGATTGAGGCAGAAAAGGCAGCTCTCTAGGCTCCTGGGCAGCAAGGGGCAAGCAAGGCGTGACGTGAGCAGGTCCCGACGTCAAATAACTAACCCTTGACAGAGACAACCAGAGGGACGCTGTCACGTATTTATATGATATATATGAAAAATAATGTATTCTGGTCAATATCAAAACAGCATCCCGTTAGGTGTGTGAAATGCATTTCTGCCGCCAGGGTGCCCGAGATCTCGGGGCTTTTCATGTAAGGAACTCAATGCACTGTACACGCCGCCGCCCGCCGGCAAATGATGCGTGTATGTTAGGAAGACCACCGTTATTGGTACAGGAACGCTCGTTTGGTTGCCGCAGGGAGAACGTAAACTCCAGATTCGCATGCAAGAAACGGAAAGAGTACGGGTGAACGAAAAGACAGCCGCAGCTGTGCAAGTTGTAGCGAGAGTCGTGATGGGCCAATAGAACAAGTGTATTGGCTCAAGTCGTTCCTTGGAGACGATAGAAATGCATCCCTCAAAAATAGGTCTGAGGATGATGACGATGCATCTCATATAGTCCATGACTGCAGATCCAGGATCAAGCGAAACCCGGTCTTTCGCTCAATGTCGAAAAAAATCGCTTCGTCAAGGTCGTAATCGCGTAGTGGCCGATTCATGCCAATGGGTGTCGAATGGCCAAAGTGGAAGTCTCCAAAAGCTTTCAGAGTGCAAACGGGGCTGGGGGCTAGTAACCCTCCTCACCCGCTTTACACATTTTAATCTCTCTACCCCATTCGGACTTCAGTACCTGGGAGGCGGTGATACGACGACCAGGATTGGGGTCGAGGATCGAGTAGATGACGTTCCTACAGCGTGCCTAGTGGAATATTAGTTGTGTCCCCAAGCACGATCCCAGAAGACATTGCAACTTACCCTGTGCAGGGTTTCGATCGGAGCATAACCGTCCTCGTCTCTTCGACCTTCAAGATACCGTTCATAAAACTCGTCTTCTTCCTTCCGGGCAACTCTCCACAGATGTCGTCCGGTCCGCATGGCCATATAGATGACCCCACAGGCCCAAACATCGACAGCTCGGGGATCAAATTCACCCCCTGCGTATTCTTCTGGAGCGATATAAGGAGCGCTGCCACAGAGGCCGGCAGTCATGTGAGCTTCTTTCTCCCAGGCCATCCGGAAACATTCGCCATTTCCAAAGTCGGTTATTTTTAGAGCACCGTGAGTCGTCAAGAGAAGGTTTTCAGGTTTGAGATCCCGATGTGCAACACCCATTTCGTGCATATATTCGACACCTCGCATGAGCTGCTTAAAGAAGCAGTCGGCTTCGGCCACCTGAAGAGTGCCGGCAGCAAGGATGAGAGTATAGAGATCTCCGCCGGCACAATATTCCATGACTTCGCAGTAGTCACCCTTGGCGTCTTGGAGAAGATCGAGAGTGTGAATGATATTGGGGTGGCGAAGGGAGGAGGAGATGCAGAATTCGCTGGTTAGGCGTTTCTGGTACTTCTTCGAGGTTTCCTGAGGGCGACGGCGGAACTCCTTGACAGCGTAGAGTAATTCTCCGCCAGCGGTGTTGGGATCGGGTTTGTGCGATATCCTGACAATGCCGAAAGCGCCTCGGCCAACAATTTCCTGGCACTTGCCATATTTCTCAACCAAGTTGGCCGACGCGTTGGGACCACCCTTCTTTTCACCGGCTAGACTGTCCTTCTCGGATCTTAGCTGGTCGACCCATGATGACATGAGCGACAGTTGTTGGTCACCACCGTCCTGATCTTTCTTCTTGCCGCCGCCGATGAAATCGCGGAGCATGTCGGATAACTTCTCCTGTCGTTTCGCCGACTTGAGGTGATGGGTATGGGACCCATCTTCGTCGACTTCGAAGCGTTTATGCGCAGCGTAGGATGAGTCCGAGGGAACTTCGCCTTTGGACTTCTCTTTTGCCGCACCAAGTATGGTCATCTTCTTACCGTCCCTCTGATCACCAGAAGATTGTCTTCCTGGCGTAGGTCGGGGTTGGTGACCGTTCGCAATTTCGTGGCGAGGATCTGGAGAGGATTCTTTTACAGGATCTCTGGCAGGGTCGACATCCTTTTGTTCGGTCCGTGAGAACATCCGGGTAAGGCGGGACGTCATTTTGGGCTTTTTTGCAGGGGGGGCTATCAGTTGCGTCGACGGGGGTCCAGCGGTGGACACGGCGCCGCCATTCACTGAAAGACGACCCGTGTCCCCCGCCAGTCGTGTTACCGAAGCTGCATCATCCTGCGAACCTGTCGATCGAGCTACTGACGGTGAGGGCGATGCAAGTTGGGTAGGCGATGATGAGCGATTCATGTGAATGGTGGACGAGAGGTGGGGGATGGCAGTTGGGCAAGGTGCCCTAGGTAATCTCTAGGCGATTGGTGGCGATAGATAAGGTATGGTGTTTTGTGGAACGATGCGATAGAATCTGTGAAACAACGGCGGTGGACGTGTAGGTGGTGGTTTTATTTTTCCTTTCCTCCCGTAATTCAGGTTCTTGGGTGTGTCGAGGCCGGGAGAGGATGCGGTGTTCGTGTAGAGTTGGTGGCGAGACGTAAAATTGGGAAGAATCCGGGGAGTGAAATGTGTGGTCAGCCCGTGGGAGGCGGCACGAACGGCCTTATGATGGAATTTGACCTTAAGGATTTGCGATCAGAGGACCTGAGTTTCGAGGGACCAGGACCGGACCCTCGAACCAGAGTTCTGTTCGAGTGCCGAGGGGCAGCCGATGGGGCGCGCGGTGGCAGAAAGTGTGTAACAGAGGGGTTTTCAGGGTTTTTTGTGTGGCTTCGTTGGGTGCCTGTGGACGGCTTGGGGGCAGAGTTTGGGTGCGAGAGATCCGCGTAAGAGGGATGGAGGGCGGTCGCTGGACCGACAGGCTAGTACGAACACGAGATGGCAGTGCGCAGGGATGATGCTTTGCTTTCGAGATGCTGACCAATGCACAGAGTCAGTCGGCTGCAAGCTGCCCCTGGCTGATGCGCCTCGGAGGCGTCCGTCGAGGAAATTCGGCAAGCTGAGGAGCGTCAGTGTGAGAGTCACGGTCTCGAGCACTAACTGAAGGGCAAAGAAGTAGAAAGGAGAGGCTCGTCTCTTCCTGGGGTAAGTAGATCCCAGCGCACTTTTGTTGGATGTGTGCGTGCGAGGAAGAGCAAGAGCAAGAGCAAGAGTGAGTGACTGGCAGGGGTTGGGGGCAGATGCGGGTACAGTTCCAGGCGGGCACCAGGCAGGTAAATTCATTACCTACAGGCACTGCAAAGTCGTGATATTCTGAGGTACGGTAGGCTGAGAATTGCCCCGACTGCCTGTGGAATAACAACAATAAAAAATGAATGAACGGACTGACCTGCTCTTGTTAAATGACTGCTTGTGATGATCTCGGTGGCAGCAGTCACAGATCACGCATTCATGCTCATCATCCGTGAGTCCAGCAATACCACAGGCACCAGTAGGCGACAATCAGCGCTGACGGCTGCCGCCTAAATCTTAGACCTAAGGAGCCTAAGCAGCCTAAGGAGCCTTCGGCCTCTATGCGAGGAGTCAGATAGTCCCCCTGAATCCAGTATGAGTGAGGGAGGCACTTACAACACTGGCTTACTGCCCTTGGTCCCCGTGCACAACAAAGACAATCGCTGAACAGGAGGATTACCTGTCCGAGTTCAGGACTAGAAGGAGGAAGTGCAAAGCACGTTCAGATCGGGGACAAGTAGGTCCTGACATATATACTGCTGTTTAGATCTTCGGGTATGGTGGACTGGCAGCTTGTACAGGCTTATTATGGACGGCTTTGCTTAGCTGCCATCAAACTGCAACTCTTCTATCTCGCGTCTTTTCTGTAACAAGCATTTCGACGTTTGATTTCCCAACAGAACTAGATTCCCGTACGATCATCCCTCCTCCAAGCGAGGTTCCAACGCAGAGGCAGCACCACCCGTGGCTATCAAGCCATGTGCATGCTTGAACGTGGTGAACCACGAACCTGTGAATCCATCCGACCGACCGTCGCCACCCTGCCAATGTTGATTCATCACCCCTTGGCCTGCCTATGCTCTCCAGTTTCCACACCGCTCGATGCGTTGGCTAATGCTCCATCTGGCCCATCATCAATACTGGCGTTGAAACATGTGCTCTTTCTCTTCCGGTCGGGATCAAAATCTTTCCTGAAGCGTGGTTACAGTTATACAGCATCCGTTCAGACATCGGCTGTCAACATGCACACGAGCTGCAACTAAGCCTTGACCAGTTGCTTGTTGGGAAGCAAACCCAGAGCAGGAGGTTTGATGCTGTGATGGCATCACCACGACCACCCACATAACACTGCCGTATTTTTGACCCCGGAGAGATCTCTTCTTCAAGGTGCACTGCCAACTGACTTTGGTGGAGGAGAGATTGGCGCCTCCGCAATCCAAAAAGAAATGGATGCAGAAGAGGAAGTTATCTATTTCATAATTGGTGATGAGACCAGGTCTATCGCGGCTTTCCGGATCAAACCTGCAGTCATACCGGGTACATATGCCGCTTCGGAAAGACAGGAATGGAGCAGATGCTTCTCCTCCTATGGGCATTCCGTGCTCACCCGCTGCGGCATACATACCACCCTTGGACACGAGGAGTACCAGTGGCCGCCGTTCCGACATTGTTACGTGCTAAAATGTCTGTCGTCGTCAGCCGCGATCCCCCTGGCTTCCAGGCATCTTGGTTGCACTACCGGTAGCCTGATATGCATCTCGCTCAATACACTTCCCTCCCCTCAGGCCCAAAATCACCAATCATCAGAGCACGAGCTGACGGGATCTTCGCCTCGACACCTGCATGTTTGTCAGTACAGGGGTCTGTTTCCGATGGCTTCAGCCGTCGCCCTGCCGGAAGGTCGAGCTGACATGCAAGCATATCGCGACCAAATCATTGTACACTCAGCCTTGTAGCATGTGAAAACCGGCATTAGAATCCGCTGCAAATGCCGTGCACTCGACATGCTATAGCTTATTCAATCCGTAGCTGGGATCGGATCACCGTCTCGGGAGCCAATTTTGGTGATCTTGAGCTGTTCACCTTTGCCCTTGCTTCGGAGTTGGTGTGTGCAGCATAAGGTACTTCCTTGGAGCATACAGTAGTGGCGAATAGCGGCTCGGCTGCTGTAGTATGCCCACAAGTCGCGGTCAAAGCAAATGCTCGGGGCTGCTGTGGATGGCATCGCTCTCTCCGGCACATTTTGTCGGTATACGAGCTTCCTGTCCGTTTGGATGGTGCATGCAGGACTGATTACTGTCCTGTACCAGAGGTGCGCCCGACATTGCATCATTGTCCCGGAGAGGATATGTTGTGCACACCGCATTTTGGCCCCAAGGAAAGGCTAGATTGGCGACGATTTTCCCCCTGGTCACTTTGCCATGAATGGGAAGATACTCTGTCTTCCTGCTTCTGTCACAGCTAGATGCTGCGGTTATAGTGTGTGACAGCATGCGACCTAGGGCACTTCAACACAAGCAAAGATTGTCCTCAAAACCTATACTCCATGAACAACAATATAGAACAGACCGTTGTTTGTCTATCCTACAAGTATCTCTTAAGAATATTCCAGGACCCTTGAGGAGTTTCAGCACACTCTGTATTTCCCGAATACCAAATAATAATGGTTTATAGAAGGTAGAAGTATATTTTCAGAAATAGAAGTGGCTAGAGACTGAGACTGAATGCCGAAATAATTACATGGAGGTCACTTAAGTTTCGTCGACGAATGCTAGTACCCAGCACCCTATCCGTACTACGGAGCAACTTGAATGTGAATGGTTGTGCAGCATGTGACGTCGCCAACAGGTGGCCCCATCCATACTGGGCATATAAATTAACACGTGACCGGTTAATCTTCGGACCAATAGTTTTTTCCGGTGTTCATCCAACCACGTCATCAGCCATGGAGAAACGTTTCGCCGAGATCCGGGCTGTGCAGGAGAATTGGCGGCGGCTCTTCGAAGACCGGCTTAACCACTGGGAGCAAGGCAACGCAAATACGATCAACGTCCTCTACATCCTCATCGACCTCGTCGAAGCCGGACCAGGTATCTTAGAGTCCGCCGCGGGATTCAACAACCGAATCAACGACTGCTACGATTTCTACAAGAACCAGCGAAATGTCGTGGGCAGGCTTCAAGAAGAATGTCAACCGCGCAACGACGCAGGTGATGATGAAAACAGGCAAGTCACTTGAAACGTCACTCTCCATTTCTAGCAGCGCTGACGATCTCACCATCCAGGCCACGTCGAGCGCACGAACGACAGGGACTACGAGGTAGAGGAAAGGTGAGCTGCTCAGCCGATCTGATCCGGCGACCGATGCCTGACTCGAGTCGCAGACGGTACAGAACCATGGAGTCCGCAGCGAACAGACTGCAGAAGGAAGCCAAAGGCTATCTGGACAGCCTACGGGGTGAGCAAAGATCGACATCTGGGCGAGGTGCAATCGCACTGACGAGGTTCTAAGCCATGACAGCATCACAAATGAGGATAGCCGAGACCATCGACGCATTCTACGGCGACGCGGGGACACGAGACGGCGTTTCTCGATCCTACAAACAAGCAGTCGAAGATCTGGACGCGGAGACGATCAAAGCTCTCGACGGGCCATTCCGGTAGATCCGCCTCGCCGCAATAATATGCAAGCTCTTTGATACTGATGGTTTCTGCAGAGCGACAGTTCTCGAACCAATAAGCCGCTTCTGCGCATATTTCCCCGATATCAACGAATGCATCAAGAAACGCAACAACAAACTCCTCGACTATGATTCCATGCGATCCAAAGTCAAGAAACTGGTCGAGAAGCCAGACAAAGATGTCACCAAACTTCCCCGAGCTGAAAAAGAAGCCGAAATGGCCAAACAAGCTTATGAGCAGCTCAATGAACAACTCTTGGACGAACTTCCTCAACTCATTGACCTCCGTGTCCCTTACTTGGATCCTAGCTTTGAGGCCCTCGTCAAAATTCAGCTGAGATTTTGTGCAGAAGCGTACAGCAGGATGGCACAGGTTCAGCAATACTTGGACCCTGATACGAGAGAACAATACGCCCGTGGCGACTTGGACAATCGGGTTGAACAAGTACTCTCCGAGATTCGAGACTTGACAATCGCCGGCACGGTTTGAGCGAGAAGGGCTCTTGTTTTGTTATGCATATTCCCCCTTTTGCCACTTGCTTATACTTGCACCTTGCAAGATCACAATCACACAAGAACAAACAACTAAACACGCATTCGCAATGTGCTTTATGCCTGGTTGGAGGATGAATTGGACGCTTTGGAGTGGAACGGAGTGCTTTACCAATCACAGCATAGCATTGGCGTTTTTGCAGGCAAAAAGAGCTAGAGAATACATCCTGAAACAAATTCCGTGTGTTCATTTGACCTCTCTGCCACCTGCTGATTCCTTTTATGATATCACCGAGCACTCGCATAGCGCTTGGAAAGATCATCATGTCTTGCCCAACGACAATCGAGTGATACGGCTTCCTTACAGCCAGCGATTGCAAAAATGGTTGGTCTAGTGAATTTTGTTTTATATTTCACGATATAACCACAAGCAAGTCGACAGATACTGGGAAATTCCCTGATGACCCTGTTTCAGATGGCGCCCAACTCCTTCAGCTTGCCAATTAAGCCATCGACATCCTCGACCTTGCCGCCACCCTGTCTGACCGGAGGTTCCTCAACCTTGATAGTCTTGAGACGGGGCTTCACATCGACACCATAGTCAGCCAGGGATTTCTTGTCGAGCTTCTTCTTCTTTGCCTTCATGATATTGGGCAAGCTTGCATATCGGGGTTCATTGAGACGCAGATCAGTAGTGATGATGATAGGTAGCTTTGCGCGGATTGTCTCGATGCCACCGTCAACCTCGCGGGTCACGGTAACCTGGTTGTCCTTGATGTCGACTTTGCTTGCCTGGGTCGCCTGCGGCCAGTTCAGCAGTCCCGCCAGCATCTGGCCCGTCTGGCCAGCGTCGTCGTCGATGGCCTGCTTGCCCAGGATAATCAAGTTACTCTGCTCCTTCTCCGCGATGGCCTTGAGCAGTTTCGCCACACTCAGCGGTTCCAGCGGCTTGTCCTCGGGGACGTCGACGTGGATCGACCGGTCTGCGCCCATCGCCATCGCCGTCCGCAGCGTGTCCGCGCATTTCGCGGGGCCTGCGCTCACCGCCAAAATCTCTTCGACGGGCTGCTTGCGTTCACGCAGTCGAACTGCTTCTTCGATCGAAAGCTCGTCGAACGGATTAAGCGAGTGCTTGACGCCGGACGTCTCGACACCTGTTCGGTCGGATCTTACTCGAGGTTTGACCTACACGACCCGAGGAAACCAAACATGTCAGTATGTAGGAGAGCATTGAGCGGAATGTATTGCCGTCACATCGGCTGGCATGAAGGTGCATGTTACAAAGCCAGAGACGAGCACAGGGTTGGACTCACAGCATAGTCAATGACTCTCTTGACGGGGACCAGAATCCTCAACTTGGAAGACATGTTGCTGTCTTTGCGACGTCGAACCAATTGCCCAGAGAGTCCAAAGCTTTAGTAGCCAAACTCCAAGGAAAGAGCACCAGCCTGGTAGAGGTGCCGCAGATATTGTAACTCTCGAAATACGACTGGCCTGGGGAAGAAACAGGACCGCAATCGGAGAATTGGCTCTCGTAGAAGCCGATCATTCTTGAGCCTCGGGGCGCGGCTCCGAGTCTAAGCGATGAAAACTACTTTGCCACATCCAACCATAGCTCCTCGGGTTTGCCTCAGGGCGCCCCTCTTTCCTCGGTCCGACGGGTCACGTGTCAATTGACGTGCTCACGTGACAGAGACAATCTTGGCGTCTGCCAAGCCCACACGCAAAAACCGAGAGACAGTCCCGCCTGGCGCAGGCATATACTACTGTCTTGAAAGAACGACCACTCTCCATCATCGTCTTCCACCAAAACCCTCGTCATCACAAGCGACCAGTTCGTCAAGATGCCGGTACGTCGATTTCCCTATATCTAACACCGTCGGTTTCCTGTCAGGCCATCCTGAAGTTGTGAGGCCAAGGGAGATTGATGGAAGAACCATTGCGCCCTGATTCATGCTTTGGAGAGAAGAAAGATCAATTACTGACTTGGATCTTTTCACCTTGATAGAGCCACAAGTCATTCCGCACGAAGGTGAAGCTCGCAAAGGCGCAGAAGCAAAACAGACCAATCCCGCAATGGATCCGATTGAGGACGAACAACACCATCAGGTTAGCACGCACTCCGGTCTATTTTTCCTACTACACCTCCTTCCTCACATTGGTGCGCTCGACACATATATGATGGAACTCTCTATGGTCTGTTCCTGGACCATGGCTTCGGCTTCTGGCTTCTGGGCTTGAGGGAGTGTGAAAAGGCTCGAAGTACACATTAGAGCCATACCATGGGACGGTCTATGGCTGGTCGACGCCGCGATTTAGGAGATCAAAATTGCTAACGTTTGTCGTCGAAACCCGCAGATACAACGCAAAGCGGAGGCACTGGCGCAAGACTAGACTTGGTATCTAGACGATTCTCTCGGTTCACCCTGTTCAATGCGACTAGACACGCTTTTACGGATCCGAAAATGGGTAGCAGCCGTCGCCTACTGACATTACCCTGTGGAAGAATTTGGGATGGGCGCGTGGTGAAGGAGAGCTATCGTAATGGCTATCAAACAGCAGGGTGGCAGGCGCATTTGCCAGGGTTGAGGTTCTACCGGCACGGATGTCGAATCGACCTACATCACACGATGTTTCTTCAACACGGTCTCCCCAAGAGGATCGTTCGATCGGCATGTATTTTGTTGCCGTAGTCCCGACACACATAAAAAAAGAACCAGTTCACCAAATTTTGGGTCGGTGTGAAGCCGCATAATTGTTTCCTATCCTTTGCATTCATTGAATCATAGCACTGCTTGCCTTAATGGACTGTTTATATGGTTGCTGAAAACAACCTCAGACCTGACAGTCCCGAGTTGTTTCGCAAGCATCGTAGAAAGGCCCTTCGACGGCCATGTTGGACATGTCACCAGCGTCCGAACTCCGTACTATCCGTCCCATCCTTAGGTCATCATCATTCTCCCCCAAACGCCGGTGGATTAATGCTCTCATGATGGAAGACTCGCTCGTCTGGCATCTCAGCGGCTGATAGAAATGTTAATAACAATTCTGTCGCAACTCCTTGTCATATTACTTACTCCTCGGCCCATTCGTTTTCGCGACGGATCTGATCTTCCTCCTCAGGAGTGAAATCATTCTGGATATTGAACGTCTTGCGAATCTCCTCTGGCGATTTGCCCTTGATCATGTTGGCGACAGTCTTGCATCCGACGTCCAACAGAGCCTTGATATCGAGGTAGTTGGCGGCCTGCACAAAGTCAGTGTCTTCTTGCATCGATTAGTCGCCTACTGCATACCAGAATGATTTCGAAAAGCATCTCTTGATCAACTTGCATGAACTTTTGGTCCCATTCCTCGATGTCGGTAGATTTTTTGCGCGAGTCCGAATCGTCTTCGTTCGCAGAAGGTGGGTCGTGCTTGTGATGAATGCACCATTCGATGACTTTCTTGAGGACGGCAGCGTTGACGTTGGGAATGGGAATGGGTTCTTCCATGGCCTCTTCTCCGAGATCGCCAACCATGTTCTTGATCAGGATGGATCTCTCAGCGACCTCACGATCTGTGACATGTCAGAAACCGTGGCACAGGAAGAGATACCGAATTACTTACCGACTAAGATTTCCTCTCCATCTGAGCTCGAAAGAGTCAACGGCTTGCTGGATGACATGGCTGCTTTCAAGAGTCGATTCTCAGGTCAAAGTGGATGAAGGTCCCGACGGATCTGTTCAGTATCGTGTGGGGGTTAAGAGATGTGCGACCGGTGGGAGGACTGGGTGCAAAAGGTAAAGTTGGAAGAAGAAGATGCCAATAGCCAGGAAAGAGTAGGTAGTGGTGAAGATGTATCTCAGGCAGAGGATGTCGATTTACAGGGAGGCATCCGTACTTAAATGTAGGTACGCTGGCGAGGACCCGCGAGGACCTTCTGTCTGTCTTGGCAAGTATTCGGGGTAGTTAGTACTACTAGTGAGCTGTGATGGTGAGGACCTGCTGACTTTCGCCCGACTCACTCAGTCACTCTTGGGTTGTCTAGAGTAGGTAGCTTTATCCTTTTCTAAAATTCTCTATCCAAAGCTTCTTTGTTGAGGTCGTGCCAATAATCATTCGACATTGGTCGCATACTAAACGTTCCTTCTTTTACGCCTTTGGAATCCATTATTTGAACCACTCTGGGCAGCACTGGACCAAAGATTGCAACATCGATAGCCGGAAAGTTACTCTAGCCCGACGAGCGCCCTGTTATAGAGGCATAGAGCGCATTCGATTCAATATGCATTGGCATGTCACAACACTGGAGTTCTTCCTACGCCCTTGATATTCTAATATATACTCTGATTCCTCCTCTTATGGAAATCATGGCCAGCCAGCGGCCGGTTTGATGCAGCCAATCCCAGCGGACGAACGTACACTCTTAATAAACTATCTAGACTATGTATTCCCTCTACAGTATCCCTTGTAGAAGCCGGGGATCATGGTGAAAGAACGAGGTTGGCTACTCTCTCTTTTGCTTTGGGCACCGCCACCTTACAAAGCGGTTATGGGTCGCCGGAACCGGCCACTGGGGCAGTACGAGGGTTTTCGAGTTCCTGGGCTAGGCAGACACTGTTCATCCGCGATCGGTCCGTGGTTCTTTGTTCTGATCATCATCTTGACAGTATCACCTCGTAGGTGCCTAATTCCTAGAAACCTAGTGGTTAATTTAGTGTGTTCTCGAACCCCTTTCGCAGCAGCTTATGCTTGATTTCAACAGAATGGTGTGCTTGTTCAAGGCTCTGTACGGAGTACGGAGTACTGATGTTCTGTTCTACCGAATACCTTAGTTAGGTCTAGTAAACAGCGTGCACGTGATGTTGACGTCAGCTTCCACCGCCTGCCGCTGGTGCCGCTAATTATCCGGATCAGCTTCCCATGGGTTAAGCGGCTTTACCAAGTGCCTGGCGCAGGCGACAATCTCATATTGAAGTCGCATTTCCTATCCTGGCCTTTATGCTGTCTCTCTACAACAGCAAGCTAGCAGCATTGAGCCGTGCATCTACCACCGTCTTATAAGCAACGAATCGCGTCGCTCTCTTCGCCTTTCACCTTCCACCTCACCTTTGCGCACTTCGTTGTCCTCTCCGCAGGTGACGCGGTGGAGACGCGCTCACTCACGATCTCGAGATTGAAGACTGAGAATGAGTCTGAAAGAGCCGATCCTGTCTCCCTCAAGGACAATGATAGAGCCAAGGTCACATCCTGCAAGGTGAATGCGACAAGAATGTGGCGGCTTTTATACCTGTTCTTGCTCTTTGTTCGCATCTATCTTGCGCTGTGTCCAAGTTATCTTCACCCGGATGAGATTTTTCAAGGCCCAGAGCCGATTGCTGGTAATGCGCCGATGCCTGTCTTTTCTCTTCGAATAATGTCGGTTAACTATATGTAGGCTATATTTTCTCTTACCCTAGTCAGCAAACATGGGAATGGACGTCCTCCCATCCCATCCGCAGTGTCTTTCCTCTCTGGCCTGTCTATGGCTTGCCAATGATATTGTTGAAATGGATTTGGGCCCAAGATGAAGATGGCCTTGTCAATCCAGCGGCGATATATTACACCCTCCGCCTCGTCATGTTTGTGCTCAGCTTCGTCCTCGAGGATTGGGCAGTCCATGATCTGGTTCGGTCTCCTCGGCACAGGAAACAGGCCGTTATCCTGGTCACGTCCTCGTATGTGACATGGACCTTTCAAACCCATACTTTCTCGAACTCTGTCGAAACTCTTCTTGTCTTATGGAGCCTTATTGTTATAGAGCGAATCGTGGGTGAAAATGTAGGCACTTCCCTGCTCTTCTTGTCACTCAATTGATCGTTGGACAGAAGCGATCAGCGATTGCATCCAGCATCGTGCTGGGCTTCCTGCTCGTATTTGGGACCTTCAACCGGATTACCTTTCCCGCTTTTGTTGTGATACCCGGCATACAATTGTTGCCACACTTTTGGAATAGGTGAGGAGTTCCTCTTCCTTACTGGACACAAATTAGCCTATACTGAATCTCTGCCAGACCCTTTTGCTTCGTTGCCATGATCCTCTCAGGAGCTCTTTGGACCGTTGTTGCCATTATTGTTGACACGGCATATTATCGTGGGCCAGCGGCAACAACGTCCTTTCGAGCCTTGTACCACCATGTCTGGCATGCTCCTGTATTCACACCACTCAACAATCTCTTGTACAATACTCAAACCACGAACCTTGCCCAGCACGGCCTCCACCCTCATTATCAGCACCTTCTCGTCAATCTCCCACAGCTTCTCGGGCCGGCTTTAATTGTCCTCTCTGCTTCCGCCTACCCCTTCAACCTCCGGATCCTCAAAACGATGATGAACAACTCCAGACTCTCTTCTGCTGTGACTGGAACCTTCCTACTCAGTATCATCCCTCACCAAGAACCACGCTTCTTGCTTCCCACTGTCCCTCTGCTGCTCACCTGTTTTCGGCTTCCTGTGTCGAAGATATGGAACAAAGTATTCTTGATCAGTTGGGCAACCTTCAACATTTCACTTGCGACAGTTATGGGCATCTACCACCAGGGCGGCGTTATACCAATGCAGCTTGATGTGCCGTCTATCATTACCCAGTCAATCAACGTTACTCACTCAACCGCTCATAATATCGAGGTGTTTTGGTGGAAAACCTATCCGCCACCAAATTTCCTTCTAGGCCATGAACCCCTGCACCCGGCAACAAACCGATCGGTCAACATTTCGACGGTCCCCCTTATGGGCTTTCCACAAAGCGAACTTGTTTTCATGCTGATGCAGCACATGCCCACATGCGATCCGTCCCTCATTGAACGCTTGATTCTACACAAGGAGAAAACGGACATTTTTGTTGTGGCACCTTTGGCTGCATGGCGGCTCGAAAGCTACGATCTGTATCCCCCAGTCTCGAACTTCAGCTTCTCCATCACCTTCGATAGTCCGCCAGCCAGCTTGAGTATGACGAACCTCGCCACGTATCGAAGACATGTGAACCTTGATGATATGGATTTGGCAGACGACGGTATCATCACAACTCTGGAGAGAGTAGTGGGCCGCCGGGGCTTGGGAATATGGAGAGTGGACAGGATCTGCGAGCCCATCCTCTTCGGCGAAGAGGAAGGTGTGGAGCGTGAAAGTCAGAAGCCAGCTCTTCTGGAACCGGAGCCGTTGGGCAAGCCACTGGCTGTTTCATCTTCGTCCTTGAATCGAGAAGGTACTGCTGCAGCGACTTGGCCTAAATCTGTACACACTTTGACAAACGTGGAAGGACTAAATTGAGTAGATCCTGAAATTGGGAGGGGATGTAAAAGAATTCTCAGAGCGTCGACCGAGGAAGATGTGGGAATTGGATTTTTGTATTTGACTGTTATGACTATCCATCCTAGCCCTATGCTTAATACCATAATTACGTGCTCAAACCATGATTGAGACCAACCACGTCGAGCTCGCAGAACCGCTGCTCATTTGCCTGTCAAGAGCTAGCTTTACTCTCCTGCGTGAATGTGATGGTATGTGGAAAATGGATGAGGGCAAACATGAAGATTGGGGTTGACGCTCATGACCAGACGAGGCCGGCACGAGCCCCATTTTGCATTTTGCTCGTCGCGATCTCAGCTCTTTCCTAAAAGACTTCTTGCCCATTCAATCTCTGTTCCGCTTGCTGTCCAGGGTAATCATCAAACAAATCGCCTAAGAACTTAGGATGGCAGTCAGTCATCTGCACTGGCATCGGAGGTGCTGTTAGGCATTTGACAGTTTAAGCATGCCCACCGCCCCGGACACTCTGACTCTTCAGCCCTTTAGCTCTGTGCGGTAGGTGGGACATTGAGTGTCTGCTTGTAAGCTGCTCACTGCTCTTCGTCATCAGGTGGCTGCTCAAACAGGAAGTTGGCTGCCAGCTCTTCGTTCTTGTCACAAGCGAAGTAAGCTTGGATGACCTGATCACGAGAGAAGCCGAGGCCACAAAGGCGTTCGATGGCGTCGCGTTCCTCTGGAGTGACGCTGATAGAGGTGGCACCTGGTGGAACAGGACCGCCGTCGCCTTCCTGATCCTACTCAACCAGTTAGCTAAAATGCAGAGTTCAAGATCAGAGTGTAGTTGAAGGGGGTCATACCTCTGCCAGAAGCTGGAGAAACTGGTCCGGGTTCAGACTGATCATCTGAGCAAGCTGCGGGTTGCCTTCGGCGACCTGTTGCAAGAATGGCTCAAGCATTGCCGGCGACTGCTGAACAAGCTGTCGAAGTTGTTGAAAGTGGGGACTGTTTCGCAAGAATTCCAGGTTCACTGCTTGTTGACCTCCTGCCACAGCGGGAGTGGCGCCAGTTCTCGCCCCGAGTCCTGCTCCAAGTCCTGCTCCAAGTCCTGCTGGAAGACCCGCTCCAATTCCTGCTCCAGTTCCACGAGCCTGTTGACCAGCTTGTGCGGCAGCTTCAAAGAGATTGACGGGCTCATCCCTCGGATTGGTGGTCACTTCAACAGGAGCGGGAGGTGGAGATACAGGAGTACCTTGAGCACCAGCTGCAGGAGTTCCTTGTCGCTGTTGTTCCTGAATGTTGTCTGGAATCCCACTTAGAAGATATTCAATGGCTCGGTCTGGGTTGAAAAAAGCAGCGCGAAGAGCACGCTCGATCTCGGGTCTGCCAAATCCCATAGACTCCATCTCTCGGATAGTGGTCTCATTGCGGTTACCGAGGAGGAACGCAGAGGGGTCATTGAAACCGCCTCCCGCGGTTGAAGGGGCTGTGCTAGTAGACTGTGCTGGTGTGGGTGTGGAAGGCTGTTCAGATGGGGCCGGTGGTGCGTTGGCCGGTGGTGCAGCAGGTGCAGGTGCGGAAGGGGTAGCGGTTGAGGTGCCAGCAGGTGTAGACGGGCTACTCGACTTGGGAGCAGACGCGGCTTTAGGCTATGTCGCGTTAGATGCAAACGTGGGAGAAGGGTGGTAGGCTAATGACGGACCTTGCTGACCATGCAGACAATGAAGCCTTTCTCCTCAATCTTGTAGGATTCGACAGTATTGGCGTCAGCTAGGACCTTGCCTGTGACAAGTCAGTTGGATTATCCCATCCCGTGCCAACATCGGAATTTATCTGACCAGCATAGATAAGCTTCTGTTGAGCAGCATCCCATCCTTTCTCGGCAGAAATCTTCTCTTTCACTTGAGCGATCTAAGGAGTGTATCAGCCGTGATGAACGACAGGACGGAACAGTGCGTCATGGACATACCGTGTCAGTAGGTTCAGCATCGATTGTGAATTTCTGTTGCTTGAGGTCCTGTGTTGTAAATCAGCCTTTGCTTGCAGCATGCGTTGTCAGATCGACTGACTCTGAATGAGAGCTTCATTTTGCCCCGCGACAACGCCTCGAACTGGCGTCGTAGGATGAACCTTCTCGGATCGGATGAGGTATAGGTATTGGGCTGTCAAGCAGTGACCTTTCGAGAAAACTTTTACGCGACAATGTTCAACTTGCAAGTTGGAGGTACTAAAGGAGAGAAAAGGCGCTCGCGAGTGAATGCGGCGAATGAAGCGGAGGACTCGTTAAATACTGAATGACGACGTTCTGAGCCTGCCTGCGCGCCGTAATCACAGGCTGCCCTTCGTCCTGCCTTCACGTGATGCATGACTGACGGCCGTCGTGGCCACGTGACCATGCGAACTCCGAACATTTGTTGCAGCCTGATCATGTTTGCACCGGGGCTAATAATGAATGAGATTAGGTGATAGGACATTGATGATAGCTTGTAACAAGGGCGAATACGACTTGGAACTACGAAACATAGGCAAACAACAGAAGAACTCATGGAATCGCCGTTTCTTCGTCTAGCTAGCGACAATTCCTCGTTTCATCATGGACTAGAGTCAGTCACCCGGTCTACTCTTTCGCCTCTTAGGTTTGGCCACACCATCAGGCATAGCGGCTGCCTTGTCTCCAGTCTTTGTCTCTTTCAGCACAGCATGAGGAACAGCAGAAGTCGGCCGGGACTGACCAGGCGTACCAAATTCCGAAGATGTTGCCAGGCCCTTGACCTGACCAGCTGCAGGTTCCTTTTGCTTGGAGAATCTGAAATTGCCGGGTTCACCCACTAGAGAAACCTCGTCCATATACTCCTTGCCATACTGTAATGTCATTCGAAGAGCATCCCACAAAACCCTCTCTCCACTGCCTGCGTCCTCTCGTACCTGAGTGATACGTCCGGTTGGTTTCTCGACGGCAGGCACCTGTGCCTCTGGTACTGGCGTGCTCTCTTTGCTTTGCTGAGTTGGACCGGATTGCGTCTGCGCTAGTGACAATTGAATCGACTTGTGGTACGTGTGCCCATAAGTCGGAGAGAAGTAAGACAAGTCTGTGGGCGCAGAGAAAACCTTCTCGAGGGACAAAACCGTGTTCAGCTGTAGTACGGGTTATTCATCGCACTAGCAGGATATAACTATGGAGCTTACCATGCGGTAATTGAGAACGCTGGCCACTGAAGGAGCTTGGTATATCACGTCATTGACAATGTAGTAATAGCCCAAGACCGTGACGCTGCTGTCGTCTTCGTTCTCTCGGTTCTGTTTTCGGATGACCCATACACTGGAATTTTCGCGGCCGTTGGGCCCATCAAACATGACCTTTTCTTCCAGCGGATCATGTTCGACCACGTACTGAATACCACGTTGATGGCGGAGATTGGCTTCGAATTTGGCTCTAGTGCCTAGAACATCATTCTGATTGGGTGTGCCTGCCCATTGGGTGATCAGAGACTGGTTGCCTGAGACCTGGTCGAAGAAGGGAGAAGTTGCAAAATAAAACAGTACTAGAGATAGAGAAGGTCAGCTTCGGCAATATCAACGACCTGATTGACGCACCATTGTTCGAGTGTAGGTAACCTCCATTCCATGCGATCCATGAAGGGTCGAAGTGGGCCTTCTCAGTCAGATCATCTTTGGTATCGGACATGTCGAATGCGATATTGGTCTAAGAGTCGGCCAGATTTGCTCATTTTGATTGGTAAAACTTCCTGGGGACAGCCTCGCGTTCTACGCCAGGCGCGATGCGTATGCCATGTATAGTGTCACACTTACGACCTCATGTCAATCGATTTGCTACAGTAAGCATGATCGAGGAGAAATGATGAAGAGGAGAAGTGCTGTCGAGAAGCGGAAGTTGTACGGGATACTACTACTTAATTGGCATATCACGTGCAAGGCTGAGACTTGGCATGGATCGTCATCGGCCAAACTATTTTCCCGGGGAAAAAAATTCGCATCTTACAGTAGTTCTTGCCGAGTCTTTGTTTGTCTAATTGAAGTGGTGTCATGGTAGGTCTTTCTTTTGATATGAGGTCCGGTCCGGCCTGAATGGTGTGCTATTTACCACTGTGTTTGTCTAAGTTGAAGAGTTACTGCGTTTCCGGTCGTTTGGCTTGGAGCAGTCTCTCCTATCGACCCAGTAGGTGCCAGACCAGACCCTCTGGAATCATTGTCTGAAACAGTCAATTTATGTCCCGGATCCTTATCTTCGATGACTATCCAAGGGTCGATCCTCTTTGTTGATGCCTACGATTCGTTTGCTGAAAATATCGCGGCCTTATTTCGCCAGCAACTACGCGTCGAGGTCACCCTGATCCAGATAGACTGCGATGTGCCCGCTCAATTCGGCCGGTCCCTGGAAGACTTCTTCGCGAGCTTCGATGCTATAGTCCTCGGGCCTGGTCCTGGAAGTCCGCAAAATCATTCAGATGTTGGTCTTTTCTCCCAAGTTTGGGGGTACGCAGGAAAAAGTGGCATACCTGTCCTGGGTATCTGTTTAGGATTCCAGAGTCTATGCCTTCAGTATGGAGTGCCTGTGGTTCGAATGGATATGCCCTGCCACGGACATGCAAAAAGAGTGTTCCATACCGACAAGGACATCTTTGCTGGGGCTAGAGATGTCGTCGCGACAAACTACAACAGTCTCGGAGTACAGGTGAAGGACCTCAAGCGCGGTTATGGCTCCAGCCGGCCAGTATCGTCAGGCTCGATGGAGAGTATCTCATCATCACAAAGTCTCCAATCTACAGCCTCGTATTTATCAAAACCGTCTCAGGATAGATCACGGCATGGGTTCGCCAACGACCTGGAAATTCTAGCATGGGATCAGAATGATTGGGTGATGGCAGTCAAACACAGGCTGTTTCCCTTCCATGGTCTCCAATTCCATCCAGAGTCGTGCAAGTCGAATCCGGAATGTCGATATATCCTCGAAAAATGGTGGCAGATTTCGATTGCCCACAATAGCATTGTGTCCAGGCCATCCTCTCGAGAAACAATGCAGAGATTGCCCTACGCCCCGCTCTCGACCAACTCCAACTCTGAGAGCAGTAATAGGTGCCCGTTACTGAAGAAATTGTCCCAGCTGGCAAAGTCGTCTGGCAACCACGTAACGTGCACAACTATCTCACTAGCCGGGAAAGCCGACGACATCGCTTCCCTGTGTCACGAGATGTCGCCCTCAGGGCCTGTTGTCATGCTAGAATCTACAAAAAGAGGGCGGTACAGTATGTACGCATTCCCCGACTCCTCGAATTTCCACATGGAGTATGCCAGAGAGCAGTGCTCGATCTTTCAAGTGGGTTGTCGTGTTGCCAGGTTCCACCTCGACCGGGAAATTGTTATGCAAACTCTGGAAGCCTTCACCTGCAGCAAACAGACAAAGGATGACGAGCATTCAATCCCATTCCGAGGCGGCTTCATGGGTTTCTTATCCTACGAGTTTGGAACGACGTCACTGAATATGGATGTCCCTCTTCAGCAAGGTTCGGAGCCTTCCACCCCGGACATCAGTCTCCTCTGGGTTGATCGCAGCATTGTATTCGACCAGGCTACCAGAAAAGCATATGTGCAATCGATCAGGCAAGACGATCGTTTCTGGGTCGAAGAGATGGTACAAAAACTCATGAGCATCTCGCAGTTAGATGGCCGGTCTGCAACCCCCTCGGAAGACACCAGGCTCCGGGATCATCTGTCTTTTGCCACTTTCACTATGCCTGACCATGACCAATACATATCCCAAATTCGAGCCTGCCAATCCGAGCTGCTGGCAGGCAATTCGTACGAGCTGTGCCTGACAACCGAAGCAACAGTCTACACACCCCGCAAGCTTGACTACTCGTGGCTCATATATAAGAACATTCAGCGGCACAACCCAGTCCCGTATGCCTCATACCTGCGCTTGAACAAGATAACAATCCTGTCCTCGTCACCTGAGCAATTCCTGTCGTGGTCACGCGAAGGCACGATCGATATGATTCCGATGAAAGGCACGGTCAAAAAATCTCCGGATATGACGCTCGACAAGGCCAGCACCATCCTTGCGTCTGCAAAAGAGAGCGCCGAGAACTTGATGATTGCTGACTTGATCCGCCACGATCTGTACAGCACGGTGGGCCGGGATGCGGTGGTCGAGGTTGTCAAGCTGTGCGACGTCGTCGAGACAGAGACAGTCTTCGCTCTCGTTTCGCATGTCCGGGCCCACGTGCCGCCTGCTGAGTTGCACGCTGATGAACAGAAGCAGGACATGACCAAGTATGGCATTAAGGCACTTGGCCTCACCCTTCCGCCAGGGAGTATGACGGGCGCGCCCAAAAAACGCTCGTGCGAGATTCTTCACCATCTTGAGCAGCGTGATAGGGGTGTTTACTCGGGTGCCATTGGTTATATGGATGTCAATGGAAACGGGGCATGGTCTGTATGCATCCGGACAGCATTCTCAAATGAAGACGATGAGGTTGCCACTTCAGACGATGTCGACGGTCAACCCTGCAGCATGCCAAGATCCGCACAGAAATGGCGCATTGGGGCAGGCGGAGCGATCACGGTACTCAGCGACCCTGAGCAGGAATGGGAAGAGATGATGACCAAGCTCGACAGTGTGCTGCGGGGATTCCGACTAGATTAGATTCTACCTCGCTGGAAAGGTTTGCTCAGTTTCGACTGTATTGAATCACATCTTGGCCACAAGGGTGACAACGACCCGGGCGATACGAGAACAATGGCGTTCCAGCGGGCGCTGATGTTTATGGCTTTCACAGAGGACAAGGTGGTTTTTCACATCACACGGCGTTTTCGGTCTGGATTGTGACCTGGTAGGAGGAATCTGGCGATTCAACAATGCACGAGATGGACAAGGCATCGCAAGTCACGGTGTTTTAAGTTACATCCAACAGGACAAGAGCACGAGGCGCAAAGATAGGACTGGGGTTCTATTCAACTCGGCACAAGTCGAGGAACGCGTGAACATGACGAGTTTTGATTTCCATCCCACATAGAAGGATCAGAGGACTTGAAGGGCAAGACGTAAAATACTATGTACTAGTTTCATGGCTGATGTATATGAACGAGATCTGTAGCATCATAGCATCATCCGGACAGGACAGGACAGATCTGGGCCTCTTACTCAGGCCCTTAAACCGACTGCTCGGCTTAGTCTTTAGTCTTTGGAGCAACAGAGCAATAGAACGGACAACGTAGAGGGTAATTAGAACCATCGCTAATTGGCCTAAGCCCTTTCGTGATGTTGAGTCTCGGGGGACGTCTATCTCCATTGTGCGATGTGCCCTTATGTACCGTATTGAACCGCCAGATCCCCCAACCTAGCCTATGCAAGCAGACAGAGAGAGTGTGGGTGTGTTTCAGACATGTCTCACCCACTTCCCAGCGGCAGTCTATCCTGTCCTCCCGTAATGTACAGCTTCCAGTACACTTTGAGCCCGTCAATGGAAATCAATACCAAGGTCTTCTTCGCATTGCAGATGCATGACCCACCGAATACCTTTATCGCCAGCGCGGCATGCTCCGTCCCATTCCTTCTAGCCCATACAGCAGCCCGCTGCCGCGATAACTCGTCAATCATCAATTTTCCAACAAAGGTGCTCGTTCTGGGTTCGTAGTCTGGCCTCTTGTAGCGCGAGACCCCTGTGCCTCCCCCATGACTCGCACGACACGCCCAAAGTATTGCGCCACAAAGCCTTCGGTGTAGAAACTGTGGTCGGAACTGTGGTCACCGACAAGATTGTGTGCCAGCTCATGACAGAGGATGACCCACCAGTAGACGAAGGCGTCAGAATAGGCATCCGAAGATCCTGCGCCTGCTGCAAGACTCCGCTCGTGGAGTTCCTGGTAATAGCGATAGTTGCAGAAGATGCTGCCGTTGCGGTTGAAGGCAATTGTCTTACCCGATGTCTCAAAGAAAATGTTCAAGGTTCGTGGGTTCAAGCTAAAAACCTCACCCACAGTCTTGAGGAGGGTTGCAAAGGCAGTCAACCCAGACGAATGCTGTTGAAGGAAGCTGGATGAATTGCTGACGGACGAAGGAGATAGGTACATTTGGATCCCATCCTTGATGTCTGCCACGAATGTGAGGTCGTGGGCGGGATGTTCATCGCAGTAGGATTTGGTTTCTGACAGGATATTCGTTTCGCCGCGAGAATAGAGGTCCGAGGAGTTGTGAGGGCGGGACTTCTTGATGGCGTTCAGCAAGTTCTCGCGGAGCTGATGAGGTGCCGTGATGGAGTCGTTGGGTCTCTGCTGTCCTCCTCCCTGCTGGCCATACTCGTAGGGCGGAGGAGGTTCTTGCTCCCCACTTGTCATAGCTCTCTGAGAGCCAGTCTCTGGCATGGCATCTACATTCTGCCCGAGCATGGATTGAAGATGACGGTTGCTTCCCAAGCCAAGTTGACGTGAGAGGTTCAAGAACAGGTTCCGGCCCTGCCGTGCACGCTCATCAGAATCCATGGACAGGGTGTCCTGGTCAGGGCCAGTCTGGACGACTGCATGATCGGGCGAGTCTGGGAAACCGCCTGGCAATTCATTTCGCTGTGCTTTCTGGGTTGCAGCTTGTTGCTGCGAAGCTCGCCATGTCTTTTCCTCTTCCTCAATGCGCTTTTGCTGCTCCTCAAGCTCTTGTTGTCGCTTGTTTTCTGCAAGTCGCGCCTCAGCCGCTTTTTGTCGCAGAATACGAGAAACGTTAAAGCCACGAGCGCGGAGATCCAGCAAATCCGTCTTCAGTAGCATTTCGAGTGTGATTGCAGAATGGAGTTTGGGTCGAGTAAGCAGAATGTTCACCAAAGCCTGGCTAACCTGGTAGAGGTCAGGCTTAGCGCCTGTGATCCACAAAGTATACTCGCGGTTGACCTGTGTAATGACAGCAGTGCGCTTCTCGGTATGACTGACGTTTCGTCCTCGCAGAGATCTCCTCAGAGAGATTGATGATACCAGCTGCACGGTAAGGTTCTTTCCCAGCCATTTCGCGTCATGTTTGATGGTATCTGGAGGATGTTCGTGCAGAAACAGCGTCGATCTCTCTAAGATCTGTTTCTGTAATTTCTCGGCTGGCTTTTGATCCGGTAATCGGGGGCCATGGCGCGCTGCTTCCTCAACCAAGGAACTCAGAAGTGGCGACCCGAGAGCATAGTAAAAATCTTCGAGACTCTCTTCCTGAGGTGCAGCAAGAATATTGGTCTTGAATAGGTTATAATTCAGATAGTCATCAATGATGATGGCATCTTGGGCACTGCACAACTGAAATTCACGAATACCCTGGGACTCCTCCTCATCGAGATTGTCAGCTTCGTCCCCACGCCCAGTGGACTTATCAGCCAGAGATGACACAGATGGGAGTTCTTTACTCGCAAGTAAAAACGGTGCTCTCTTCATTTCCGCAAAAAGCTCCTTGTTCTTCTTCAGAGTCTTCACGTCATCAGCCATACTGCGAAGAAGAGCCATATACTTCTCGACGTTGCGGAACGTGGCAGAGACGCGTGCAGGCTCTCTGACGAGGATCTGTGCTATCTCTATTTTGGAAGGCTCTTGTTTTGAACCACACTTGATCAGGAACGAGTTGCCTTCGTAGCCGAAATCGACGTAATGGAAGATTTCGCCAAACACGTCGCTCTCGCCGAGAAAGCAATTTCGTGGCGAGGTGTGGATCTTTGCGGCCGACTTCTCTTTATCTTTTGAGAAAATGGGAACAAAGTCTAGATTGTTCAACCTTGGGATGTTGCTGCCATTGATCTCATTCAAACGACCGGCAAAATATGAAAAGATGGCACGAGCATCTCGAGACGTCGTTGGAGGTCGTTTTGCAAGGACGTTGATGCAGATTTCCATCGGTGGGTTCAGCCTGACCCCGAACTTCGTTGCATGCGGCACCCAGTCACGCTTCAGAGTGTCAAACCCAAGGAGGGCTGCACCTTCATCTGCAAAACATTGTGAGGGTATAGCAAGCTCGTCTGCCTTGTTCTCAAGTGGCAGGAACGGTAGCGTGATACGGGAGTAGTCGAAGGCGCCATATCCATAGGCGTGGTGATGGGACAGGAAATACGCGAGGGCCCTATCTCGAAGATCAAGGTTTGTCGTGGCTCCCTTTTTGCCTGCTTGGGCCATGATGGCAACGAGTTCTTCCACCACAGGCGTGGTTCGCAGACCCAGCGAGCTCAAGAATTTCCCTTCAGGGCTGCTATTGCGATACACACCTGTCCAAGCTAGGACTGGGAGGCCTAGCTCGCGCAGGTCCGGCCGTGGCTCAAATAGTTCCGAGATTTTATAGCGCTTCGAGGTATTGGACTCCTCTTCGTCTTTAACCTGTCTCTGGAAGATTGGCGTACTCCTGAGTTTCGCGATATCAGGCCCGGGAATGTCTTCACGCACCGAGGCGAGATAGTGGATCAGATCAACATGGCTCCATTGAGGCTTTGCCGTGGACTCGGGGGTTGCGGATTTAGAACCCACCGTCAACAGCCGCTCGAAGACAACACCCAGCTCCACAGTCTTGCGGACACCCAGTGCCACCAAGAATTTATCCTTCACATTTCCAAGGCCTTTGATCGTTGCAAGGTCATCGAACAACTTAACACTGGGGAAATACGAATCCCCAGGCTTCTTCATTCCAAACTTTGTCGGGATGACGGTGTGTTTGACGAGTAATTCAACGAGAGACGTCTTGGACTGCTGGCTGAGCGAGTCCCATTGTTTCGATAGAATAGGCAGGATTTGTGCACTGAATTCCGGTGACCGTGTGATATCTTGGTCATCTGCCAAACCCTCACGGTTTCCGCAGCGGCTGATCAGCCACCGTACCCATGGCACGAGTTGCAGCTCCTCCCAGCCCAGGCTTTCCAAGTCATGTTTGTTCATGCTTCTGGTGAACTTGAAGGGCATGACTGTTGGCGGCACCGGGAGATCAACAGGAGTTCTGCTAGGATTCAGGAAATGGCGGATCTCTCCGAGTTGAAGAATGGGGCTGCTATTGCCCTCGGGCATGCTATCATTTACCACAGCAACTGTCAGCAAGCTGGAGACTGTAGCCCTATCGAGGGTTCCCCGAGTAGACTGCTTAGTGAGCCATCCAAGAAATTCAGACAGTTGGAGCGGAGTGAGAGGATTGGACTCAAGGGCCAGCTTGATGTCCGAAACCGTCACCTCCGTTAAGAGACCGAAATCGACAAGTTTGGAGACCAGAGTTTTGGCCTCCAACGCCAGTTTCTCGGGGAGGATTGGGACGCCTTCCATAAAGCTTAAATCTTTCGGAGCTATACGCACAGCATGGGTCGGCAGAACTCCACAGGTCGACACTACTTCGATAGAGGCCTCTTTGCTGCAAGTCCAAAAGGCATCCTCCAGAAGTTGTCCGATCGATGGAGACGGGGTCGAGTCTCGGAAAGTGAAGTTCTTGAATATGGTGATGGCCTCTTGCAGAAATGGTGTTACTTCTGCCATACGGATCTTTGAGCGGCCATTTGCTTCTCGCTGCGTCTTCTCTTTGATTTCTTGCATCTCACAAGACCAGGCTATCCTGCAAACAATGCCGGCAGCACGAAGCATCTCCATGTTCCATGTCCTGACGTATCTCGCATTCAAGTCAATCGCCTCTCTCTCGACGGTGGGGATGACGGAAGGCGCCGAGATATGGGCACTCAATCCTGTCGTCTGATGCGTAGGAAAGCCGATGAAGATCTTGCCTCCTCTACCTGGGAGCACGGTACCGAAGACGTCGCCAGCCGCAGTTGCCTTTGTTAGGCTTGCATCCTCAATGTACGGAGCTGTCAGGATGGCGAGCTTTGTGAATTTGGGAGGAGGCTTCTTGGTGGCCCGTTCCAGTTCCTCATTGAATTTCTGACCAGTGAACGTCTTGATGGTTGCTGTGTTGACATTGAGGAACACGGTCGCAGAAACTTTGGATGTAAGAAGGTCTGCCTCAACTGGTCGATCTGGTTTGGCGTCCGGCTGGCTCTCTTCCTGTGTCGTCCCAGCAAGCCGCGAGAAGAACTTGCGGAGAGATGTTCCGGTTTCACGATCAACTGAGCGATTGCTGTCCTTCGTCGATTTCCATCCTACGACAGCCATCCATTCTCCATCGATCTGCGCAATCTGCTTGGAGACTTTGGTCACTCTCATGAAACCTTCACTCGTCTTGGGCTCAATGTTCCGTGGGATTGCCACCTCAAAACTTGGTGAATTTTTCTTCTTCAGTAAAAGGAGGTTCCATTCATCTAGCCAAAGTTCAATATTCTCTAGACCAACGAACGTGAGACTATTCGCCAGGAATTGCGTGAGAGGTAGTAAAGGAGGGACTGGAGACGTGGAATCCCGGTAGTCGAGTACGAAATTTGTGTCGGAGGTCTCTGATTCAGGAAGCTGTAACCGTCGTGTGAAAAGAGAATTATTCTTCCAGAAAAACGCCATTGCTTCTCGACCCGAGGAGACAAAAGGGCTTTCACAGTCTGCAAAGGTGGAGTAGAAGCCCACGCCAAAAGCACCTATCTTCGTCTCATCGGGGTTGCCCTCAGCGATTCTCTTCAACCTGTTCCAGTCGTTCTCACTGAAGGGAAGCCCATTGTTTGTGACCACCAGTCTCTTCAGTGTATGATTTTGCACTGTGTGCTTTAGCATATTCGACGAGGAGGCATCTGAGGGCAACGGAACGGTGGCAGATGGTATTGTTTCGAATTTGATGGTGACTTTTGTTGCCGAAGCATCTGCAGCATTTTGTAGCAGTTCCCTCAAGACCGTCCATTCTCCTGAATATCTGGCCAAAACCTTATCAATCAATGCTCTTGTGTTAACCGTAACAGCCTCCTCGTCAGCGCCAGATCGCAGGGTCCGCGCACGAAGGGCATCGAAATCCATCTGGGTCGAAAGGATGGCACACGGTTGAAAGAAGGAGGGGTTCGCTCAGAGTTGGGATAAGGGACGAAAGGTGAATGTGCCGGAAAAGGAATGTAGCGTCGTCGCCACGCTGGCGAGTCTCTCTTGAAGCGGGAGAGCAGTTTAGACTCAAGCCCTCCTGGCGAGGAATATTATCGAATAGGTAAGCCTCTATGCCACGGCCAAGTGGACATAGGATCTCTGAGGGATGTAGAGAAAATGTTCAGTAATTAATTATACAAGAAAGCGAGGGAAGTCAAGGAAAACAAACTCAGAGGTAGGCCGGACAACACCCAACATGCTGTGAATCGGAGGGCGAGGACGAGGCTGACGTCGAGACTCGATACGCGGAGTACGGAGTAAACACTGCGCCACCAACTTGTACGGTGAAATGGCAGCCTAAACCTGCTGCAGCGAGCCGCCCCCAACCAGGAAGGCTAGCCGCGCCGATTCCTCGCCGCTTTGACGGGGCTTAGGGGCTTAGGTCTATATCTCCAAGCTAATTGTGGTTATTTCCTCTACCATTACTCGTACACGGTGGCCTCGAGCCCTTTCTCCGACATCTCCTTTCCCCAGGGCTCGCCCGGTCATCTAATGGCAAGAATCTCGCAAGGCACACCGCCACGCCGATCACGCCGATCCCGGGCACTGGGACGAGGCGACGGATGAAGGTGTATTCTTACACACAACCATTGCATTAGGCGGTCTTGCTAGGCTATACGTCCAACCCACCCATCGAAAGCGCGTAAAGCAAAGACGTCTTTGCTGCTCGTGGTGAGGTCGGCTAGCGTATTCAATGAAAGTTCAGGACAGAGCTCCTTGTTGACGACTGCAGACAGCGGATGAGCTTGGAGCTCGAGTGGGCTACCGACGAGGCGTACAACCTGAAGAGAAGGACGGGTTCCGCAAAGCAAGGAAAGCATAACGACCTGACGCTGGACGAGAGCGTTACAGACATTGAGCAGGCTGCAGAAGCCACTGGGAATACCTACCCACCCTTCGAAAGCGATCCTCTCCTTGTCATGCTACTCAAGTTCAAGCTACCGATGATGCTCCTATTTATCAATGGCCTTTACTCATTTTCCTGCTCTTTCATTCCATTTCGATCAGTCAGAATTTGTTTGATACTGATTCACACACTTTCGCCAAAGACTCCAGCATGCCTATGATCCGTTCACCACATTCATCATTCTAGTCACTGCCAGGGATTGCTCACTCGCAATAATCCAATGCTTGTCTACGAGGCGCTGGAGCGCGTCGCGGACCCAGTTGTGACAATTCCAGCCACTGCTGCTCTGGATTGGTGTGGAATATAACACCGCTCCGATTTGTGCAATGGTTTTGCCGGTGATCGTCGCCACGGATATCTCATTGAGAAACTTTGTAGATTGTCTCGGTTCAATGTTCTCCTTCATAGCTTTAGTAAAATAAGGCGCTTGGCCGATAATGTGCACCATCAAATTTGAACCATTGCTCGTCTCGATGAAAAGAGCCGTATGTCGGGATGATGGCCCATCTGGCGTACCTCTAAAGATGAGGACTTTCAGCGTCGTTGCCATCTTTGAATCTAGTACATCTTAGCCATGTAAGTAAGAATCAGGACAACATTCACTGTACTCTAGAGTGTCAACCTCGTTTTCTTGGCGTAGCAGGAGACGTGTTGATCAGGGTCAGCGGTGATATCAAGAAGAGACCGGCCCAAAGGCTGAAATGTGGCAGAAGAGTCATACTTATCACTTCCCATCAACTCACAATGACAACTCATCCTCCATATCATCTCGACTTATCCTAGTTCCCTGACCGCGTGGCGCATGATCGCATGTCTTCACCTGCGCGCGCTCCAATCAGGATGGCCGCTCCTCTTTACACCTGAAGTTGTTTGGGTTGATCCTCTTCAAGCTCCCGACCTCTCAATCCCCTTCGATAATGCTCTAGAGACAAAGAAAGACCCCCATTTTGTGACGAATGCAAATCATGGCCGGGGACTGCTCCGAACTGGGCACATTAAGAAGGGCCTGGATGAACGATGGGCAAGCAACATGAAGGTGCAAGTAAAAGTTACAGGTTGCAAGTTGCAAGGTGCAAGTTGTAAGTTGCAAGGGATGCTGGCCTGACGGGAGAGAACATTGGCATATTATTGGCAGGCGTTAATCTTCCCGCCCAAGGCAAGAGCCACTGTACGAAGCCTACACCAATCAGATGAGGGGTTTCTCCAAGGTAAGAACAAGAGGAAGGTGCGTATGCTTTTCCTCATCCGATACGTTACAGATGGCACAACACCCATCCGTCTTGTCATCCATCTTGTCATCCATCTTGCCATCCATCTTGTCATCCATCTTGTCATCCATCTCGTCATCCGTCTTATCGGCCCTCTCATCGTGCCTCCTGTATTTACACCAGCCTGCCCACACTTCGAAGGGGAATGTCTCCGGGCACCCATTTCGACACCCATTTCGTACCGCACCCATTTCGGAGTTAATCGGCTATCTCGTTGAGTGGTCGGTATTGTACGACGATAGAGACGTTGTGCGAGGACTCCTTACAGAGGCTTACGGGCTCCTTACAGAGGCTCCTTAGGCCGCCTATAGTGCCTACATACTAGGTAATGCACGACGCCTATAACGCCTATAGCGCCTACAACACCTTACTTATATAATCTCTCGACCTCGTGTGGTGGTGCTGATCGATCTCCCTCTCCTAACTAGGCGTACGAGCACCCCGTCTCCACGGCCTCGCTAAAATTAGGTAGAGAGAAGAGGAAGAGAGTTTACACGGCTAAGTACTAGGAGGCGAAGTTATAGAACCTTAGAATAAGAGGCCGGAGAGCGTTCGATAGCCTTGTAAAAGGTGGGCGCTCAACAGGATGTTATAGGCGGCGACGAGGTCTTAGCGATCGTACATACTATCGCACTACTAACCCTGATTAGGTAACTCCGGATAACTCCGAAATGGGTGCGGTACGAAATGGGTGTCGAAATGGGTGCCCGGAGACATCCCCCTTCGAAGCCTTCAACCGCCCTAGCTTAGCGTCCAGTCTGGCGTCCACTCTGGCATGCGGCCTAGGTAGTTACGTCACCTAACATGGAAGGTTCGTGGCTGTCAGGTAATAGAGGTATTGTACTTTGTTATAGTGGGAAAGAGGTCACTCCTTACATTGTGCTCACAGACAGATGATCTCCGTGGATGGCATGACGCCATCTCCGTTTTACATGCGAAGTTCCGGTGCTAGCCTTCGATGAGTGCCGCATCAAGTCATGCGAGTTGTGATGAAGCTGCAGCTCGTCTGCACGGCCACAGTATAACAGGAAACGGCCGACATGAACGTCGTCAACCTGTTCACGGCTTGCTAGTCTATCTGCGAGTACGACCCTTTGCTATCATGCATCCATCCCAAGAGTCAACGAGACGGGAGTCGACGCTGCTGCCACCTCACTTACTCCCTAACATTAGGATACCTGCATCAACTGCGACGATTGGGAGAGTTGGTCATCCCGCAGCTGCTGGTTACGCTGCTGTGCCACCTCTGTCCCGGCAATGTGCTTACGCCTCTGAGGATGGCCTCCAAGCTTTGTTCAGTCCGAAGTACTGATATCCCAATGAACGTTGGGAGATGATGTGTGCCACTGAAACTCTGAAGCCTGACGAACAGAGCTCCCGAGTCGAAGACGGTATCCATTATGAAGCACGCAAAGAGCCGGGCTAAGATTGGCTTGCTCTCTACCTGTGGTACCCCTGGAGAAGCACAAAGAAATCGCCGTGGCATTACCAAATACCATAACACGTGGCTCAGTGAGCGAGGCACCGCGTGAGGAAAGCGTCGACCGTGAACTGAAGATCGTAGGTTTCAGGGAAAATATGTTCGGCATAGTTGATCCAGTCCAGTGAGGGGTCCGGTGCATTAAAGAACTTTACATATTCCCAGTACTCTGGATACCATCCAGCACTTTCCCAGTCCAGTATACCTACAATCTGACCGTTATTGACAACAATATTTTGTGGACTGATATCACAATGAGTAAGAACGATATTATGGTTCGTCTTCATCAGTCGCCTAAAGGTCGAGCGAAATATTTCCGGAGTTGCAGGACTGAGATCGGATAGTAGAAATTCATTGAATTGCTCCTCGGTTGAGAACGGTCCGCCCTCGAGCTTGAACATACGGACATCTACTGCAGGAGTGTCGTAGATGCCCCCGATCATAGTATTCCGGTGTTGCCGTATTTTATCGAGAATCTCCCGAACTTGTCCGACAAGTTTCATCTTTTCCTTGTCACATAGCTCCGGCCAAATTGCGGATAAGATTCTACCTGGAATGTATTCCATTGCAATCACTTTAGTTCCATTGTCGTGAATATAATCGCGATATACTCGCGGAACCGGGATATTGGTCACCTCGCTAATAAAGCGAAGATATTTCGCCTCAAAAGGGCTTATATCGGACCCAAACTTCAGAACAATGTTGTCGAGGCGAAACACTTTTCGTCGTACGGAGTTAACGAAAATAGACTGTGACTGCCTGAAGGTCTCATTGAGGCGGGGCAAATCCTCGACAATTCGGGAAAGCTCAATTGCTTTGGCCATGCTTTCCTGCTCATCTCCTTCTTTTTGGGTGTTCTCTTGCGCTGCGGCCATGTTGAGTTGGACAATTAGTGACACTCGTGACGATGTGGCTTTCCCGATGTTTGTAGGGACAATAGGTACTGCTCTAGAGTTGAGGAACTTGATGGAGCACCGAGAGGCAGTGTTGCTGAGAATTGTTTGAAGCCCTTCTTTGTACGACAGGAGACAACAGAGGCTGGGAAGGAGTAGGATCAATGAGACCGCAGAAACGAAGCGCCAAGATATAATGTAGTTGCTTTGGGAATAAGTTGTTGCCAGTATTAATGCCTGCAGCTACAGATCCAATGTCATAGGCGTGACGTCGTCTATCGGTGCGACCGAGTGATGGCTGTATGACGACCTTTATAAGCGCCCGTTGTTCGCAATGTTGGCGTCGTTCAGGAAAGGGAGCGCGGCCGCTTTACTCGGGCACGGGACGGATGCCCGGCTGAGCACGGGAGAGCGTCGCGGAAGCCATTTCACCCATATGTTGAGATACACCGTGTTACTGAGGTACTCCGTACTGCGCCACTTTTCAGGCAGGTGCCTGCGTAAGGTAGCTTTGCCGACGTATTATGTAAAGACCCTTAAATTGCAAGGTCACGTGCCAACTTTGTGGACAACGTTCTCCATCAGCAGGCGATCATTGTATCTGCCCCCTTGCGACCTCTACTCGCCGGTCACAACGGTCCAGATATTGATCGCAGTTTCTTTCTGTGGCCGTAACAGGACTATCTGAGGAATCCGTCCTTGGCCATGGTCCCTCGCTCATATTCTTGGCCTTGAACTTCGATGCATTCGCTACAGCCATGTCACGATGGGATATAACCCTTTTCTACCCACCGCTGGCGCGAGAGTCAACGTCTTATGCGTCCCAGCTGGTCGAGTCGCGCCTGGCCGCTTTCAGAAGCTTATCAGCTTGTTGCAGACCGCCGCGGTCGTCAAGCTCAAACTTGAGGAATCTTTAAAATTCCCCGAAGGTAATTTCGTCAGAAGCGTCGCCGCAAACACGCACGACTTATACTCTTAGATGGCTCGTATGCGTCCTCCAACGAAGAGAAGTGTATCTTCTACGATATCTCGGCAACCCGAGATTCTGGACGACCGCACCTGTTCCCGCTTGAAACGAACAGTCGATGCCAGATTCTGCTAGGGCTCATCGACGGCGAAAGGGTTGAAGATGCCGTGGATAACACTTCCGACGTCTTGTCCGATCTTGATACCACCAAAACTACCTTTACCCAACAACTGCCGCCTCACCCGGGCGTTCTTGTCCGTCGACTGATCTACTGCGGCAAGGAAAGGCCTGCATCACTCGATCCTGATATCCTCTTCATGTCAGATGCCGATAGCACCGAGGTTGCACGTGATGTCATGACCAAAATATCAAGACTACTTATGAGCGGAGTGGCTGCATTTATGGAAGACCTCAAGGATCAGCCAATTAGTATGGTGCCTGGTGCTAGTTCCCAGACCCTCGCGCGGACTGGTAACACACCAATACCCTCGAGCGCCAGCCCTGTTTCAACGCCAGGGAAGTCACCAGGACCTGTGCCTCCTTCACCTGAGACACAAATACAGGTACGTTGTCGACCGACCTCGGAAGGCAATTCCGGTGGTAGTTTGTTTTGCACATAGCTCTGACTCCATATCAGAGTGATACCTCAAGAGGGCGCTTTAAGATCATACAGGGCATGTATCATCTCCAGTGCGGACTCTGGAGTGATGCCCTAGACTTACTTTCTGACGGCGCCTCCATTGCCCAAAACGGCCATGATCACCTTTGGCACGGAAAGGCGTTGGAGAGCCTTCTTTTGTGCATGTTACTCTTTTCCTGGACTGGTTCAGCTTTCACGGTCCCTCAGGTATGCCGTTTTCTACCCAATAGGAATGGTAACTTCCAGACAGATGTCTCGTCAACAGCCGGCGATTCACGAAAGGCCTTAGCTCGGTTGATGCCGCCAATCGTTGAGACTGTCCTCGAGCTCTACGATAAGGTGTCAAATCTAGATCTCGGAGGGTCATTACAAGATGTCCTAAGAGAATCCCGCGTCAGAAATGTGAATATACTGGTCTTCGTCAAAAGATCTGGTGGTGTCTTGACCAGAGACTGCCTTGACCAATTGGTTCGAGGCCAAACCAAAACGCAACTCGACTTGGTGGACTCTGACGGGGAGACTGTTGCAATATCAAAGGCTGGTCTGGCCAACATCTTGATTGAGACACTTCAGGTATCGCAGTCAAGCAATGATTTGACTCACTCTACCAGCATGTTAGTCGCGGTGGTTAGCAGCCTTTCCATCTTGGGGCTGGATCGGAAACACGCGTTCTACCTCAAGCAATTGATGCAAAAGTTCATCTCCAAGCTGATTGAAGCAAGGAAGGTCGGCGCTTCTGAAGCTGGGATCCATCCTGCAGCCGGACTTCCGCCTGTTAGCCATGCACTCCACGGGATCATCCCAGAAATGGCCATAGGTATGAGGACGATGCTGAGTCTTGCAGCCGGGGCATATGGAGTACCGTTACCCTCATTTCCTCCATCGAGACAATTCCTGCTAGCAGATATCAATGACATCGTTGGGAAACTCCAAATATGGGTTGCCGAGCATAGCTCTGGGGACTTGTTCCTGAAGCTAGATATGCTGAGGACATGTGTCAGCGTTTGTGAAGCTTTGCCGGATGTACCTGCAGGCGTCTACCTCACGTCCACCATTCTGCGCGCCGCAAAGCAAGTCATCACACTGCCGAAACAACCCAGCACTACTCCTCCATTGATATCGGCGGAGGAGCAATCCCGCTTATTGGACAATATCAGACGTGGAGTATCAGCGGCCTCTAGGTTGGGTGCTCCAGGCTGCCGTGCTGAGTACTGGGACGATTTTCTCGTTCGAGATGTTCAAGTGTTTGAACGAGACGACTCCTCCAAACTAATCCCACATAAACCCAGTGACCTTTCCGTCCGAGGGAGTGGCCTCACTGAGACCATTCGAGACCCCTTCATTTACAATCCTTTCTCGAAACCAAAATCTGCGGTTACCGCTCCTGTCCTGGTGGCGGGGCAATTGGCCACTTTTGCCGTACTTCTCCAGAACCCGCTGGAGGTGGAGGTTGAGGTTGAAGATATTGCTTTGGTTACAAAAGGCTGTGGCTTCGTCCCGTCACACCATAGTGTTGTTTTGGGCCCTGTGTCGATGCAAACGTTTACCTTGAGCGGCATGCCGACAGAAGAGGGTGATCTGGAAGTGGTTGGCTGCAGAGCCAGAATCCGGAATTGCTACGACCAAGAATTCCTGGTCTTCCGCGAGGATTGGCACTTACCAATGAATACCAAGCAGAGTGCCGCAGGCAGAGTCCGTCTTAGGACGAGTCGAACAGCAGATGCTAGCGAAGAAACTGGGAAGCTCATCTCTGTCCAGTTCAACTTACCGACAGCCACTACCCTTCAGCTGAAAGTCGTCAGCGCTCAGCCACGAATTGCGGTCAAGTCCAATACGCTCGGAAGTTCGGCGATTATGTTACTCGAAGGGGAGAGTAGAGTGTTTGATCTGGACCTGATCAACGAGGGTACCGATGTACCCGCGGATTTTATCCTGGTCGCCGCCGAAGATTCTGTCAGTTCAAGGCTACAGGAGGCGCTCTCGAATAAAGATCTGAGTGCCGCTGAACTGTATGAGATCCAGAATCAGTTGGCAGTCACTCCAGCCGTCGACATCAAGAAAAAGGGGCTGGACGAGTCGGTCAAGATCCTCGAACCTGGTCAGACCATTACCTACGAAGTCACAATTGTTGGCCGGCCGGGGCTGGTCAGCGCTACTGTACAAGCAGATTACGCATACCTTGGATCACCTTCGGCAGAGGTGAAGGGTACTTTCTACACCCGACAGGTCCGTTTTCCAATTGCCATCACTGTGAACGGAAGTGTCGAGATACCGCGATGCAACATCCTATCCGTTCATAGCGACTTCGCCTGGGAGTCTGGCGCTGCATCTAATGGCGAGGAGGATTCATTAGGGCCGGTCCAGACCCGAAGCACTGGCGTCTCCAAACTCTCACATTGGTTAAGGACCCGATATGACGCCGGCGAATGTTGCATGCTATCGCTGGATCTACGCAATGTCTGGCCACAACCTCTCAGTATCGATATCCAAGCTCGAAAGCCAAAGTCAGACTTGACTCTCACACAAGGGCCGCCGCCAGAGGCGTATACAGTTATTGAAACATTGCAGCCTGGCCACGTCACCCGGGTTGTGCTGCTAGTCCCACTGCTATTCATCGAAAATCCTCACGCCCAGATACCGAATCTCGAGATGCAAAAGCAGTTTGTGGTAGCGACGTCCAAGCTGAGTGCCGAGGCGGAAGCAGTAAGCAGAGAGTCGTTCTGGTACCGGGAAGAGCTTCTCAAATGCGTACGAGGCACGTGGAAGGAAGAAAGCTCGGGGAGACATGGGGAGATTGATCTTCGAAAGGGAATAAGGCTAAGCCCACGGATGGTAGATGTGCTCAAGATGGACCACGTCGATTTCGAATACATCCTCGAGCCATGTGATGAGGAAGCCGAGGAAGTGGAAAGCGATGCGTACGGGGCTGTGAAACAAATCGGAAAATCGCATTTCATCCTCAAGTCTGAAAGGTTCGCGACCTTGTCAGTCAAGGTACACAACCACACCCAGGATACTCTCCCACTCTTGCTTCGACTTCAGCCCGCACTTCGGCATCAGCCGCACAATATAGCACTGGATCTATCCAGACGATTCGCGTGGTCCGGGGTCCTGCAGCGCGCCTTACAGCCTGCGATCGAACCGGGTGGCACAGGCTTGGCCGAGCTGGGCATCATAGCGCTAGTCCAAGGTGAATACGAGATCACTGCATCAGTCGAGGAGATTAAGGCACACCGCCTTCCCAGGGCTGCGAAGACGGGCGATGCTACAGGCGCAGTCTCTGAAAGGAGGATCTGGCATGCGCGATCGCCATGTGTGATCGACGCTGTGGCAGAATAACAGCTTCGTCCCGCTTTGGTCGGCTATCTCAAAGGACAGACAGAACGAGGTCAATGATCTGCAAAAAGACGTCTCTCTCCAGTTCGACCTTGGCGAGGCCCAGCCCGAACATCAGTTGACGACTCTCCTCTGGAGACTTAGTGATGATGGCATTTGCAAGCTGAGAGGTGTACAACTGGCCCATTGCCTCGCGATCGGAGCCACCAGCGCCAAGCAGGATTCGTGGAGAGAAGCGAGCCGACGGCAGAAGGGCGTCGTCTCCAGAGCGGTGCGTTTGGAAATAAGGATCTGAATGGGTTGGATTATCGCTCAGGAGTGGCACCGTGACCTTGAAACGATAAGTATAGACCCGGGACAGACAGCTTTGTCTTATTTCTTATGGCTAGACATACCCACTGCGACAGTTTGCCGTTTTGCGTAATCGTGATCATGATTTTGTCGGCAAAAGAGATGCTCATAACATCGGTCTTGACACCGTTCACTTCGCCTGCGGCTTGCCTTGTGGAGGCAGGAAAGGGCACTGTGACTTGGGTTCCATCCATGCCATCCATGTTGGTAGTTTCGTAGTCTTGTGGCAGACCCATGTCCACGGATGGTTGATAGAGCAGCAGAAATCGAGTCAAACATCAACCTGGTGGTGCCTGGGGAACCAGGAAGGTCACGTGACCGAGGCCTGAGCCCTTTCACCGCCCGAGAGGCTGCTAATTGCCGCCTATGTTCTGCCGGCCAAAAATTTCATTTGCATGCGCCTCCCATTCATAGCCACTCCACGGGTGTGAGTATGGGCCGTGTCCAGCAGGCTTGACGGGAGTCTCAGAGGCCAAGGCAGTACTTCCAGACATGGCTCCCTTCGTCCGCCGCCAGCGGAAGCACAAGGTGCGTGCTCGCGAGGAAAAGGGACAGGCCGCCACGCAACAGACCAACCAAGAAGTAATTGTTCCTCTAAGCAAAACCGAGAGAGAGGAGAAGAAACGAAAACTCCAGGAAGAATTACGAGCGCAACAGCCGAAGATCTCAAGCAAGAAACAAAAGCGGTTGGACAAGTATATCGAAAATAAGTTGAAGAAAGATGAGACACTGGAACTTCTGCGGAAACTAGAGAAAGAGAAGGAGAATTTCGACGCTACCGCTGCATTGCAAAGTTCGAGGAACTTGGGGAAACGGACATTTGGTGACTTTGTGAACGGGGGTGGACCAGGCGGTGCACCGGGCAAGAAGACGCGGAATGAGCAAGACTCAGATGTCGAGAGCGAGGACTCCTTTGAAGTAGAAAACCGGAGAGCCTTCGACCCAGACAAAGAGAAGTCAGTGGAGGTCAAGCCGGCATCAACGCCTGTGGTGCAAGGAAGCGGTCTAGCGCAGCCATTGGCCCTCGACGAGAACGGTTTTCCCATGATACAATCCCGTAAGGGCAAGAAGAGGAAGAAAACCAAGGTTGACCTTCAAGACCCAGTGGAATTACCCTGGGAGGGATTTGATTCCGAACCAAGCGACGTTGGGAACTCGACAGAAGAAGAGGACAAGGACGAATACGCAGAAAATACTGAAGAGGACCAGTCAGGCTCTGATATCTCCGGCTTTGACATGTCAGAAGACGAGTCCGATGCCGACAGTGGCGAGGAATCTGGGACCAGCATGTCCGAAGCCTCTGCCAGAGAAAAAATTGAGCCCCGTAAATCAGCTTTCAAGGCCTGGGCAACGCAGCAATTGAATCAGGCTGTCGGGCATGTGCCATCATATACAACTGGCGAGGGACAACTACTGCCAAAACCAACCCCTTGGGCTGCGGAACCCAAACCTGTGCCTATCACCCAAGCTACACCTCCAGAAAATCAGACCGGATCTGTTCCCAACCGCAAGGCATACGCAGTTCACATCGATCGACCGGAAGAAATCCAACAGTCCAGGTCTGCACTCCCAATCCTGCAACGCGAGCAGGAGATTATGGAAGCAGTCCACAATAACGCCGTGGTGATCATAAAGGGTGACACCGGCAGTGGCAAGACCACGCAATTGCCCCAGTTTCTCTTCGAGGCTGGCTACGGGTCTCCAGAAGGGCCGACACCAGGTCTGATTGGCATAACGCAGCCTCGTCGCGTGGCCGCTGTGAGCATGGCGAAACGGGTTGCAACTGAGCTAGGACAGTATGGTGACAGAGTTGCCTACCAGATCAGATTCGACAGCACCGTGTCGTCTTCCACGGCTGTGAAATTCATGACCGACGGAATTCTGCTACGAGAACTGTCCCAGGACCTGTTGTTGAGAAAATACTCCGTGATAGTCATCGACGAGGCACACGAGAGGAGCGTCAACACCGACATCTTGATCGGAATGCTCAGCAAGATTGTGCCGGCGCGGATGCAGAAGAGCCAGTTTAACCCAAATCCCACGCCTCTCAAACTGATCATCATGTCCGCAACCCTAAACATAGGAGATTTTCTCCACGAGAAGCTCTTTGCCTCGTCCTTGAGGCCGCCCATTGTTGAGGCTGAAGGGCGCCAGCACCGGGTGACAACACATTTTGCTTTGAGATCCAGAGCAGATTACGTGGAAGAAGTCGTTGAAAAGGTCAAACGAGCGCATCGGAAGCTGCCCAGAGGTGGTATTCTGGTTTTCCTGACTGGTCAGAATGAAATTCGACAGGTCGGTGCTCGCCTCAGAGAGCTGCTCGCTCCGCGTAGCGGCGCAGACCTCAAACCCGCCACGCCTCGAGTACAAATCGCGGCAAATGAAGCACCTTTGGAAGCTGAGGACTGGGAAGTGGGACCGACAAATTCAATGGACGGACATGACGACCTTGACGTCGAGATCTTGACTCACTCCGAGGATGAGGCCGAAGAGGCCGAGTTCGACATTTCCGACGATGAACATGAACAGGGGCCGCTATCGTTCGCCGCATCTTCAACCCTAGAATTTTCATCGAAAGAACCGTATACGTCTGTCCACATCCTCCCGTTGTATTCTCAGTTACCTACGAGTGAACAACTCAAAGTCTTCGAGCCCCCACCGCCGAATTCCCGGCTGATTATCCTTGCCACTAACGTCGCCGAGACAAGTCTAACGATCCCCGGAATCCGTTACGTCTTCGACACTGGCCGCAGCAAGGAGCGCAGGTACAACCTCGACACAGGCGTGCAGTGCTTTGAGATCGACTATATCAGCAAAGCGAGTGCCCAGCAGCGAGCCGGGCGCGCCGGGCGCACAGGACCGGGTCACTGCTGGCGGCTCTACACGTCCGCCGTCTATGAGCAATTCTTCCCCGATCATGTGGAGCCGGAGATTCTCCGAGCGCCTGCTGAGAGCGTCGTGTTGCAGTTGAAAGGATTTGCTTACCCTCGACCGGTCGCCGACTTTCCGTTCCCGACGCCGCCTGCCGCCGTGGCCTTGAACAAGGCTGAACGGTTGCTGAAGAATCTCGGAGCATTAACCAGCTCAGGAAGCATCACGGATCTAGGCAACCAACTTGCAGTCTACCCGCTTTCCCCACGCCTCGGCAAGATCCTGGCCGCCGGCACCAAAGACCCCGGGCTGCTGTGGCAAGTACTGGCTCTGGTCTCGGGACTGGCGGTTTCGGAGCTCTTCGTCACTGAAGCGCAACTTGGCCTGACACCCGCAACTGCAGACGAAGGCCAAGTATACACGCGGGAGCAGCAACGCGAAGACGACGAGCGGGATCGGCTTCGACAGGAGTTCGGCCGCGCACGCGCGACGCTCAGCCGCGCCGACAAGACATCTGACGCCATGAAGCTGCTCACCGCCGTCACCATGTACCTCAATGCCAGCAACAAGGAGCAGTTCTGCCGCGAGTTCTTCCTGCGCTCCAAGGCCATGGCAGAGGTAGCGCAGCTACGTGCCCAGCTTGAAGGGCTCGTGCGCGCCAACCATCGCGCCACCCCTAACATCTCGACCGAGGCGCTGTCCAAATCTCGCGCCGCAAAGCTGTCGGCCACCCGAGTCAAAGAACTCAACTCCATCGCCGCCAGCGGGTATATCGACCAAGTCGCCGTCCGCTACGACCGGGCCCCGACTCCGCCCGATGTTCCCAACAGACCGCGCCGGGCCATCGACGTCCCTTACCTCCCTTTGGTGCCGTTGCACGATAGACCCGATGCCCCGATCGCCCAGAAGGCCGTCTATCTCCACCCGTCGTCCGTCCTGGCTCGCCTCTCGGTCAAGGATTTGCCCGAGTATATCGTCTACAGCCACCTGCAGCGCTCGCAGGCCCATACTGTGGCCGCGACGGCTGACGATGGCACCTCGACCAAAACCACTTTGTTGTCGGCCCTGCAGGGCCCTGCTGTTAGAGTTCCAAAGACACGCATGTTTCCCCTGACCCCCCTGGATGGCATACAGCTCGCACACCTTGCCCGCGACACCGCCTTGATTGAGTACGGTAAACCCGTGCCCAAGAGCAAGGTCGAGGAGATCCCCGGCACGCCGAAGCGTAGGGAGTGCTGGGTGCTTGCTGAGCTCAGAGGATCGAGAGGAGGAATGCTAGGCTGGCCGCTCCCGCCGGTCAAGGTTCGACAGGTGCTTGATGCGAAGAGTAAGACTGGGTGGAGGCTGGAAGAAGTGTTGAGTTAGCCAACAAACGTCTCCCCACGCCCTTGGGTTAGGGCCATGATTCCTTAGGACGACGCAAGCGAATAACAATGTGTTGCACGGTCGCAGGTGTACCATTTCCAGCTCTATGTTGAGTCTGTCTTGACATTTTCGATGTAACTCTAGCAGCATTGTCTCCTCCAGCTAGCACAGTGCCCCTCCTCTCGTGAATGATGACTTCCTCCCATGAACAAGGGCCTAAGGCCTCGGCTCCCTGCTGACCATAGCTTCCAGACTTTCCACAGATTTTTCCACTCTAGCCCTTGCCTCGGTCAATTGCCGCTTCACCTCTTCGTCGCTCAACGTGTCGACTTCCTGCTTCACCCACCACGGAGCAATGTTTCCAGCGATGCGCGAGAGGAGAACTGCCTGATGAAACTCGGGTCCACCAAAGGCGATTTGGGCAGTGCCGTCGGAAGGTGACGAGGTGAGCGATTGAGAAAGTGACTCGGGCAAAGCTTCCAGGCGACTCAAGGTGGACAGGAACTGTTCATACGCGTGCAATGTCCATGACCGCTTGTAGATGTTTTCCACCGTATTTCCAAACTCTTCCGGTGCTGGGAAAAAACCGGCAGATTCAAAATCTATCACTGCTGTCACTTCGATAGCGGAAGGCGTAGCAGAAACAAGGACATTCCGCGGCGACAGGTCGTCGTGGGTGAAGATCATTTCTTCAGCTGTGTGGCTGAACATGGACAGTCTGGGCAATGTCTCTCTGATGAAATGCTGGACCAGTTCGGACACGGGTTCCCGTGTCTGTTCGAAGACCTTTGCAGTCTTGAGCCGTCGCAACTCTACTGTTAGCTTATGGGTGTGGTATTTCAAAGACGTGTTCAGGGGCGTAGAATTTGGTTCGGTCACGATCACGCCGTCCACATACACATCCAACCCGGGAAGAATGGACCGGTCGTACAAGGTAGCTGATCGTGGGGCGACCAGAGTTCGACCCATGAGGCGCAGATTCCCAATTGCCCGTGCTGGTGGCATCTGCTTTCGCCATGTGGCGACAAGTTCGGCCATCTGAATCATGATGGCGTCTCCATGCACCCCGGTGAGATCATCTTTGTTAATGATTCTACCTGACACACGGGTCATAAGAATCCAACCTCGTCCCTTTGTCTCCATCTGACCTTTTTCCATCTCACCATTCTGACGGCTTGCTCTCGTCAGCCTCCGCAGAAACCATGACGGCGAGCGGGCCCTGGAACCTCGGGGATCAAGGGGTGTCCGTATTCTTTTCCCATCATCGGACCAGGCAATCACTCTAGGTGTGGGCACCGAGGGACAGTACCTCTCGAGCAGCAAGAGACACGCTACCTCATTCTGTGGTTTCGGAGCTCCAGGACGGCTTACGACTTTTAGAACGAAAGAGCTCGCTTCATCCACCCGGACGCTTGTAGTTGTGTCGCATCCAGTTGGTGTCCATTGAGGTCTTGGGAAGGTGGTTGGTTCGCTGAGATTTACAAAGTAGATGCGATTGTTGAAAGAGTTGCCAAAGGGAAGAGGCTCGATAGACATGTGCTCCGACTTGACGGCAGGAAGGCTCCTCAAGAGAATGGTCTGGATGGTGGAATCAGAAAAGTGCACATCATAGTTGGGAAAGAAGGGTGGTGTGGCGCAGGCCATCTCTCTGTGAGGGAGGACGGTGGGAGGCTGGTCAGTGGAGGATGATCCTTCAACGGACTGAACTTGGAGAGTAGGATGAGTGTAGAGTGAGGATGAACATGAGCATATGGTGCAGGACTGCGGACAGAAGCAAGACAAAGCCTGTTTGCACTTGGAGCTGAGGTTGGACAAGACCGATTGCACTTGGTGACGATAGGTCCGGTTGTGGTCGTGGTTGTGGACGTAGTAGAAAGAGATGACCACGGACTTTCTCGCTCATGGCCCATCAGTGAATCTTTAGGAAGAGAGGTGAAGTAGAGAGAAAGCCAAAATAGACAATAGGACTTGCGATCTATGTGTATACCTGGTCATACTATAAGCTGGGATGAAACGCACATTAACAAGGTACCTGCCTTATCTAGACACTTGATACCCAGTACACATGGACTGTTTAAGGCAAGACCCAGAAGAAGCAATCAGACGAGGAAGGAGTGACTGGTAAAATTGATTGAAGATACACATGGTCTTTCCTTCAAAAGCTCAATACAAACAAGCAAGGCTGTGTGACAGACAAGACGTGGATGTGGGCACTCCAGTGACTGAACACAACTTACTGCTCGTCGTACCTCGAATTAGGGGCCCAACATCCATACACTCCTCATCAGGCTGTGGTTGGGAAGAAGGTAATGGTAAGTAAGTGAATGAGTTAGGCTGTTGTCTGTGCAAGACACACGTGGTGTGGTACGACAGCTCTAGCCCGCCATCTCAGGGCCTGCCAACTCCAAGGAACATCCATCCTCTTACAAGGCAATGCAAGGCAAGGCTGCAGCAGGGCTACTGTCATGTACTCCGTATAAACAGTGGGCGTTTGGCACCTCTTCTAGAAACCCGACGCCGAAGCCAGGTCCGGAGTTACGAGTCATTTCTACCTTACTAAGGCTACCTACACATCAAGAGTCGGGCAAGGCAGACACGGGAGAAAGGAGCGGTGCGACTAGTAGGAGCAGTTCTATAGATTGGGCCTTAACACAACTAGTGCCTCCATTTTGGCCTAGTTTATAAATTTATCCACAGATAGGATTACTAACTCTACCTAGTAGGTACCTAATACTATCTGGTACTAGTGCGAAGGGGTTCTATCTAATGGGCATTGAGGAGTACCTTATGCCAAGGCTCCGGTGCTCCTACGTAGTACTACATGTAGTTAGGCGCTGTGAAAAATTAGCATATCGATCGGCAGAGCATCTAATTGAACCCTGCTTGCTACACGATGGGTTGTTGTCCTCACCTGCGCCCTCCTCTTCCTGCTCGACCAACATCCAGTGTCCACGTCCACATACCTGGACATCGACATCGGTCTGAGAGTACGGATACAATCTCGACCTTGCTTCTTTCCGCGGTCTGAGTGCTGCCATCATATCATCCGTCATTCAGGGTCTCCTGGATCAGGTGGAGCATGAGCTCGTTTCCGCCCACTGGCCCCCAACATCATCGTCCATGTGGCTACTTTGCTAACGCTGCTGAGCTTAGGTCGGCCCCCGTATGTGTACCTCGCCCCTACCTGGTTAAATTGAGATTGATACCAACCAAATCAATCCCTGCGCTCGGAAAGCCATGTGATTCGCGGTGCGACCAAGACCTTGTGTTCGGCGAGGCCGCCTCTCCCAAAATCGGCATCTCTTTCCTTCTGTTCGTCCGCCTCGGGTACTACTAGATCGGTAGATCCACTATTATGCTGTTCAAACACACCGGTTGAGACGGTCTCGATACCATCTTCAAGAGACTTGGCTAGTCCACCTTGCTTACACTGCTTGTCCGCTTCATCCGGCATCCTTACTCCCGAGAGATCAGGGACTTGAGGTTTCTCCCGTGTAGGGAGCACACATAGGTAGGAACAACCATGCCAGAGTCTGGATGGAGATTGGAACATCAGGACCTGGTTCATGCCCTCTTCGAGTCTGTAACCTCTAGCACGCACTTGGAGACAGTTCCTTTGGTTAAGGTTAAGTATTTCCCGCGTCAGCCGTCGCCAATTGAGCCCCTAGAGAATCTCCTTTCGCCCTACGACCGGATAATTTCTTGGATATCTCGCCAAGTGGGTGATCCATCCACGCACAAGGCGCAACGACTAATCTCAGTAGTAGCTGCCACAGCCGTACAACCTTAGGAGCCTCAGTCACCTTGACTGGTCAGCAATCTCTCACATACCCTCCATCCCCCAGACGCCGAACTTCGTGACTCTTCCGAGGCAGCTGTGTGTTGCCGTGGGAATTTTCTGCCTCCAGGCTTTGATTTTGGGGCGATATACCTCTGTACAACTGCTGAATACCAGACTTCCTACAGCGCTTGCATCCTTCGCTCTTCGAACGAGATGTCGATTTGTGAGAATGGGGCACCCCCCATGATTCTACCGTGGTCGAACGTGACTGTCACCACCGATCAAAAGGCCATCACCAGAGGTATTCCCGTGTCGATGGGCACCCCTCCACAGATTGTCTCTCTCAGGCCAAGTACCTCGGACGATGTCCTATATGTGGTCAATCGGGCACAATGCGCCCCGGAGTACAACTCTTCTTGTATTGGGATGTACGGCGGTGTCTTCGACTATTCAGCCTCCAGCACTTTCCTCCAGGTCGCCGAAGGTCAGTGGAATGGCTCCGGCAATGCGAATCCCACCCAGCTATCCTTCGTCACCTTTAACGACGCTTTGTCGTTTGGAAATGCCACCGTCTATGGATATCCGGCGGTCTACGATCAGCCTGGTTATGGCGGCCAAGGTGTGCTGCCCTTGGGATGGGGATCAGATTTTCTCAGAATCGCCGTTGAATCTGGCGACGTGCCGTCAACAGTCTTTGGTCTCTGGACAGGAAGTCGCTCAGTGAGCAGCCCAATCGATGGTTCTCTCGTCATTGGTGGCTACGATACCACCCGGGTTAAGGGCGAGCCGACAACTTTCAACGCTCGCAAGACTTGTGAAATGTGTGTGGTAATCACCGAATTGAGCTGGGAATCGGATTCTGGCTCGACGAGCCTGTTCTCGAATTCGTCTGAGTCCCTCCAGGTCAACCTTCAACCTTCGGAACGCTACGTCTACGTGCCGCAAAATGTTTTCGATCTTTTCCAAAACGCCACTGATGGCGTTTACGTTGACCCTTATCTGGGCTATACCGCCTTGCCGACCGGAAATCTCAGTGTGACTCTACAAAATGGATACAAAACCACAATCCCTGCAGAGGAGCTTTTTATGTACCCCCGTGGATACGACGACGACGGCAAGTACGCCATCAATGACAACAGCTATATGATCAGCACCCTCCTGAATATGACCGACACCGGCTATGTTATGGACTGGGGCATTCCATATCTCACCATGAACTACATCATCGGCGACTACAAGCGCGAGCAGTTTAAAATGGCACCCGCCATCCGCACCGATTTCTCCAAGCAAGGCGGGGGCTATGCTCTCAAAGCTTCCTGTGATCCCACAACATCCTCTGTTGCTTCACCCACCGCTTCTGCCTCTAGCTCCGGCACTGCAGGTGTACTTGGTGGTGCAGGTGCAGTTGGATCCTCGTCTCCCAGTCCTGAACCAAGCGCTCACCACAAATCCAGCCACACCGGCGCCATTGTAGGAGGCGTGGTAGGCGGCGTTCTCGGGCTGGCTTTGATTGTGGGTGCTTTTGCACTCTTTTTCTATCGAAGTCGGCGCCGTAGGAATGCTGCCGCCGCAGCCAACGGTCCACAGGGCACCGCCGGGATGACACCCATGATGACCGAAGTCGCAGCATCTCAGCAGGGTGGTGGCAATACGGAACGATATTCACAGTGGACAGCCTTAAGCCCAACAGAAGTTGGTGCAAGTGAACTCGGGAACAACCAAAAGGAAGGCAGCAATGTCCATGTCAACCAGTGGCTCTCAAGCCAGGCCAGCGATGTAAGGACTCCCCGTGTTTGCTATTTAGCTTGTTTTGAAGTCAACATGCGCTAACCTGATCGAAATATAGACGCAGACAGTGACGAGTGCGACCTCGCCTCACCCCACCAGTACCTATCACCCCACGGAGAGCACAGATAGGCCCTTTGAGATGCCCGCCCAGCCCTGGGACACGAGGTAGTCGATCAAGAGACGAAGAATATCTCTTCGACCCACAACCTCATTTCCCGACCTAGAGATGTCATGCTAGAACAGCCTAATGCGCAAGTCGCGAGCGCAAGCAATAGTCTGGAGCTGGCTCACTTGTTGACGATTCACGACATCATATCTCCACAGCTAGGACGGTTCTCGACTCGGGCTTGGCCACTTGCAGGACCAACTTCACATGAAGTACTTTCTTCGACCGAATATACCAGGAAGTTGCTGAGGAGACCAGACTCGATCACGGTCTAATTTCTACTTTCCTCTATTCATAGTTCTGTGGTTGCTTTACCAGCGGGGTCTGAGCAGTGGTGAGCATGACTTGCATGTGTCTGAATAGGAGATCATATTGGTATTATATACTCGTCTTATAGGTAGTTGTTTAAGTTTTTCATACATACCGTTGTTATCAAAATATACATGTGAGACCACTCTCGTAGTATAACTATATCGGAGCATCAAGCCTCGGGACCGATCAAGATATCATGTTGTGGAAATGGGGGTAATATTAATATTCACTTGGCTAACACGGGTAGTAGTACTGAGTCCTGACGGTTCGGAAGGCAAGGCTTAGTTATGATAATTACATGTGAATGGAAAGGAGGGGGAAAAAACCACGTGGAAAAGTCAAGCTCATAGGTCAAGCTGTGAACAAGCTGCAGAATTTAATATTCTGATGATCTGGAGGACCTGATCACTGTTCATCTGTTCATCTGTTCATCTATTGCGCTGATGCGCTGATGCGCCATTCTTTGTGCACACACAATACGCCAGCTACCGCCACCGCCACCGCCACCGCCACCGCCGTCAATGTCGCAGATTCAATCTCATAATTCCAAGCCATGACCATGATGAATGACCCCCGGACGCCGAAAGAAACCAGCCACCCAAGCTCACTGAACAACTGGCACTATTACGTGGAGAAAGCCGAGGCAGGTTCGACTTCAGTTCAGGAGACCACGGTCGCGTCGACGTGGACGTCCTCATCGTCAAGACTGGGAAGACCTCCATCATCATAGTCGTCAAAGTGAAGACCGGCCTCGCGACAGCGTTGTTGCCACTTGGCGCTCTCCAACCAAGCAGTTCGGACACTCTCCTTCAGACGGTCGCAGCGACTGGTCAATTCCTTCAAGGCGATGGCGAAAGTGGCGCGCTCGTTCTCAAACGATTTCTTCTCGTTCTGAAGTTCGGTGACGTATTGGCAGGTTCGTTGGAGGATGGCGCCCTTATTCTTCTCGGTTCCAGGCACGATCTTGGCAATGTTCTCGATACCTTCGTTGATGACCTCGCGACGACGACGCTCCACTGCAACCGCGGATTAGTATGTACGCCAACGACGGGCTAAGGTCGAAGCTATCTTACCTTCCTTGTGGTTGTCCTTGCGCTGTTGGTGCCATTCTGCAGTACCTACAGCCGGCTTCTGGCTACCACCGCGAGCTTCGAGGAGGGCCTGCTGTGCAGATGGCAAACCAGGAAGTGAGGATTGGTTGGTGTCTTCAAAGCCAGTTGGCAGTCCAGGTGCTCCTTCAAACTGGTTCGGCTCAGGATAGGCGGATGAGTCCATTGGAGCAGCGAGAGCGGCTTGCGCAGTTCGAGTGCTGTCGTCCGGACCCGCCATTCCCTCAATGCTCTGGAGGAGCGCAACATAATTGTCAGGATCGTGATCGCCATTTGTGTTTGGAGCTTTCGCAATGCGTCCAGCCTCTTGATCTCTAGCTTCGCGCTTGCGCTTGTTGTTCACGCCCAGGTTTGAGGGTTGCGGAGCAGGGATGGCATTATTGCCGACGGCTTGGTTGGCCATCGTTTAGAGATTGTTGATGATGTCGAGTTCCGCAGGTCGCACTCTTGATGGGTCAGGATATCTCTCGAGTGTGATCGAATCAGGCAAGTAGCCTGCTATGGAGATTTGGTGAAGGGAGGATGCAGGGTAGAAAGTCCTTTGCGAGCCACCAAGGTGGGCAGCGAGGTCGGATCTGGAAGGAGGAATCTGGTCTACATCGGGGTTAGCCATGGTTAGGGACATGAAGGCTGCAAATGGGTTGAGAATGCTAAGATGGGGGTGGTAGAGATGGTGTGTAGCCAGCAGTTGTCACATGAGGACTGCATGGCTGGGGTTGTTTGGGTAGAGAGGGCACTCTGGACGCGTTTTCTGCCGCTATCGCTGTCGAGGGCTTGCCGGCTCAGCAGGAGCTGAGCCGACGAAGCCGGAGGAGTGTGCACTCGACAGCGGCTAGCTGCAGCGCGAATGTGCGAAGAAATGCAGTATGCGCGACAATGATGGCTCTTTGAATGTGGCCGTGATCTGATGGATCAGGTGCCATCAGGTGACTTTGAGATGACTTACTGATGGAAACGTGACCGGCTGTCTCTAAACTTGATCCCGGGCGCAAACAGGTTGCACAACGCGTTGGCGAACACGACAAGATGTGGACAAAGGGACGATGCAGCCAGACGGCGACACGCTTTGCTGATTGTTCAAGACGCTGTGGTGGAGGGAGATTGAGCGCTCACAGGTTGAGCGAGTACTCGATCTATGCCTTGGGGGCGGCTACAACAATGAGGTGAGGGTGAAGGGCGAAGGAGGACGGTCACGGGATGAAAAGAAGTTCCCGTGATCACGACTGCAGACGACAACAAAACCACGCCATCGCCCAAAGGCGCCTAGCGGCTCGGGATACTTTCTCCGTCTTCCGGCACACGTGATGTTCCTCTAGATGGTCACCAACAAGTCTCACAAGACTTCACAGTGTCTCGTGACAATCGCCGACCCTCCATGCATGATGTGTGGCCGCACGTCGCCAGTCGCCAGTCGCCAGGAGGCAAGCTTTGGCCAATGGCAATGAACATTCGTGCACCCTTGTGTACGTGAGCCTGATAAGCATGGTGAAACATTGCCTGTCCAGGCTGGATGAAAAGATGCCGCGCCTTGCAAAGTTTCCTGGTCGTTTGAGCTTAACTTGCTGGCCCCTGGCTCCTTCTCCCTGCTAGTATTGGGGACCCTCTCCCGAGTGTGAATGTGTGGAATGGTGCTTGGACCGCAACCCTCAAGACAGGCAGCGATCCAGTGACAAAGCGCATCTGATCGGATGGATAGCTGCAAGAAATGTTTAGCCCGTCGCAAGTTCAGGACCCGCTCCAGTCACAGCCAGAGGCTCACTCCGTGGTTTGAGTGTGATCGAGTACGCTGGAGGACTGTCCGTGTCCACCAGCAGGATACCTTCTTGAGCCCTTCCCAGGATGTCCCAGATTCTGATTTGATCACCCTTTGTCATGCCCATGACACAGCTACTGCCCGCGTACCTCACCTCCCCAATTCTAGGGCTGATACCTTCCTCGCCAGCTCGGTTCGCACAAAGAATGATCGCCTCGGATTGTGCCCCTTGGGGTCCAAAGAGAGGGCTGAGTCGTTCAACCCAGTAATTGACGGTATCATGATCGGGTACCATAGCCTGACTCGATATCTCCTCCGCGCTCAGCCTTGTTATCCAGGCCATACTGATGACGACAACTTTGGCACGGGCTTCTCGCGCGTGATTAGCGAACTCGTACGCAGTCCAGGGGGCTTCGAAGCGATAGGGGTTGATATCCATGCAAATTCCTGCAGCAGCCTTGACCTGCTGACCTTTGTCACCAATCGGGAGCACGCCCGCCCAAAAGCCCTGCCCTTCTTGGGCCCAAGTCTCATCAGTATAGTACAAAAAAGACTTGCGGTAGTGAGCAACAATGTCTCCACCGGAACTGACAAACACGAGTGAATTGTAGGCAATGGTGCCAGACTCGGCGGTGATTTGTCGGTCGAAGATGGTGTTGTAGTTGCCTTCTGCAGCTGCTTCGGCGTATCCTACCGCAACGGTACATTTGAGTCGCTTTGCAGTTCGAGCGGCCCATCTCGTTGAAGGGCCCGCTGCTGTCGGTTCAAGAAACGGCGCAATGGCGGCTAATGATGAATGATTGTACCCTGAACAAACAGTCAGGCTAGTTAATAAGGATGTAGACTGGCTTTGACACTGCTTGATCGCAGCATATGGTCGCGCCAGACTTCCCTACTCTCGGAGAGGCGGCAATAAGCAACCTCGGAAAAGGGGGAAGCCTACCTGCGAAGGCAAGTTCAGGGAGTACCAGCAAATCAATGTTTTCAAGCAGCCCTTCCCTCTCCTCACGCATAAGAAGGCTCTCGGCGCGGCTGAAGTTGGCCGCCACTTCTCCCAGGCGCGGGGAAAACTGGAGGGTTGCGATACGCATCTTCTTGTCGTCGCAAGAATGGCCACTACAGTGCCCCAGTAAGCCGGAAGATCTTATCGACCTGGTGTCATCATTTGGCCGTGGGGTGGCTCCAGCATCGACCTGTACCTTTACCCACAGTGATCACGAAATCGATCAGTATTGAGGGAAGGGCTAGAAACTATCCCTGGAGCAAGGGCATCCAGTTTCGATGTCGAAGGAAATGAACAGCTACTTAGCAAACTGTCGGTGAGATCAAAAATACCTCCTCAGTGCGCCACCGTAGATTGGCATTGTTCCGGCGGAGTGGTCTTTTGCCAGTCACGCAGAATATTATTAATGCCTCCCATGTTGTTGCCGTGTGATCACTGTTTTCTACAGTAACTCGCAATTCTTTAGGAGCAGCCTAGAGGCTCGACGTATACGGAGTACTATGGAATAGTAATAGATGAGTACGATCCTAGTCATGATCGGTCTCTCACACAAGTAGGCGGTCAAATTTAGGAGTCTGGCCATCAATAATGGTCATGGCTATCCTTGATGACTGGTACCTAACAGGTATATGTAGGTGTTTCACAGTCAATCAGAGCTCTCATACACCATCTCCAACCGCATCACCGGCTTCAATGGCTTTCTCTTTCTTTAGATTCTCCCGCTCCCGTTTTCTCTCAAGCAGTCGAGTCAATTTTTTGGCCACGTTAAAAACCCCATTGGTACCTGAACCACATGCAGCACAGGACGGATCTTTTCGATATCGCTTCAGAGCACATGCTTCGCAGAAGTAATGCCCACATTTGGTCACGATTGGATTCGTGTATGGCTTTTTGCAGATGATGCAGGCAAATGGTATCTTTTCAAGTAGCGCCTCGTCGTCATCATCATCTTGGCCTGGTTGATTGTTGCGATTCGCAGATGCCACAGTCTTCCCCGACAATTTCTTCCCTTTCGTGCCGATTTCCCACTCTCGGTCAAGCTGCCATCCTTGTTTGTAATCCTCGCGCGCATGAAGATACTTGCAGTTATCCCCAAATCCGCAAAAGCCGGTTTGCTTGTAGTCCTTGCACACGTCTGGCGCAAAGTCCGTGACAGTGATCGTTCTTACATTACTTGAGGTTTTGACCGGCCCGACTTGCTTTCCAGCACGATCTGGATTCTTTTGAATGAACGACTGATAGTTTGCCACCCCCTTGTATGTACCGTCCGAAGTCAATGGGTCTGATGACTTGATCGTAGGTTTCTCTGATCTCTTGTCGACATCTTCGTCATACCAGTCTGATCTTTTGGTAGCGTCGTCTTTATTTGTGGGTGCCACAACAGCAGCGGCAGTAGTCTGCTCGACTTCCGCAGCACGGTGTCTAGGAATATCAGAAGAAGATGCTATCATCCCGGCGTTCCTCCGCCTGCGTTTTATTTGTCTTCCATATTCATCTTCTGACGATGTGAAGCCGGAGTCGGAATCGTCCGCTGGAGGGGTGGCTTCTCTTTTGCGAATAGTCGACTTAGATTTGACACTGCGCTTCTTAAATGTGAATTGAGGCACCTCAAGCGCCGCTTGCGGTTCTTCCATGGGCGGTAGTATCTGCTCAAGGTATCGGGAGATATTAGAAGAACGTCGGCAGTGATATAGGCCACCAGACTGAAGAGAAGGAGGTCAGAGTCGCACCCTTCAACCTGGGAGGCGCAACATATTATTCAGGGCAGTTTGCGAGTTGCCGCGAATTAATCAGCCAAGAATCTTCGCGGCTGATCGACAACACTAACTTTAAACCCTGCATTATTCTTCGCCAAAGCTTCCACTTCATGTTCGTCAAGCCAGACTGGAGCTGCGTTGGAGAAGAGGTGCAACCAACAAAACCATTGTCCGATCCCGGAGCTGAAGATTTTGCTGGGTACCACTGGAGTTCTCATGTCTCCCGCTCACGATATCCTTCTCATTCATTCTTTATGATCTCATTTTTTCCAAATCCAACGGCAAGGTCATGGTTGACCGTATTGGCCTGAGCCCGGAAGCTAGCAGGGCTGAGGATGGGCTTGGGTCACTCGAGAAATCGGCAGCAACCACGGAAGAACACCAGCGCCAGAATATCATCCGCTTCAAGGTGACCCATGTTCTTCTTACTGTTCTGCTGTTATGGTTGACGTATGTCGGGCCCCCGATACGGTTAACGAGCTTCTGCTAACTAATGTAGGGCTGTCCATGTCGTGGGCATTCTTTTTTTCGCCAAAGGCTTCCTCCTTACAAGACTTGTCTTGGATAATAGGTCAGAATGCGGTGTACTCCCTGATGGGCAGCCCTCTCAAATATCGAACGGATGCTGGCATCCAAAGACTTTCGACCGAGCTGTGATTCTAATCATCGATGCCTTACGATACGATTTTACCATTCCTTCTCGCCGGGTCTTTGAACAGCCACCGCAAAAGTACTATCTTGACAACCTTCCTCTCTTACACGAAACTGCCGTTTCTCACCCAGATCATGCAATCCTACTCCCATTCATCGCCGACCCGCCCACGAGTACGCTGCAAAGGCTGAAAGGATTGACAACCGGCACCCTTCCGACATTCATAGATATTGGTTCAAATTTTGCGGGTACTGCTATTGAGGAAGACAATATAGTATCGCAATTGAAAAACGCTGGGAAAACAATCGTACACCTTGGAGATGACACATGGCATTCGTTATTTCCTGGTTATTTCGATCCGAACATGACCCATTCATACGATTCTTTCAATGTTTGGGACTTGCACACAGTTGACAATGGTGTCATCGAACATATAATGCCCCTGCTTGACCAATCTCCTCAGCAGTGGGACGTTATCTTCGGACACTTCCTCGGCGTTGACCACGCTGGTCATCGATTCGGGCCTGACCATCCGGCCATGGCAGAGAAATTACGTCAAATGAACGATGTTTTACAAGAAATCATGCATAAACTGGACGATGATACTCTCCTTGTCGTTATGGGTGACCATGGTATGGATACAAAAGGGGATCATGGCGGCGAGTCTGATGAGGAAGTGGAAGCCGCGCTGTGGATGTACTCCAAACAACCCAGATTTGGCAAGGCCGAAACGGCCGTTTTACTGCCTCCAGCAACTGCGAAAGAACGTCCTGTTGGCCAAATAGACCTGGTATCAACCCTATCCATCCTCCTGGGCCTACCAATACCTTTTAATAACCTCGGCAAACCGATTGCGGAGGCATTCACAGGACCTGGAAGCCCGGACTGGAAAACTCTTGCAAGAGTGGACCGTTTGGCCCAGAGCCAGATTGCAAGATATCAGGAGCACTATTCCCGTTCTCGAGATCTCGGCCTCGATGATAATGCGTATCGGGACCAGCGCACGTACCTTGCACTCTCGGTGGAGTCTGCAGCAGACGGCCGGTGGGAGGACGCACACCATGCTTATGTCAATTGGCATAACGAAGTCATCTCCATGTACCGAAGACTATGGGCCAATTTCAACGTGGAAGACATGATCTGTGGAATTACCATCTCTGGCCTTGCACTTGGGTTTGTCTTTTTCTTCTCGCGGCTATCAATGGGAGACAAAGCCAGCGCCGCTCCAGGTCTCCTCAGGAGTGCCGGTCTGGGGACAGTTGTAGGCGCCGCCATCGGCTCTGCACTCGGATTTCTTACACCCTCCTCTTTTTCTTTCTTGCCTGGACTTGTCTTTGGTGGCACCATTTGCGGGGTGATAGCAGCGACGGTCTGGTCTTTTCGCCATCGGCTCACCACACAATCATATCTTCCCTCCTTATGGGGTTGGATGGCATTGGTGTTCTGTCTGACGCAGTCGGCAGGCTTCGCTTCCAATTCCTACACCATCCATGAAGACACCATCCTTCTTTTCTTTCTGACCACTTTCGGCATCTTATCATTGATATCATCCCTCAGACAAGCATCCACAGCCGACCGGGTGCTTGGTACATATCAGTCGGTTCTGTTTATACTCTTGACTCGACTTGCATCGTTTTCGCGGTTGTGCCGCGAAGAGCAGATGCCAGGTTGCCGCTCAACCTTTTACGCCTCATCCAACTCATCCACGTCAGCTCCATGGCAACTGCTCATACCATACTCCGTAGCCTTACTTCTTCCTGAGATAATCAAAGCCTTCTACCAAGGTACAGCTTCATACGCGGGTTCAGCAGGGTTCTGGATTGGGTTCAGCTTCCGCATCGGCTTGCTACTGGTGGCCGCCTACTGGACAATCGATGTTGCAGACAATGGAGGCTGGTTGATGGAACGGTTATCACCAACAACATTGAAAACAATCAACATAACACTAGCAAGATCTGCCCTTGCGATTGCCGTTCCGGTCGGAATCGGTACCTTTGTGTGGGCGAAACCATGCATCAACATTTCCATCAGCGAGCCGAGGCCTGCCGCGGACAACTCAGGGAAGCCTCCACGACCTCAACTGACCATCTACGGTTACGCCAATGTTTATGGAAGTCGTTATTTATTGATGATTCCCATGCTTGTGTTGTCCGTTGCACTGCTTCTGCCCCCCGTGGGTCAGTTCTCGATCGCAATCTGTACGTGGCAAATCCTTTGTCTGCTCGAAATCCTCGACACGAACGGGTTGACCATTTCTTCAAGAGGCAGCTCCAGTGTTGGACCGATTATACTGGCGCTCCTTGGATCGTACCACTTTTTTAAGACCGGACATCAAGCGACATTGGCGTCGATTCAATGGAACTCGGCGTTTGTGCCGTTGCGCACGATTCAATATCCCTGGTCACCGCTTCTAGTTGTACTGAACACCTTTGGCGCGCAGATCATTTGTGCTGCAGCAGTTCCATTGACTGTTATCTGGAAAAGGCCAACTGGCAAGGCGGGACTGCGAGGGCTGTGGAACGACGTGTTGAATGCTTGTCTGGCACATGCCCTCTACTATGCGACAATTCAACTAGCGACGACGATGTGGGCGGGACATTTACGTCGACATTTGATGTTATACAGAGTGTTCATGCCGAGGTATCTGATGGCTTGTGCAGTGCTTCTCATTGTGGACATGGTGCTTGTTGTCGCTGCTTTGGCGGGTGTAAGGGTCGTCGGCCTTAGCGTCGGCGAGGTATTTGGGTACTGAGCAAGATAAAGCGGCTTAAATTAGCATAAGGCTGGGCTGCATACCATTACCCAATGTCCTGCCCGGCCCCTTTCCGCTACGAAAAGTGATGGAGTGATGAGCAATGGTTCTGGGCCTACCGAGGTAACCGTTGCATTGACCTTTAGCCTTTCTCTGCCATCCGTGTCTTAGCCACCCTTCTGTCTCCGGACAGTCGAATGGATGGTCTGGTAGGCAGCGCCGGCAGCTGTAGCTGTTAGTCAAGCTTGATATACAGAAAGGGGAAAGCTGAGTCAGGGAAGAAATGGTTGTCAATATTGAGGACAGCGGGCGCAGTCTGCAGCGGGGTTACGTCATCAGAGGATGTCGGAATACGCAGCCACACAGCACCGCGGGGCATGACGGAAGCGAGAACTGCTGCTTCACTCCCCCACTTCGCAGTGACATGAGGCACATAATTTTCCTTCAATGCCGCGAGTAGAGCTCCCCATATAAGATCTGCTGTCCTTTCTTTTTCTGTACAGACTTCTTTCCTCCCTCATATTCCCCCGTCTATCAACCACCCGCTATCACATATCCTCCAATTACGCAGAGACCACTTCTTACCTCCGACCAGTCTCCCACCGACATCAACTCAACTCGCCCAAGATGCCTGTCTCCGTCCCCACCTCGAGCTCTCTTCATGATCTCTTCAGCCTCAAGGGCAAGGTCGTCATTGTGACTGGTGCATCTGGCCCGACCGGCATTGGTACCGAGGCTGCCCGTGGCTGTGCCGAGTTTGGCGCAGACGTGGCCATCACCTACAGCTCCCGACCTCAGGGTGGTGAGCAGAACGCGAAGGAGCTGTCCGAGAAGTACGGCGTCAAGAGCAAGGCATACAAGTGCAATGTCGGCAGTTACGAAGAGGTGGAGAAACTGGTCGCCGATGTAGTCAAGGACTTTGGCAAGGTTGATGTCTTCATTGCCAATGCCGGCCGTACCGCCGACAGTGGCATTTTGGACGCCCCTGTTGAGAAGTGGAATGAAGTGATCCAGACCGACTTGAACGGGGTCTACCACTGCGCCAGAGCCGTCGGTCTACATTTCCGAGAGCGCAAGACCGGCAGCTTCATCATCACGGCCTCCATGTCAGGCCACATTGCCAACTTTCCTCAGGAACAGGTCAGTGCCTTTTAGGCTGCGGTAGTTTTGTTTCTCACTAACATGTTTGCAATCACAGACATCCTACAATGTCGCCAAAGCCGGCTGCATTCACCTGGCTCGTTCGCTGGCCAACGAATGGCGTGATTTTGCCCGTGTCAACTCCATTTCTCCGGGCTATATTGACACCGGTTTATCGGACTTTGTGCCCCAGGACATTCAGCAGCTGTGGCACTCGATGATCCCTCTGGGCCGTGATGGAAAGGCCACCGAACTGAAGGGTGCTTATGTCTATCTTGCCAGCGATGCCAGCACTTATACCACTGGTACTGACATCGTCATCGACGGTGGTTACACTGCACGGTAAATTGAACCGGGGCCTGAGAGTAGAACGATGATTCTATGATCTACCTTGGGGGCATTCATACCAAAAACATGCCTAGTATCTAGGCACGGCATGCGGGTGAATATGCACTGGATAGTTTGATTTGTGAATAGCAAGGCTGAACCCAACCTGTCTGGTTAAATTGCCAGGCTAAGACGGGCGACGTAGCAAAGATATATGATTTCAAATATAAAATTCAACATGAACAGGTTCTGGTTTCCGGTTTGGGCAGCATGTGGTATCGACTCATTTTCTTCGTCACATAGCTTACAAGCCAAAGGACATCGGACGGGACGAGGCATAACTCGGCCCCTCGTCAATTTAGCAGAGACATGTACCCCCAGGGTTACTTACCTAGCATGTAGCAAAGCAACAGGATCAGACGGAGATACAAAAATGGCTACTCTATCACCTAGCGACCGGGCTGATAACTCCTCGAGAGGCTGTCCCAAATCCAGCGTATGCTACACCTTAATTCTACATGGGTACCTTCGCCTTGCAACATGATGATAATGATGATGATGGATCTTCAGAAGAGATATGGTGACGTGGCTTGCAAAAGTCGAATTCTGACTCGGTGGCTACATATCCGAGCGTGTCCTGTGTTTCTGCCTACATGCACTGTACGGATACACATATAACATACAGGCAGAGGCACAGACAGGTACATCAATACTTCTCGCAGGTACATCTAATTAATAAATACTTCTCGCCCACCGCTGGTCAAATTCAGATTCTTGCCTTCTGCCGCTCAGAGCGAAACCTTTGGTCCCACACCGACTGATACTGACGGTGTCAGGCGAGAAGAGGGCCAGCAGTCAGCGAGTACATATTTGAGTGGGCAACATGGTTGTGGATCTGGACTAGAATCAAACAGCGCATCAGTACATACATATAGAGATCTGCTGTGCTTTGCTTTGTGCCAGTGAACACCAGGACAGAGTGGGACTGAGGATGAGAATAGGAAGGAGAGCATTTCTCGAGACGGCAGCAGAAGAAGAACCAAAGCGCCCGCTCGTTCCATCATATCAGTGTCCCGGGACGCCTGGACCGCTCGTTCGGATGACTGCATGGCCGTGGCTGGAGAGACAAGTTCATTCAGGATACGGCGGAAGATCGCCACGGCCCTGATACCTACCTTGTACGAGTAGATAGAGACAGGGCCGAGAGATGGCATGGACGGGTGTCGAATCAATTAACAGCGAACATCGAATTCGGGTTCAACTTCGGATTTGCGATGCACAGTGCCATGGCGAGGCGACGCGTGGACATGGAAGCCATGTCTGCCCAGTCCAGTCGAGTTGCAAATGCCCCGTGAAGTTCAGTCGATCAGCTGAGCAGTTCCTTGGGAAGACCACTCAACCATTGGCATTTAGAGATGTCAATCAAGCTAGTACGTCAAGTACGCCGGTCACATGGCGAAGCGATTCGCTGCCTACCTGGAAACATGGTTGTGAGCATTGGAGACTTTTCAATCGGCCCGTGACGTCGTGTGATGTCGAGAGGTAGAATAGTTGCATCTTGTCTGGCTTCTGCCCCTGCTCCTGCGCCCGCTCCCGCCCCTGAAGTCGGCCGGCCACCTTATCTGGAAACGTCTTGACCACATGCCTTGCAAGTAGAATACCAATGCAGACCTGGGCCTCACACAAGAGGGGCTGGTGGCCGCAGTCCGTATGCCTTGTCAAGGAAGCCGGGATGGTCTTGTTGGTGTCATGGAACGCCTGTGTACATGGCCCGGCAGCCATCCATGATCATGGAGACTATTGATCTATTGAGTCCCTGGTGGAACTAGATGCACGGAAAGAAGGCGGAGGAGGAGGAGAGGAGGAGGAGGAGGAGGAGGAGGAGGAGGAGGAGAAGGAGGAGACGAAGCACATGGCCATCGTCAGAGTTGATTAAAATCTGCGCAGGTATAAAGTCGACAACATGCCAATCGAATCAGCAAAAGTGATGCAGCTCGCATCCAATTTAATCAAGTATGTTGACGACCATTTGCTCCCTCCGCTCCGTATCATCCGAGCTAGTCGATTTTCTCCTCTAGGCGAAGGTCGGCGGCGACATGTCGTCCAGCGGATTTGCAGCGAAGTCTCAGTCTGTCGGCGATAGAAACGTCAACGTCGTGACTAGACTAGTAGCGGAGGAGACGCTGGTGGAAACCCAACAAGGAAGCAACTCGTCCCGCCAGTGGTTTCAGTCGCTCGTTCAGAGTGCTGCACCAACAAGCATAACTCCGCAAGTTGATGCATTGAACTTTATCCTGCCTCTCTTGTCGCGTGTCTGCAATTGCAATTGTTCCTAGAGTAGAGTAGAGTAGGCGTGTGTCGTTTTCTGGGCCTGCTGAACATTCGGCGAGGGTGTGCTCTTCTGACCTGGCCACAATTCCCCGGGCGTGGATGTCGACTGCATTATTCTCTCCAGGTAGTCCTCATGTCGTTGTAGAACACAGGGACAGTGGCCTCCCCCAATTCGTTGTATTCTCCTGTCTGTTTCCTTGTTTCCTTGTTTCCTTGTTGTTGTAGCGACACTCAACCCTCCGTCCTGCTACTTTCCTGCTTGCCCCTACCATGAACGCTCTCTTCCCCGAGCACTTTGGCACTGCCCATGAACAACGCGCCGATATAGCCACCCAGAAACCGCATGTCTTGAGCCTGTACGCTCGTCATCCGTACCAAATTCTCGGTATCCGCCAGGTGCGCGTTCAGCTGGGCCAACTGTGCATGGAGGTGGGCGTACTGCCGGTTCTTGTTGGTCGATGTTGTGTTCGTCGAGGCCACGGACGAGGGGCGCGAGAGAGAAGGTTTGGATGTCCGGTCCATCTTTCGGCCAGTGGCTGATGCCAACCGGGGGCCTCGCTTCAGAAAGGGAAAGGGGAGTTCAGGTTACGAACACTGATGGTAGCCGTCGTGGTTCGTGGTGATTCCAGGTTCGAGTAGTAACACCGCGATTCGACTGGTGACGCGACAACATGAAGTTGGTCATGTCGCGTGTATCCGTCATCACGTGGTCTCTTCACTACTCACTACGAGGCTGACAATGACCGATGTTCACTACCACATACCATGTACGGATACGCAGTGAGCCCGGCTTCGTGATTCCATTCTCCCGTCCTTGACGCCGTGCTCGTACCCAGCTGGTGATAAAAGCTCCCGTCACCAGTGACCAGTCATGTCGGGATACGGTACGGAGTATGTCAGGATGGACGGGCTACGCAGCACCACAGCTCTGTATGGATGCCGACTACGAACGACCGACCTGACAAGGGCCCCGAGGCCCCTCGAAGTTGTAGGCCGGGTCACGAATGCGAAGAGCACTACAACAGGCACCAAGCTCGAGCTGATGTTCTTCAACCTTGTTTGCATTTGATTAATTACCCTGCTCGCCGGGAAGCCGTCTGTGTCCGCCTCGTGTTGCGCACAGCCTCCCACAATCCTCCCTGTTTCCCATGCGAATCCTAGCATAATTATTCATCCCACTCCAATCGTGTTCGTGCCTGAAAAAGTGTATGTCTGAAATAACGGGGGTACACAGATCTTTCTCCAATCCATATCGAAGTCGGAGGAATCCGCGCAGGCCCCTCGGAACCCTCTTCCAATCTTTGGATCGCTAAAGGACACCCATCCATGTACAATAAGGGGCCATTTGTTTGCTTTGCAATGCTGTATGTATTTGAGAGAACCAAGGTCGAATGTTCCAATATTTCCGCTCGCCCGTGCCCGTCCCGTCACCCGGTCTCGTCTCAATGCTTTTGTTGTGTTCGAAAGGCCGCTGCCGACCCTGCAGGTTGTAGCTTTGAGTGGGAAAGCTGATCATTATTAAAGTGTATTCGAAACAGCGCAACTGCTGAAGATATATGTAATGCCGTACGCAAAGGCGGACTCCGCTAATGGTAAACTCCTCGTTAATGGTTGACCGTTAGCCAACAAGTTGGAAATGTCTGTGCAGGCTTCTGCCAGGGATGATGTGACCCGGCTTTATTGCGCACTCAGCATTTGCCGAGCTACGAAGCTGCTCGTACTGCTGTGAGCCGAAGGCTCAGATTCAATGTTGGCACTGCCACTATCACCACTTCCCGCGCTAGCACTGGCACTTCCAGTTAGACTTTTGACAGGGACTTTGGGCGGTGGGAAGGGTTTGCTCACCCCAGCCTGTTCGACTTGCTGTGGATGGATCATGGCGCCCGGACCAGGAGGATATCTCGGTACTGGTGCTTGCATACCTCCAGGCGGTGATGGTCGGCCATTGCGGGGAGGCCCAGGGTGCATGTAGGGGTCGTTGGGTGGTGAGGGCCGACCTGGCACCCTCCCATGGGGGCCGAAAGGATTTCCTGGTGACCGGCTTGTCCGACGACTAGGCGGCCCGGGGTATGGTCCTCCATTGACACCGATTTCTTGAAGACGACTTGCTGTCAACGAGTTCGCACGTGATTCATCGGCCATTTCTTTTCGGTCCACCGCACCGTAACGGTTGGAGGCGAAACCCATCATCGGGTTATCAAGGATGTTGGAGCCTAGAACCGGCATGTCGGATAGTATTTGAGTGCTGGTTCGGTGTTTTCCAGGGTTGGGTCTTCCATAGGATCCGGGGCGCATGCCATTACCGTTTGCGAACACGTCCTTGCGAAGCTGGTTTTGGCTGCTGGCTTTCTTCGTTCGCCTCGAAGTCACGCTCATCATATCGAAATTGTCGGGATCAATCGGCGGTGGGGGAGGACCGCGTGCTTGTATGGGATCGAAATAGTCATCGTCATCATCGTCGTCATCAAAATCTTGATGACGATTATGTGATGTTCTCCGTCCACTTCGACCTTTCATCGCCATCTCTTGTTGTTTGAGGTGTAACTCCTTTGCCCGAAGCATAAGCTCCCTCTCACGCATAGAGATCCCGCCAGGAACACCGTTATCTGGGTACGCTCCTCCAGCTACATCACCGTCAGGCAAATCATCGTAGAGAACGACATGACTGAACTCGTCCAAATTGGTCTCGTCATAGGATGGCCGGCGTTGTAGTTGGCTCGGCCCTCGAGGTGGATAACCATTTGGCAGGCCCCGGAAGCCACCGACAGGGGGAGGGCCTCGCCTTCCAGGCGGACCCATGGGTCCTCCCATCATAGGAGGACCCCTCATAAGCCTTGGGCCACCATTCAGCGAGCCATTGGGTTGCCGCAGCGGCGGGGGGTTTGACAAAGACACGGATCGAGGAGGAGGTTGGTTGATGGAAGGGGATAGTGGCATGCCTGACTGTGGCACAGGGGGTTGCGGTGTGTTCGCAGGAGGTCGGTCTTTGTTCACAGTGTTGATATGGCGCAGCATTGTGTACAGCGTCTCGAGCCGTGGTACCTTCACATTGGCGCTCTTTCCTATCTCCACTGGAGAACCAAGATAGGTCTCGACCTCCATGGGACGCCTTGCTGTGAAATCCTGAAACATCGTGCTTGGCTCCGGACCGCTGGCAAGCATATCCTCTATCGTGGCCTTTTTGAAGTCGTCGTTGAATTCGCAGTTTTGTGCAATGGCTATTTGAAGTAGCTCTTCAATTATTTCTGAGATCAAGTGCTCGACGCCGGGTATTCGGATCAGGTTAGAGAGGTTGGGGGTCTCAAAAAGAACACTGGCAGGGTAAAAAGCAATGGGCCTGAACAACCAAGTTAGCACGGATTACCAGACAAGAGCTGATAGTGAGCATACCCAATCATCCTCTCGTACTGTTGCTGCTTGATATTCGGCGACACTTTGCAATCAACCTGCGCGGTTGTCAAAGTCATCGCTAGGGCTTCGGACATGTCCCTTTGAATCGTCTCTGGAATAGACGAGTTCTGACTTGCAGGGCCAACCCAGATTTCTGTAGATCCAGTGTGTTCAAATTCGCTGGAGCCGAGTTGCGTCAGGTTGGCGCCTGAAACGAGGGACAAAACGACATTCGACGGATATCTCTCCTCCAGCTGCCGCTCCACCCCGAGAGTATTTGTTGTATTCACCAGAATGCAGGTGTGTTGAGGAGTGACGACAGATTGGATAATGTCTGCAAGGTTGTAGACGTCCGGGAGGGCTTTTACACAGAGTATCACGTAGTCGAAAGCTGCTTGCTGGCTCGCAGCCTCTTCGGGTGTTTGGACAACTAGACTTGATTAGCTCGCCCGTAGGAGAAAAGGGAGGTTTCACATACCGTATCGTGGCTTGAATCGCTCGTTACCGAACAATTGGGATCTGAGGAATTGTCAGTAGAGCGCGGAAATAGGCCAAAGACATGATTCTTGACTCACTTGAAAGAAACGCCATACTGCGCCACGGTCTGGTAGTTTGCTTTCCAGACCAAAGTCACATCGCAGGCGTTCGTCGCCTGTAAGCGCCAGGATAGAAACGCGGAAACCGCATTTCCACCAACTATACAACAACGTCTTAGCTCTCGATGCATTTTGTGCCAAGCAGATCTAACTGAAGTGGCCGAGACTGAGATGGCCAATTCTGCTTGGACGTGCGCATTGGATCCGCTGTCGGCCGGAATCAAGTCATGCTCACCTGAAAGGATTCTGAGACGGGGAGGAGAAGGTGCCATTGTGTGCTAGAGCACAGTCGTAAGAGTCGTTAATTAGTATAGCAAACGGCCTGAAGCAGGCACGTCCGAGACGAGTTCGAGTTGGTCGCAGTTAAAGCTGTCCAGAATTATTGCTTTTCCAAACCAAACACAATCGAGGCTTATGACTGATTCTTTCAGAAGCACAATGACTGACAACGACGGGCGGGATCGAGAAGAGCGAGCGGTAGGTGGTCTAGCAGATTGTCGACGACATCGGATTGAAACGAAGGACGGAGGTAGGGTTAAGTGAAGATTCGAGGTCGATGAAGGTTTCGACTTGCAGGCACCGGAGGTTAGGATCGCAGCGCCAGGAAGGGCGAAGAGTAGAAGGTCGTCACAGGGGCGATTCCATCGAGAGCAGTACGGAGTACTCGTACTGCAACTTGGAACGAAATAATGAGCGTGGTCCGAAAGGAGGTGGAAGAGTAGTACGGAGTACAATTAGATGAAGGGGACTGGGGTGATGGTGCGGGTGGCTGTGGTGATGAAAGGGAGACTTTTTGAGTGGCCGAAGATTGCCGGCGCGACGATTGTGAAGCGCAATTCGAAACAGGACAGGACAAGGACAATCATGACGAGGGAGTGGAAAACGACTTGGGTCAGCTTAGGTCGGCCAGCTGGTCTGGTAAGATGGTAAGATACACGTAAGGTACCTGTATGGAAACAACGGGCTGGCGCTCCAGCTGGCTTCAAGTTTTTAGGTACGGAGTATTCGGCTGGGGGGGGTGAAGATTAGGGTATTATTTGTCGACCAGGGATTCGGGGGGAGGGCAGCATCGACTGAATGACCACCCAGGCTGTAGGTATTGCCAGTGGGAGGGGCTCGACGGAACAGGAGGCTTCCCGTCAGCCAAGCGAGCTTGAAGTTACCTTTAGGCACCTACATGTAGTTAGGTAGGTACAGGCATAGTTGGCTGCCTGCTAAAGGGACCGGTATCCTTGGTACTCCGTAATCCTCAAACATTTTAAAAAACGTTAATACACAGGGGTTACGTGCGGTCGTGCTTCATTCTTGCAGTCCTGCGCACGGTTACTATACTACTCAGGGCGAAAGACTGCTACACACACGTAAGCAGAATCTACGCCGTACGCACTTTTTCGCACCCGGGGCTTTCTATACTGCTTCAAGGCTCCGTCCGCCGTACCACCACTACCACCTGGCGTCGCTCAACTGGTCGTTCTCTTACAGCGTCCTCCGGCAATTTGTTCTGCTCCAATCAACGCCGGTGATCTTGCAGATATTACCTAGTACGTACCTACTTGTTGTATCGTACAAGTCTGGTACTTCCTCCGTGCCTTAAAATAAGAGTCTCCTATCGTGATCGCACTACGTGTGCCCGGCGGTGGTGTCCACTTTATGTCCATAATTGCCGGGACGGCCTCCTGGCGTCTTTCAGGGACCCGGGATCCGGTCACCGTGCGTGCGCCATGCACGCACTCACCACGAATTGCAGTGTAGTACTCCGTACTGCGACTCTTCTGAGTGCCTCTGCGACTGGTCACGCTCAAAATGAAAACAACTGCAGAGAGAAAGACTCGGGCTATAACGGGCCGGGAAATCTCAATGCCACAATGAACATATTGGGTTTCCGAATGCCAAAGTAGTATGATCAAGCTGATTTAACTGACCACACGCCTCACTCACCTTACCGCACCGGGTAGAGAACAACTTACTCTCTGTCCTCTCTCTCTTTCTCTCTCTCTCTCTCTCTCTCTCTCTCTCTCTCTCTCTCTCTCTGTGTGTGTGTGTGTGTGTGTGTGTGTGTGTGTGTATTGTGTATTCTGTACAGGCACAGCACGGTGACGAGACAGTACTCCGTATGTTGGGACCGACGGAGCTGGCCTTGATCGTGTACTCCGTACAATGTACATATTCTTGACTCCACCATCAGCTCCCTTTGTTCTTCCTAGGTATAGTACTCCTCCAACTCCTCGCTAGCCCAGGATATCAGCATGGCCTAGCAGTCATAAGCGCCCGCTTAGAGCGTCAACATCTGCGCGAGTCTCCATACGCACGCCTGGACTGTTACCAGTGTCGTTGATCGAGTAGATTAGACCGGCTTCGTGGCTGCGGATATAGGAGTTGTGATGGATATTGATGATTTAGGTGGTCAATTCATGTGCTCCAGGTAGCAGATCCTGGCATGTGCACACTATTCTGCATCTGAAAGGTCTCAAACTCAGTATACAGTGGACATTGCGAGTCTCTGGGATTCCAGGAACTTTCCCTGAGACACTAACAGGACGTTAGCACATGGCCACGCAGCTGTGTCCACTGCCAACGGAGTATCCGTACCCAGGCAGAAAACAAGGCGAGAACGGAGTGTATGCGTACTCCGTACATGAATTCGATGGTCGACACAACGATCCCGCCTATCGAGTGTTGTTTGTGCATTACGGAGCATCCGTCCCTACAATTTCCTCGAGCGAGGCGACAAGTGGAAAATAATGTACGGAGCATGCCCCCATTCTTCGCAGCCCGAGGCCGAGTCAGGAACAGCGCGAATGATGGTGTGGGACGGCCGGCACATATCTGGATTCTGTTCAGCCCCCAAGGTGTGAGACTTGCATAAATCTTTCTTTTAGCTCCAAGATTTTCTTTGCAGTCTGCCCAAGCGCTGATAAAAATGTCGCGTTACAGTGGAGCTCGATAGATTAGCAGACGGCGACGTGGGACTGCCCCGTTGACCAAGGTCCGAAGCATATCCCGACACACGTACGGAGTATCCGTACATATCTGCGTCGCCAGAGGTTTGCAGCAGCCGACGTCCCTACAACGCTTCAGTTGGGGAATCTTCCTGCATTGCTTCAGGGCGCTTATATATTGAGGACTCCTGCTAGAGCCCTCGACACCATTTACCTGTTCAGATGCACTAGTGGCGTCTACGGATACATGATCGACCCTTTCTGAGGCCATATTAGATGCGGACCATTGGAAAGTTCCTCGTCCGTATTTAGGTCTACCAATCTTGATAGAGTTGCTGTGTACAAGTCAGTTGCCCTTACTGTCAAATTCCATTGAGGATGCTCTGTACCGCGACACTTTATTATACTCTTCCAAGGAGTATCCAGCTATCCGACGTCCGTACACAGTACTGTTCACTGAGTGTGTAATAACGTTGTCATTCGGAATCTGCGTACTCCGCGTTCACGCTATCATCAAGCGAGATATCGTATACCATGATCCGGATAAGCCGGGAGTGGGCTTTAAGCCAAGAAGGCCCAAAATAACATGGTAATCTACAGGAGCAAGGAATGTGCCTTGACTTTCATCGGCGGAATAGGCATGGTCTGTTGTTCTGGCTGCGAAAGACACATCTCACTCACTACGTACTCACTACTACGAGGCTAAGCGCCATCCCGCAGATCATCCAGTCTCTCTAAGACCGACCAGGTTTGAGAACGAGGCTTAGGAGGCCTTAGGAGCCCCTAACTCCTCCATCCTTCTTGCTGTGCGTGCTCCGCGTGGAGCGCCACTCTAGGCCTGTATGATACCTTTGTTACTGTCTGACCTTTGGAGACATGGGCATTGCAAAAGTGCTTGGATGCTAACGGTCTCGCTCCATCTATCGCGGTGGAAGCCCCATTGATGTGGCTCTGGATCCGGTCCATTGACACAGAGTTCTTGTACTCCGTACTCCTTCTCCGTCGAACGTTTGAGACTTCATCTTTCTCTCAGTAGTGTCTTCCCCGGTCTACTTTGCGCAAGGGAGCTGAAAAGGGTAGATGTAGAGCAACCTGTATAAATGCCGAACCATTCGAAGTAGAGTCGTACCATTTGAATCCAAAGCGGTCGCTCCAGTTATACAATGCAATTCGTCATGCCCTCCAGATCTGGTCACTGTCCAAGGGCGACAGTCCCGTGTTTTCTAGGCCCGACGGGAACGTGCACGCGCGTCTAGAGGCCTGGTGTGATCCTGGGAAATGCCCCGTTTGTAGCGGGAGCCAGCTTTACGGTCAAAGGCTTTATCTCAGGTATGACAGCCGTCTCACAGTCAACCAATAGGGACAAACGGGCTGTGAACTCTGAGGCTGAATCAGGTACGGAATCTTAGCAGGGCCATGAACACAACGTCGTCAACCGTCCAGTCTCTATTACGGAGTGTATATTCATGGCTTCCTCGGGGTTGCTGGTTTTGTTGAAGGCTGTCCCCTTTGCCCATCACTCTTCCTGTCCGAGTTGCTGAGGTGAAGATTCTGCGATCGCTGTGGCAGTTCCCACAGAACTCGCACAATGTACCGAGTATGTGTACATTAGTAGGTTGGTACCATGCAATCAGTCCTATGTAGCCACCTTTTATCCGTGCTTGGTCTGTGTTTTGCGACTTGGTTTTGTTTGAGAGTATTGCGAGAATGAGCAGCAATGGCGGTAGTGGCGGCAGGGAGGTGATACCAAAGGTGAATTCTGTGCTAGGCCGTACGGAGTACAGTACGGGCTTGAGTCCTACCTAGGTTGTCAGTGCTCGGTAGATGCCAGATGGCCGGGGGGCCTAAAGGCTCAGGCTAAGGAGGCCCCTAAGGCCATAGGCCTTGCTGCCATGCCTCCTCGGCCATGCACAAACCCGTTGCTAGGCATCACTCAAGCCCACATCTCGCACTTTTCTTATCCCCGAGCTCCCTAGCCCCCAGTGGGCATTGGTTGCTCACTGCGAGTCGGCGGAGGGCCAATGAAAGGGCTGGAGGGATGTATGATCCAGAAAACAGCTCGGAATGAAGGCGTTGCTCGGCCGTGAATAATGATACTGCTAAGATGGTGACAGCGATGGAAAGGACGGCTCGTGGATCAGCTTGGTCAGCTTCCGGGCCCCGTAGCACATAGAAGTGGCCACGAGCGCGAAGGCAGTCGCGAGTGGCTGGAGCCCTAAGCCAGCCCCTTCACAGGTGAGCAAGGGTTACCGGAGGTAGGGTCATAGTGGTGCGAGTCTGGTGTGGTACTAGTACGGGGATGCTTGAGAGCACTGTAGACTGTACGAGGCAGACCGAGACACGGGGGTGAGGAATGACAGACAATACTTCGCGATTTGTGGTATCTCTTCTTTCTGCGAATCTCGACCCCGAGATCCAAGCCTCGTTACAACGCGTGCCGTTCGCATGTATCGACGGGTGTCAGAAAGACAGACAGCGCAAGCGTTACCCCCCTGGCGCGTTGCAGCCCGAGCGCAGTTCTGGTGCCGTGGCCGAACAGCCTGAAGGCTTGGGAGCCCCCCTCGCCGCAAAGCCGCCATTTTTCAAAACGAACACACCCCTGCCCCGAATACATCTCAAGTCCTCTCCGTTCTTCCATCTTCCGTGATTTTCACTCGCAGTCACTATCCATTTGATAGACCAGCTGTGGTCAGTTTTGAGCACTATTCACTTGACTTCCCCCGGGATTCTTCTCTGAACCGGATAACGGGGAGGCTCCAAGCCACCGGCCCCCTACTACTGTGGACTGGATCCCGTTTCTCAGGCCTAGAAACCCTCCGATCGTACTGCTGCAGGAAAAGCCCCCCATTATTCATCATCTCCCGGAGGCTACAGTTCCTCATCCTGTTTGACGAATTGCTCAAGAACTCCCATTCTCCTACGCACTCGAGCTCTTTCGCGCTGCAACGTCGCCGTTCGCCTACTACGACGCCCAAAAATGCGCGTTTCTCTCTTCTGCTGACGTGAGCCGACCCTTCCGAAGATCATAGGCCTCCGCCTGCGCATTTCATATTCTCCGCCCTGCGAATTTTGTCGACTCTCTACGAGGAGAACTGGCGAGATAAAGGCCCCTACCACGGCATAGGCCAGCGCTGTCACCCAATTTGCCTGGACCAGCAACTGCGGTAGTGGATTGACCGCTTCGGGCCTTTGCAGCAGCATGGCGCGAGTACAATTCGACAGCGAAGAGGGCGAGGGAAGCGTCTCTAGACCCGTTAAGAGAATGCGCTGGGCTACAACTCGTAAGCCTGGTCAAAATGGTGTCAAGAAAAGGCTCTCCCTGCTTCAGAGGATGCCCAAAGTCACTCTCTCGACCTACGAGGAGAAGCCCGATGGCCAGGAAAACCATGGGGAGATCTCAGAGGACAGTCCAATGGGCCAGCAGCAACAGCAGGAGGTTGCGTCGACCGGGCGAACAATCTACGTGAACGTGCCGCTTCCTCCTGAGGCCAAAACGGAAGACGGCCATGTCAAGGCGCAGTATTCGCGGAACAAGATCAGGACGTCAAAGTACACCCCCCTCAGTTTCGTGCCCAAGAACTTGTACTTTCAATTCCACGGTATCGCCAACATATACTTCCTATTCATCATTATCCTAGATGTAAGCCGTTCCAGTCTCACGTTGTGACGTTGCTGATTACTCCTAGATATTCTCGATTTTCGGCGCATCCAATCCCGGTCTGTCCTCAGTACCTCTCATCTTCTTCGTAACGGTGACCGCCATCAAAGATGCGGTCGAAGATTGGCGCAGAACGGTGCTGGACACCGAGCTCAATAATTCTCCGGTTTACAGGTTGGTGGACTGGCACAACGTAAACTCTTCCGAGGACGACATCTCTGCGTGGAGACGATTCAAAAAAGCCTGTACAAGAACGGTCGTTGCTACCTATCGCCGGATGAAGAACTTGAGAAACAAGAAAGCTAAACATTCAGAGAAGGATTTGGACGGCAATTCTCTTCAGCGCCAGGATTCTACAGCTACCCGACCGACCATTAGAGCATCCATTTATTCAGAAAGGACTTCGTTCCAATCAACCCACAGTCAGACGGGCAACGATATTGCAATGACGCCAGTCCCCTCCCCAGCTTATCGGTCGAGCGTAGCTCCGAATGAACAACTCTCTCCCGACGGAGAACCGCCCAACAGCGCCTTTTCGTTCAACACCGCTGAGTCCGGTCGAGGCGGTGACAGAGCACCGTCTATGGTCCGGACGCAGGACCCTGTGAAACAAAAAAGCTCCATAATCCCACACAAGGACTATGGCAGCGTTATTAACCGGCACAGAGACGTTCCAGATAGCGCCCGGTTCAAGAAGGATTACTGGAAGAATGTACAAGTCGGCGATTTTGTCCGGATTTACAACGATGAGCAGATTCCGGCAGACGTCATCGTCCTTTCAACCTCTGACCCGGATGGAGCATGTTATGTCGAGACCAAAAACCTGGACGGTGAAACAAATCTGAAGGTTCGGCAAGCATTGCAGGCAGGGCGGAAGGTGAAACACGCAAAGGACTGCGAGTACGCCGAATTCATCATCGAAAGTGAAGGTCCACACCCAAATCTGTACTCTTACAGTGCCGTCGCCAAGTGGAAACAACGTGATCCACGAGACCCCGACGCTCCCGTCCGTGAAATGACCGAACCAATCAGTATCAACAATCTCCTCCTTCGAGGCTGCAGTTTGAAGACCACGGAATGGATTCTCGGCATTGTCGTTTTCACGGGCGGAGAGACGAAGATCATGCTGAACTCGGGCATGACGCCTAGCAAAAGGGCGCGATTGGCCCGAGAGTTGAACTGGAACGTGATCTACAACTTCATTATCCTCTTTTTTATGTGCTTGGTGTCCGGGATCGTACAAGGCGTGACATGGGCCCAAGGGAACAACTCTCTGGACTATTTCGAGTTTGGCTCTATCGGTGGCAGTCCCCCTTTGGACGGGTTCATCACCTTCTGGTCGGCGGTGATCTTATTTCAGAACTTGGTGCCCATCTCCTTGTACATCACGCTGGAAATTGTTCGATCCCTCCAGGCGTACTTCATCTGGTCCGACGTTCACATGTATTATGAGAAGCTTGACTACCCATGCACGCCGAAGAGCTGGAACATCTCGGATGACTTGGGCCAGATCGAGTACATATTCTCAGACAAGACTGGAACCTTGACTCAGAATGTCATGGAATTCAAGAAGGCTACCATTAACTCAGTGGCATACGGAGAGGCCTATACCGAAGCAGAAGCAGGGATGCGTCGGAGGCAGGGCGTGGATGTCGAAGCCGAGGCCGCACGCATCAACCAACAGATTGCTGAAGCTCGTGTTAGCATGTTGAGGCAACTGCGCGAAATGCATGATAACCCTTACCTCCACGACGAACAAGTTACCTTCATTGCCCCCGACTTCGTCGCCGACCTGAACGGGAGATCTGGCGAAGAACAAGCAAAGGCAAACGAGCATTTCATGCTTGCTTTGGCCCTCTGTCACACCGTTGTCACCGAGACGACTCCCGGTGATCCGCCCACAATTGAATTCAAGGCCCAGTCTCCGGATGAAGCTGCCCTTGTAGCAACCGCTCGCGACATGGGGTTCACTGTTCTTGGCCGTACCAAAGACGATCTTCACGTGAACGTACTCGGGGAAGATCGAACATACCGCATTCTGAACACATTGGAGTTCAATTCGACACGAAAGCGAATGAGCGCCATCGTGCGCATGCCTGATGGAAAGATTAAACTGTTTTGCAAGGGCGCGGATAGCATGATTTATTCTCGCCTCGTCCGAGGCCAACAGCAAGAGCTCCGCAAAACGACTGCTGAGCACCTGGAGGTGTTTGCCCGAGAGGGTCTCAGAACACTCTGTGTGGCTGAGAGGGACCTCGACGAGGAATTCTATCAAGAGTGGAACAAGGACCACGACTTCGCAGCGCAAGCTTTGACCGACCGAGAGGAGCGACTTGAAGAGGTTGCCGATCGCATTGAGCAAGACCTTGTTCTCCTGGGAGGAACGGCTATTGAGGACCGTCTCCAAGACGGCGTACCTGATACTATTGCTATTCTCGGACAGGCCGGCATCAAGTTGTGGGTTTTGACTGGCGACAAGGCCGAAACAGCCATCAACATTGGGTTTTCTTGCAACCTGCTTTCAAATGAGATGGACCTCATTTTGTTCGATATGCCTGAGGGCAGACCCGAGGACGCTTCCAACCTGCTTGACAAACACTTGAAGACCTTTGGGCTGACAGGGTCTGATGAGGAGTTGGCAGCAGCTCGACTGGTTCATGAACCCCCGCCACCGACTCATGCGTTGATTATTGATGGTGAATCGCTCAAACTGGTCTTGGAAGATGAGTTGAGGCAGCGCTTCCTGCTGCTGTGCAAGCAATGCAAATCGGTGATCTGCTGCCGAGTCAGCCCCGCCCAGAAGGCTGCTGTTGTTCATCTTGTTCGGAATGGTCTTGATATCATGGCCCTGTCCATCGGTGACGGTGCCAATGATGTCGCCATGATCCAGGAAGCTGATGTCGGGGTGGGCATTGCTGGCGAAGAGGGTCGCCAGGCAGTCATGTCCTCTGACTACGCCATTGGTCAATTCCGGTTCCTCCAACGGCTCGTTCTAGTCCATGGCCGTTGGTCTTATCGACGCCTGGCCGAATCAATCGCCAATTTCTTCTACAAGGTATGTCCTAATCAAAGCTTACGAACCGAGTCACTGATGTGCTGTTAGAACCTGGTTTGGACTTTCGCCCTCTTCTGGTATCAGATATACAACAGTTTCGATATCACGTATCTGTTCGACTATACATACATCCTTCTCGTCAACGTGGTCTTTACATCAGTACCTGTCGGATTGATAGGCATACTTGACCAAGACGTCAGTGATAAAGTCTCGCTGGCAGTGCCTCAGTTGTATCGTCGCGGCATGGAGCGAAAAGAATGGACGCAGATGAAGTTCTGGTAAGAACAATCTAGCTTTCTGCGATGGCTGTTTCTGACCCTTGTGCTAGGCTCTACATGGCCGATGGTCTGTACCAGTCGGCCATTTGCTACTTCATGGCCTATCTCCTTTTCGCGCCTGCAACATTCGAGACCTCGAACGGACGAGGGATTGACGACCGAAACCGAATGGGTGTCTATGTTGCCTGCGTTGCAATCGTCGTGATCAACTCTTACATGCTGCTAAACACCTACAAATGGGACTGGATCATGGTCTTGATTACTAGTCTAAGCATCCTCCTGATCTTTGCCTGGACCGGAATCTATTCGTCGTTTGAGGCGTCGTTCCAATTTTACAAATCAGGCGCCGAGGTTTATGGAGCATTGACATTCTGGGCCTTGTTGCTCTTGACAACTATCATATGCCTACTTCCTCGTTTCGCAGTCAAATTCTTCCAGAAAACCTTCCGACCGTACGACATCGACATCATCCGCGAGCAAGTACGGCAAGGCAAATTCAAATATTTGGACGAATATGAGGCATATGTTCCTCCGAAAAATGTGGACGTGTCGGGTACTTCTTCAGAACAGCACACGGAGGACTTGCCGGCCGAACAGGATGGGTACCAAGGTCATGCCAGGTATCCGAGCATGGCTGAATCCCAGCGGCCCATCTACCCACCCTCAGAGGCACCAACTCGAGATACACGTCACCCCCATAGTCAGACTGGGAGTGACGGGACAGATAGGACGAAGCCGTCCTTTGACATGGCAAGTCACTATGAACAATCCCCAACCCAAGAAAGGGCTTTCCGAAAAAGGCCTTCATTGGAGCCTGTTCGCCCGTCCTTTGACAGGACACGCCAGTCGTTTGAGAAGCTCAGACCTAGCATTGAAGGGAGCCGGGATTTCACGAGTGCCGCCATGCTGAGTCGAATAGAGTCGAGTTACTCGCAGCCTGCCAGCTCCGTTTACTCCCAAACTGGCCTTTCAACCACCAATACGAGAAGGACGCATGATGCCGCTGAGGAGCGTCAGTAGCACCTCCGCCTCGGGGGCTCGATGGTATATGCATGACTCATGATTTCCCTTACGCTTTGATGATTCCGGCACCAGATCATGAGTGCTGGATGGGTTGTGCCGTTCAGGGCCACTGAGATCGCACTATATAGCAAGTCCTGCGCTCTGTACATATTTAGAATTTACACTCAAAAGAAGAGGTGGAAGACGGAGAGTATCATCAGGCTAGTGATTGTTACTATTACTATCATGTCACCGTACAAACTTGTAACAGCAAAATCGAAGCGTCTGGGTAGAGCAGTATCACAAGTGAAGCGTTGCTATGTATCCGTATAGGTTAGTACTAGGTACGTAGTGCTAATAGTAGTACCACTAGTACGAGGCTGCGCGGCGCCGCACGCGATCTCCGGCTCTGAAAGACGCGCCCGCGGCGTTTTCTCTGTGCCTGCGGATAACTTTCATGGCGCTCCACCTCCCATTGCCTACCTGTATGAAACAAATATCCCACTGACCGACGGTTTGGCGGCCACGTCGTGAGCCCTGCCTCGCTGAACTCTTTTGAACCTCGACCGAGAACCCATACAGTCCACTTCCTCTCCGAGGTGACCTTATTCCCATTATGAGAGAGTCAAATCCATGGTCGTGCAAGACAACCCCAACTCTTGCCGCTAATTTGAGCCTCTCACACGGCTTGCGATCATGGCGGAGTTCATAGGCATCCTGCAGTAAGTTTCTTCTTGGAAAGCTTCTACAGACGCAGGTTAGTCGCTAACACAAGATTCCAGAGAGATCCAACAGTTACAGCCTGGACAGCACCTCTTTTGCCCTCGACAGAACGACAACGACCAGGACAGATACGAAGATGAGCGAAACCCCAGTGTTGCCAGAGAAGGCACACTTGATCCAGATCGGCTTGCCCGGATCGAAGAAACAAAGATTCGCCGGAGGAAGTTCATGACATCGTTGCAACTCCTGGCCTACGACGGACGAGAAAGTGAACAATATCAACGCTTCATATGGGAGACCCTTGATGAAAGCCTCGGAAAATGTGACATCTGTATCCGCGAGTACTACGTTGCAAAGGTGGATTTCGTGGCCGCGCTGAGAGAAGACTATGAAGAGGAAGATATCAAGAACTTCTTTGAAATCATCAACAGGAGGGATATCCAACGAATCATCCAGGGGCTTGACGGGGCAACCAAAACCCTCGAAGAAGTTCCGGAGCAGAGGAGGGGGACTGCAGTACTGAACCACAAGGATCTACATGCTTTGTTCGAGGCTCTGGTCTCCAACGTCTTCCTACAGAATGAAGACCTTCTGCAGAAACACTTTGACCCGCCGTTCAAGATGATACAGGCCAAGAAACCGCTTAAGATGCGAGAAATCTTGCCCGCCTCCACCAAGTTTCTCTTTGACTCCGTCCCCGTCCGCGTAGGGTGGGCGACCTCAATCTGGAACCGAATTGAGCGCTGTCCGACGGACCTTGAATGGGACTGGGCCATGCAGGATTACATTCAGGCAAAGTTGCAATACGCCTCTGAGCCTGGCGATATCTCGAAACTTTGGAGTGCTATGAAGCTGATCGTGAGCAAACTTGACGAGCGGATGATTACATACAAGCTTTTCGACCTTCACCCGAACGTCTGTACCACAGCGTTGAGCCACTTCGCCAAACGTTCGCAGGCCGTTCCCTTCATCTGCCAGTCTTTCAAGATGATCCTAGACACCGCACCTGGAGCGTTTTGGCAGGCAATGGGCTCTATATCCTCTCAAGCCATCGTCGAACAGATATTTGGAAGTCCTCAATTCAACAAATGCCTCCAAGAATCCAGTGCAAATCCAGAGTCGAGGGACATGGACGTCCTATCATGGGTTCCCTCACTACTTGGCTCCCTGAAACCCGCAAACCGGCCCGCCGCTTCGCAAACGATAGTCAGGCAGTTGTTCGAGAGAATTGACAATGATAGCATCAAGCTTCCAGCAAGAACTGCATGTTTCAGTATGGCTGTAAAGGTTCTTCTGACAACTATCATCAGCTTCTCGGACAACGAAAAGAATCGGCAGTCTGTCGAGCGGCTGGTCCTGAAGGATACCCTTAGCCTAATAGGACATCGTCTGGGCGAGATACTCAGACCCAATGATCCAGAGCTAGCAAGATGCTTGGGGAAGGAGACAAAGGAGGACATGGTGAACATCGTCAAAAACTCGATTGCGCTGGAATGTCAGTGCCTCAAGTCGGATTTTGAGACTTTGACTTTAAAGGAACAGCTCCGACATGACTCCAGCTCTTACACACCTGAGATCTGGACCGCGGTCATCGACAACCTAAAGGACGAAGAGCCTGAACTGTCTGCTGCAGCACTAATCGGCATCATGCCAATCCCCGGTCTTGAACAATTCAGGATAAGAGAAGGTCAGCCCATGGCCAAAGAGAAAAAGTCGTACAATTCTATTTTCGAAAAGTTGACCGGAATGGTGGCAAAACTTTTGGAACGCATTTCTGAATTCAAGCCAGATCATCTAGACTACTTGTTCAGAGCCCAGAATACCAGCATGTCTCTGATCGCCGCCCTATTTTCGCCCGACAACAGTACCTATCAAGCCGCAATCGAAGTCGTCAAAAACATTAGCGGCGAGTTTGGTCGGAAAGAAGCACTTGCCCATTTGATTGAAGCCTTCCTCGGCATCACCATATATGGCGTTTGTTGGACGTTTCGACGGATTGCCAATTTTAAGACCTTTGCCTCCGTGCCGCGGATGCTCAAAAACGGCATGGAAATCCTTGACGTGCTTTGCAACCCTACGTATGGGCAATTGCGGAGAGCTAATATCTCAAGCCGAGATGCTGCTGCGGTTCAGAATTACTGGTCTTATCAGTGGATTGCCCTCAAGGTGATCTTCAGCCAGACAGAACGGTGGTCGCTGGAGGTTCACGATAAAGCAAAAATGATAGAGGTCTGCAGAGATGCCATGCAGTATGCCGAAGCCCTCTTTGACCAATACGATCTTTTCGCAAGCGTCCTGACAAAAGCGAAAGCCGACAAAGCCCAAGAGATCCCTAAGATTCTCCTAGATTCCAGGGACACACAATTGGGCTCTCCACTGAACGCGCTGGATGCGATGTCAAAGTGGTTACGGCTTCGAGACGAGTATCTCGCTGATACTCTAGTGTCTCTCATCACCAACATGCTATTCCGGCTGAAGCGGCATCAAGCGTTAGCGACAGATAGTGAGGGTCTCGCATATGTCCAAGAGGTTGCAACGAAGCAGTCTGTCAAGACCATCCTCTCGGCATCCCAAAAGGCGCGACTTGTCCGGGCATTAGAGAGTTACTATGACCGACCTCTTGAGAGGCCTATAGCTAAGAAACAGACCACGCTCAATCTGAAAGATTGGACAGGATCGGCTGCTCCACAGTCGGAGGCGTCTACGCGAAACTCGAAGGAACGGAGCGTAGATGAGTTCGGCGATGATGACATTGCGGACGAAGACCTGATTGAGATCGCGAACAAGACACTGGGTACCCAGAGGGCCACAGTCACGACGAAGGAAAAGAACAAGATCAAGTCCCTTCTCTCAAGACCCCATCCCACAAAGACCAAGACTTCACCTGCAACCACGGTCGATATTGCAGCCCAAAAAGCCCAGGAAGCGAGAGTTTTCATTGAAAATCGCAAACGTGAGGAAGCTGCCCGGAAACTCAGAGACAGGGAAGCTGCTATGAAATTACGTGGCCAAACCGGCGTTGGCGAACAAACCGCAGGTCAAGGCTCTGGCTTAAGAGGCATTGGTATAATTGGCAAAGATCACTCTGCGGGTCCAAACAGCCTGATGGTCTCTTCCGAATCCGAATCCGAGTCGGATTCGGACGAAGAGCTATTTGGCAAATACCCAAAAGCTGGACCGACAGTCCGCAGCCATGCGGGTGCGAGGAAGCCTGTCGCCGCCGGGCCAGTACGGAAGATCAAGCAAGTTCGCTCGCAGAAGGATGTCCGAGCCCGGCTGGCACCCGACCTTAGCGAACTGCATCGAACGATTCTCAGCTGGGACTTCTTTGCAGACACAGATCTCCCACCTACTTCGGTAAAAGATGACTATACCCTTGTGACGAGCACATTCCGGACTGCCCTGGACTACCAGAAGACTTTTGAGCCTCTCTTAATCCTTGAAGGCTGGCAGTCTTTCCGAGCAGCTCGTGAAGATGGCAATTTCAGACCATTTCAAGTGAGAGTGGCCAATTCCCTCATTGTGGACAACTTCATCGAGGTAAACTCTCAGATGTCTCTTGCAGAAGGGAAGGAGCTGAGTATTGGAACATCGGATGTGGTGCTGCTGTCAAAGTCTCCAACTCCTGAGCAAGATCCGCGGGAGCCTCATTGCTTAGCACGAGTCAAGGAAATCAGCAGAAAGAAAGGGGAAGTCCAGGTCGTCTATCGGGTCAGCGCAGCAAATAACCCCTTACGCCCATATCTGAACGACAAATCAACAGTTTATGGTGCCCAGATCTTATCTCTGACCCCGTTAGAGAGAGAATATGGTGCGTTGATGGCATTACAGTACTATGATCTCTGCGACGAGATCATCAATGCCAAGCCATCGCCGATACTGGACTATTCGGATAAGGAACTCGAGCCTTTCCAGAGGACGTACCAGGTGAATCAAGCCCAGGCCAAGGCCGTCAAGTCGGCGCTCGACAATGATGCCTTTACTTTGATACAGGGTCCACCTGGATCGGGGAAGACCAAGACCATTTGCGCCTTGGTCGGTGCAATGATGACAGGGTCTATCAAGAAATCAAACGATAACGGTCCACGATTGAACACGGCGACCGGCCGTGTCCCACCGGTTGCCAGAAAGGTGCTCGTCTGTGCTCCAAGTAATGCCGCGGTTGACGAACTGGTCATGAGACTCAAGTTAGGCGTCACATCACTGGATGGCTCATTTGACAAGCTATCGGTTGTTCGACTTGGACGGACCGATGCCATCAATGCCGGTGTCAAGGACGTTACCTTGGAGGAACTGGTCAATGCTAAGCTCAACGCCGCAGCACCGAAGGATCCGAGAGAAGATATCCACTCGGTGATGATGGAACACAAAGCAGTGTCGGAAGAGTTAAACGCTCTCCGAGCACGGATCGATGAACAGCGTGGTGGAGGGCAGCCGGTCTCCTCGGCGGACGAACAGCTGATGGATGCCCTCAAACGGAAGAAGAATGGCCTAGGCTCCAAGATCGACGACATGAGAGAACGTCAAAATACTGCATCTCGTGATATGGAGCTCAATCGCAAGAGAGTCCAACAGGAAATTCTCGACTCGGCCCACGTCCTTTGTGCGACTCTGAGCGGAAGTGGTCATGAGATATTTCAAAGTCTCAACGTCGAATTTGAGACTGTGATTATCGACGAGGCAGCTCAATCGATTGAGCTTTCGGCATTGATCCCCCTCAAATACGGATGCTCGAAATGTATCCTGGTAGGTGATCCGAAACAACTGCCACCTACAGTTCTGTCACGCGAGGCAGCCAAGTTCCAGTATGAGCAGAGTTTGTTTGCCCGTATGGAGAGCAATCACAAGAAGGACGTGCATCTCCTCGATACACAGTACCGTATGCACCCTGAGATCAGTCTCTTCCCCAGCAAATCATTCTATGACTCGCGACTGAAGGATGGTCCGGACATGGCCAAACTTCGACGGAGACCCTGGCATCACAGCAACATCTTCGCCCCGTATCGCTTCTTTGATGTGCAAGGGATGAGCCAGGCGGTCCCCAAAGGGCATTCTTTGGTCAACTATGCAGAACTGAACATTGCTATGCAACTATATGAGCGACTAGTCACAGATGTTCCGAAGTATGATTTTACTAGAAAGATCGGCATCATCACTCCATACAAGGGACAACTGAGAGAGCTCAGGTTGCGCTTCAAGCAAAGATATGGCGAGGAGATTGTCTCGAAGATCGAATTCAATACCACGGATGCCTTTCAGGGCCGGGAGAGCGAGATCATCATTTTCTCATGTGTCCGAGCCTCTACGCAGGGTATCGGTTTCCTGAACGACATTCGACGTATGAATGTGGGTCTTACGCGAGCCAAATCCTCCCTGTGGGTTTTGGGTAACTCGCAGTCATTGACTCAAGGAGAGTACTGGCGTGCTCTGATCAACGATGCAAAGGCCAGAAACGTGTACACGCAAGGGGACATCATCAGTGTCCTTCGGCGTCCGCTGTTGACAGAGGATATGATGAAAGACGATGTTGATATGATGGATGCGAGCAGCCCTGTCGGTGAAACGGCAAAACCGACTGCCCCATCACCACCAGACTCGAGAGAGCCTTCTGCAGCAACCAGAAAGGGCAGCAACGACGCCCCCCGCCCGGGGTATTCTTCGCATCAGAACACCACGCTCCCATCTAGACCACCACAGAGTAGTCTCTTACGACGATCCTCTCTATCGTCCATTGCCAGAACTGAACCCCAGTACAATGATTCGACCCAGGCCGAGTCCAAACGAGTTGCATCCAAGATAGAGACCGATGGCGACAAGCGCCCACCCCCCAGTAGATTGGTAACGGAGCCAATTCTGCGGTCCGAACTCAACCAAGCCAACCCAGGTGTCTACGGGCCTTCAGGAGGCCACAATGGTCTCAACGACCTTGCCAAGTGCGCCATATGTGGCTCCTACGAGCACTTCAGCTCCAATTGCGACAACGAAGAGGCAAAAGCTGCCGCCCTTGGCAATTGTAGCCGATGCTACCGCCCTGGACATAGCTATGCAAGCTGTAGCGCTCCTCGTTGCATCACCTGCGGCGAAATCGGGCATCTCGCGAAAGACTGCAAGGCCCCTTCGGCTATGAGGCTGACCGAAGCCCAGCAGAAAGAGGTGAGGCGACAAGAAGTCCGGTTTGGTGCTACCAAAGATAAAGCGAGAGAAAGACGAGCAGAGAAACAACTTGGGGAACACGGCGCAAAAATCCCCACGGTGAAGAGCACCTTGCCGCCTGTCAATGGTGCAAAGAGCGATGTGGCTAAGAGAAAGAGAGACGAATCAAGCGATTCCGATCGAGGCAAGGTGGCCCGCATCAACAAGGATGGCAGAAGTCTCCCTGCTAAACCCAACATCGGTCCCGGGTTGGGATCTAGTCATGTTCCGCCACCCGGTCCGGCAGGACTACCACGGCGCCCACCTGTGGCTGCCGCTACTCCAGGCTCTGGCAATGGTACTAAGACCAACAACATCGAACCTGGACCTCGGTCTGCATCTGCTCGGGTGCCTCCCTCCGGCCCGGCAGCAGCAGGACCGCGACAGCCTGTGGCTGGTGCTGGTGGCCGGCCAGGAACAATCAATCACGGTCAGCCGATGGTCCGAAAGAAAAAGACCAACGCCGATGACATGTTTATGAAACGAAGATGAAATGCATGCATGATATGAGGTTTGGATTTGGCTGTCCCGCATTTTCTTCCTGGTGCAACGGCTACCCTGGACTGGAGCGATAGCATTTTGCATATTGCATCTTTGGGACGTCTCGACGCATGGTTGATATTGTTCCCATCCTGGCAGATTCAATGGATCAACTTGCTCGGCTTGTCAGCTTTCCCGAATTCATATCGCGTACATCAAGGCGAGTTGTGTGTATGATTAATCGGAGGGACCTGAAACGGGCGGAAGAGACCCAACCGACAAAGCTGCTCATTAGGTGCGATATTGCATCAGACCAGGAGGGAGGCTGACATGGGACAAGGGAGCAACCTGCTGGCCTACTGCATGGCACTGTGTTTCTATTATTCATACAGCATAGCAAACGGGCAGTGCGTGTAGCTTCTTTGGCAGCATAGCAAACGGGCAGTGCATGTAGCTTCTTTGGCAGCATTGCCACGGGTACGATTATGGATGTGCAGCTAAGCTGCCAAAGCCCCTTAGCCCCCCGGGTTGGGTCAGGCCAGACTGCTTGCTCTTCCTTCCCCCGTCTTTTCATCACTCGTACTCGTACTCTGACTGTGACTGTGACTCTGACTTCCCCCTATTCCTGCTTCGAGGGGATGTGCGGATGATCCCTTGAGGAAATTGTTCTAGAAGCAAAGAGGAGGCTTCGTAGAGACCTCGGATACTGTGGCACCATTCATTGCATTACTAGTAAGTAAGAGGGAACAGGAACAGGGTCATTGATCACCATATCATTGGTGTTCACCGACCGCTGGGGGATTCTTCATTATCAGACAGAGTACTCAGTACTGTACCTCAGATCCTACTGATCCAAGTAGAATAAACATGGTCTCGTTGCTACTACAAGTAATAAATAACCCAAGTCATCTTCATCATTAATGTTCTTCAGAACCTCATTGACACATGCTCATCACACCTTGACGTCGTCCAACCTGACCCGATAGCGTCAGGCCTCAGCCATACATGGTCAACTGCTCAATGGCCCGATCCATCTCCTCAGTACTGGTGAGTACATGATTGACGCTCAGGCGCGCAACTTCGTGGGCGAGTTGTTGTTGGTTCTGTTGTTGGTCTTTGTCATCGTCGTTGTCGTCACCTATATCACTATGGTTCAAACCTAAAGATTGGTAGACCTCGGTTGCTGCGTTGGCTTTAGGACCATGCTGGCTACCAGGACTCAACAACTCTAGGTGCTCCTCTCGTAGTTTTCCTCGCGGAATGATCTTGGCCACTGGTGGAGGTTGGCGCAATACCGGGATGCTGGCAGTATTGGCATCACTGTGACCCCGGCTGACTGGGGTTTGGGCATTGGTTTTCTTAGAAGAACTCAGTGGAGCCGGCTTCAAGGTCGCAGAAGAAGGTGGGTCGTATTCATGGGGGTCAGTCATTGAGGCGTCGTCTCTAAGGGCATTGCTCATATCGGTCGATATAGAGCCCGTAGTAGAAGCCATGCTAGCGTTGCCTGTGCTGTTTGACCTGTAATGCCCGTGTTCGATGGGATTGTCACCTTCTGTCCTTTGGACCGGTAGGCCCGAGCTGGGAGTATTCCGCGTGGGAAGGTTCGTCCCTGCAGAGTTCTTTTCAATCACAGTGTGGCTGGTGGGAGTCTCTTCATCTGTCGTGGTACAGGAGGCCGATTCATCAGTACCACTGTAAGAGAACGTTTTGACTCCTCTGGCACGATTGATGGGTTCGAGGACCCTGACAATCATGTGAATCTGGTTGGCTTGCCACTTGATCTTCTCTTCCTGCTTCAAGATTGTTCCGTAGTATTCCTCGAGATCTTCGTGCAAAACCTTGATCAGGCCGATGTCATTGCTGTTCCATCTTCGGCGCTTCTGTGGCCTCGATGATGTCTTTTTCGGCGATCGAGGCCCCCGTTGCTGGGATTCGTCACTGGAGCTGCTCGGTCGCCCATTGCCGGTTCTTGTTGCTCGTTTAGTCTCTCTCGCCTTACCGGGACTGGATTGGACAGATGTAGAATCGTCTCCTCCTTTCAGACTACGAAGACTGGTCTTCTGTTTCAGGCTTCTTACAGGGCTCTGGTTGCTTGTCGTCACCTCTTTGAGATTTGAACCGGTCCGCGTATGCTTCTGATACTGACTCCCACTACGGCCATGCCCACCCCCGATGCTTGGACTCGGACTCATGGCGCCCGCTCGAAACCGGGCGGTGACAGGATCGGAATCAACGACGACAAATATGTTGCTTTGAGAAAGATGTTGGACAGGTCGACTATTTCGACGATGTTTTGATTTCGAAGATTGACGTACAGGACTGGTCTGGCTGGTACTGCTCTGTCGGCGAATATGAGGAGCATGACTGAATATGTTGGGTAGACTCGGGGGCCTAGAACTCGGGACAGCTGGAAATTGATCCAGCTGATCCGCTAGTTGCTCAGGAGAGCCAGGGACATCATCATCGGTCACCGCGGGTAATATAGTCCGGTGATTGGCTGCCTCAATACTTCCGGCACAGTCAGACTTTGGCGAATGGCTCCTTGAACTGGCAAGATCCCGCATTCGTTTTTCTCTGACTCTATCTGCTCGGGGGCCAGAAATTGTGTGACGGTTGAAGGAACGAGATGACGATAACGAACTCCGTGATGCTTCTCTCCTGAGAGAACTCAACGATACTAGATCTGCCGAATGTCTTCCGTCGGTCCTTTGCTTAGCCTGTGGCATCGGTGACACTGGAGGACTAGACTGCCATGAACTGCGCAGGAGCTGAATAGCTGACTCCAATTGAGGTGGCTGTGCTTGCATATTTGACTTTTCTTTGCTACCACGCCGACTCTCCGTGGAAGCGCTGTGTTGAGTGGTTTCAGTCTCCCACTTTGCTTCGGCTGGTAAAGCTGGCAGTGGACGTTCGGGAGGTATACTTGTGGGTCCATCACTCCTTGTTTCGGAGCTAGAGAGAGTGATTGTCTTCGGTTCTGGGTGGGAGACAACATATGAAATGCCTCGGACTTGAGCCTCGATTCTCGTCATAGTATCGGTGCTCATCGCCGACCTAGGACTCAAGGCAGGCTGACCAGTAGTAGATGCCACCGAAGGCATGCGAAGCAGCCAGCGTGACTGGCTTGAGAATTGCGTCCCAGGTGTATCTGTGTATAACTGTCCCTGGGCACTTGTTGAAGGATCACTATTGGTTTCCGAAACTTTTGGGAAGTCTGGTGATTTTGACGTCTGCATATCTACTAGGCTAGCCAAAGCCTTGCTGGAACCTCTTGCAGGCGGCTGAGGCCTTCGAGGGGTAGTGTTATTGGATGCTGTTGTCGTGAGAGTGATAGCCGGGATTGACCTTGGCCCGCCCACTGTCCGAGAAGGCGCACATGCAAGGGCATCCTGTATGGAGATCTCCTGATTATGGTATTCAGGTACCTCTGTGTGTTGCTGCACCGAGAACCGTTCATCCTCATGCATTTTGCCCACTGCTGGCAACACTGATGCGGCTGGCAACAACCAATCTCGGTTAAAGTCCACGGAGTTTAAGATCGCCATGCACTCTTCGGAGAATCTGCTATCTTTTTCGGGATCGTGGAGCGACGGGATTGGCGAAGTTGATTGCAGGATTTTAGAATCGTCTCGCTCCTCAGGATGGCCGGCTGAATGAGTGGACGGTTCAACCACAGCCACGGTATCAGGCAAGGCAGGGGTCTGCCGCGCTGTAGCAACGTGCGCTTGTAGCCCCTTGTTGCCACCTCGCACTTTGGCAGGAACTGGAACCCTGTCTGCTGTCCGTCCGCTCTTTGTATCTCGATGTTTGGCCGGTGCCACCCTCCGGTTTAGTGGTCGTTTCCCGAAGCACTTCCTGGAGCTTCTATGAGGAGTCTTGGCCACGGTTGCTTTGACAGTCTTCCAATACTGGGTCGGGCTAGATCGACAGAGACCTTCGTCCTGCAAAGTAGAACTGCTCCGACTGACAAGCCGTGAACGTCGAGGCCTGTCAACATTTGATCTTCGGACGACAGGCTTCTTCAACTGTGCGCGCTGTTGTTCGAATGACACCTCCCTCATTGTTAGGATCCTGTCATCGTTATCTTCCTCTCGCTGGTCCCCAGGAGGCACAGGAGCTTTGGGCGGTGGAAGAGGTGGAACTGATTGATTGGAGCTATGCATCTTTGCCCATCGTTTTGATTGCTGGAATTGAGGAATACGATGTCTGGCATTTCGCGGAGACGTCCTCAGCCCGTCGTATTTCCGCACAGTAGGGCTCGGGCACGGCTCAGTGTCTGTCCGGCCAGGCTGTTGGGGGCTCTCAATCGTGACCTTGGGCAGCTCCGGTAGGCCCTTTTCAACCAATCTGGCTGGCAAACAAGAGCCTTGGGATTCATGACTGTGCGACATATTATTGCTTTGCAGCCGTGATTTGAAGGGGAAATGGCCGAGGCTGATCGCGATACGAGACGACACAAGTCTGTCGCATGCGATTCAGTCAATTCGCGCGGCGTTCTGATAGAGGACAACGTATGGAACAAATGCGATCATCAATTGTACCGTTGGACGCTGCAAAAGGTGTCCCAGGGGGCAGCTGCGCAACGAAAGAAATGAGGGTGGGTTCCCAGTTTTGCATGAGGGTCAAGGCGTTCATGGGAATCTAGCGAAGGGAACATTCCTGATTTATGCTTGACCAAAAGACGTGCTGTAGCCAAAATAAGACAGAAGAGGGGACACCTGCCAAGGGAGAAAGTAAACGACGCGTACCGACGTAGAGCACTCTCAAATCCTGCAAAGGCTGGTTTTCAGTCAGACAAGGAGGATGGGGAAGATAGACACATCCACCTGGCTGCATGGCCGACTGCTGACTGCGAGATGTCAGATTCTGGTGTGTGCGCGCATGTGGATGAGGCATGGATCATGCATGGGCCAGGTAAGGGACTCGTTGAGTTCAAGTGTCAGAAATGGGTCCAAGATGTTGGCGTCATTTTTGACGGGTAGCACCAACCAGCGATACCAATGTTCGATGACCCTTCAGCGTATGAAGTCACGGCGGAGCGAACTTCAAATAAGGTTCTTGACTCCAGATGGAATCTCTCTGATAACGGCATAGGAACAGAACCCTTGACAGCTCTCCTGCCGGGTGGCCCTTCAGATCCTCATCGACACCAGAGGTCCGGATTGATGTCGCATTGAAGCAATCAATGTCCCCAGCAGTCGAATGTGCGCGAGGGTGCGCATGCATTCGTCGACAAGTTCCGGTGCGAAGCTGGCCATCGCTTCATACTTGGGGATGATATCCGAAGTTTTGCTGAGAGACAGAGCCTCAGTGGGCACGGTGGATAGATCTAAGCGATTGAGACTGGTCCGCTGATGGGTTGATAAGGTGGCCTCAAGGCTCAAGGGGGGTTGGTTTCAGCCACAATAAGGACCGGCGGGTGACGGAGGCAAGGGTGAAGCCGAGCTAGTGGCCACGATAGCTTTGGAGAAGGCGCTTCATCTGGGATCAGCCCGCACGGTACCGCGCCCGTGCTTAGTACCGGCGTGTTTAATACCGCGAAAGAGTATGAGATACTCCGTACTGGCTATCCGTACTCCGCTGACTGGAAGCCGGTGTGGGCGAGAGGATGTTGGCGGGGGAGATAGCGTTCTCTAAAGCGCCAACTTTGGATCTTTCAGGCATGCAATATTGTGGGATAAAGGCGTCTATTACGTAGGTGTAGGTTATTTTCTGTTTTTTCCCAGCCCTTCGATTGGCCTCCCGAGACAGCGCTGAATTTGGGTGGCGCCGACCGGGTTTCCGATTAGGCGTTTGGTTGTAATGGTGACTTGATTACTGAGGGGCAGTGGACAGTTGACATGCTTTGGCCTTTCCCTAGGGGTTCTCCGGATGCCCTGGTATGCCTGCTAGCTGCCTGTGGGTTCATCAGTGTTTGGTCGGCCATTCATTCTTCTCGTAACCTGGAGTATACTCTCCCCCCCCGGATGGCTTTGGCATGGCAGTGGGACAGGAAAACATGCAGGGACTCGAGGACTCCAGGAAGGGAGATAGATTGAGTTCATGACGAGTAGGTAGCTTGGTATAGAGGGCTCCCAAACGGACTCCGTAGAACAAGTGGTAACTAGGGCCCCTGTTCAGTTGTAGTGGTGCGCAGACTAGGACAGAGACGTTGTGCCACATCCGCTTGCGAACGATGGTGTGCAAGCAGTAGATTGTACGCAGCGACAAACGAGCGAAAGAGGAGGGCGGACGAGAGATAGAGAGAAGCGCGTATAAGTGGATTGAAGGATAATGGTCGATAATGTTGAATACTGCATAATGAGTAATGGTTCATGGTTAGTGACGCAGTGCTCCATACCTAGTGAACCACTCTGGCAGATGCTGGCGTTGGCGTTGGTGTTGGCGTTGGCGTTGAGTGTTGACCTCGATGGTCGGGTTGAGGTTGACGCTGCTTTCAGAGCGCTGTTGCCGAGTTGGCCATGCTTGTTGGCGCAGGTGCTCTGCCACCTGTCCATCGTCTCTCGTCTCTCCTAATCCCGATCCGATCCCTTCTGTTCTCCTTCTCTTCTCCGTACATCTTACCTGCGCTAATGGAACATGAGCAGGACCATGACTTTAGCCGGAGTCTGGAGTAATATCCATACACACGAGCAACTCCTTGTTCGCCATCCAAGCCTCACTTCTGCCGGTCGACGTCTCTCTCTTCTCCAAAGCCATGATCTTGCAGGCTTGCCGTCATCATTTGCCTCTGGAGGGTCATACTTTGACAGATAAAGAGCTTGCATACACGAGTCTCCTTCCCCGACGTCAAAATCCTTAGCTCTCCTTCCTTCGACTACCCCTGTCCCTGCGCTCACCTGCAGTGACCTTTAGCCGCAAACCTGAGCGCTGATCCTTTTCAATTTTGTCATAGTTGTCCTCCGCTTCGACAACACCTACAACCTTTTGTCCAATGGCCTTCCTTCGGCTATCTATCCGAACAACCCTAACTTATGTACTACCTTGAGTCAAGTCGAGTCGAGGAGAGCTGACATGCCTTCAATTCTACTCTCGCTTGCCACAAGACCATGATGAAGCGGTGCCGTCAACGCCGCTCAAGGGCTGCCAGAGACTCATCCTGCAACTTCTACCAATAACTGTCCCTATTTGTTGTCAGCCAGCAAGCTTCGCTAAGCCGGAAAAGAAGCAGCGGGAAGGAAGCCGCCTGTCTCTCCCCAGGAGACACACAAGCTGTTCAGATAGTAGACGGTCGTGCAAGACCGTGGTTGAACCATCTGAGAACAATACAAGGTTGCCTCGACTTTCATTCTCCAATTTGTTAACAGACGCTGGTCTTAACCGAGGCATCAATTCGACGAAGATCTATGTTAAGCATATGTGCAGGAACCCACGTGAATTCATGCATCTTTCACATGGAAGCCGATCAGGCCGGCAGGTTCGTAGAGGAACTGTCCTGTCAGGCCTCCGGTGATCCCCGTCGTTGTTTCACGTGTTGATAATCTGTTGATCTCTCCTGTTGATCAAATTAAGACAGCTTCCACGATCCACAAGTACTAAGGAATCCCAACTTCCGGTGTGTTCAGGAACCGATGTCCAATACCCACATATCACATATTCTGCAGAGACAACTAATCATGTTCATGGGAGCCAAAGATACGACGAAGAATACTCCTCGGCTTGGAGTGTTGTCTCTTAATATTCCCGTTAGCTGTTTTGGGTTGATCAATTTCCCTAGTTTAGCCATGGTTGCAAACCACGCCTTCGAACATCAAACCCACACAGTCACCCGTATGGTTATTCCTCGCTACGCTGACAGGGGTGGGCAGTGGACCTATAGTTCGACATCGACACGAGTCAATCCTCCATAGCAGATACGTTGTTGGCAAGAGGTCGATGGCAAAGAATTGTCCTCTGCAACTAGCAGCAACCAGCTTCAACCACCATGGCTTAAGAAGGCCTATGGATGTCAACCATTGTTTGCTATTATGATTGATGGACTTAGCATAACCCTCCCTAATTTATCCACTCTTTTGAGGCGCAGCGCTGGGTTAGAGCTGAGCTACAGGTCGAGGCAGGAGTACCTGCAAAGTCAATGTTGTTGCTCAACCAATTTCCCCCTGTTCTATGGCCCTGCGAAGCAATCCCCTGCAGAGCTATGCGAGCTGTTTCTCTCCGGCGCAGTCTTAGTGCACCCACTTGGCCGGACTACATTTCCAGTAGGTCATCATTAGATGAAACTCTAAGGTGAAGAGGTATCTCGGAGCATACCTTTTGGTGTCCAAGCCAAAAAGAACTGCCTCAACGCTACAACATCCTGTCACGAAAGGCTAGGGTGGCCCTCAGCCGGTTAGGGACCGCTTGAAAGCACTCGATATTCCAGCACTTTATTCCCAGAAATCTGGACCTTCAGTCAACGCTACTGTAGATATTGCTATACGGGGATCACCCGCAATAATACCACCTGTGTGATCTCGCGTCTGGCTGGACGCTTGCTTGGATGTTCCGAACGGCCGTTCTCGCTTTACGGATTGGTCCTCACTTGTCTCATACCTGTTCAGGCCAGCGGGTCAATGCTACATCCTACAGGCACCAACCTGCTCAGGCAGCACGATTCATCATCACAGGAAGAGTCATACAGTAAGTCCACTGGGCTGAACAACGGAGGGTGTGTGTTTCCTCCAGGCTCTACCAGATGACCTATTATTCGGGGAATAGCATGTTAGTTGGTATACAAAAGGTAGCAGATCTTTGTAATCGCCGCAACGACAACGATCCTTAACATACTTCAGACAAGAGAGACACCGAGTGGAGCTTAGCGCACGGGTTTTCTGCATCATCACGTTATATTCTTCCAGCCATTAATCGACAAACTTGAACATCCATAATGGTAACGATGTAAAAGCAGGACAGTTCGTTGGAGATAATCATTGTTCATCCTGAATTGCGCCCATCTAAAGCCCATATCTCCGTCCCATCATGCAGCACCAGCAGCGTAGACCCTCTCAGGCTCTGTGCTCTCTTGGCTCTTAGAGGCCATCATGTTTCGGATCCCTTGGGTCAGCTCAACGCCCACCCTCTCCTTGGCCAACAGATCCACCAGCAATGGACTAGGACTGCTCTCTCGTTGGGGTTGGAAAGCGGACTGACTCTGCTTATATTTCTGCACGTTGTCCAGGTACATGTCGAACAAGTAAGAAGAATCAAGCGGACCTCCCTTGGCCTCGGGATGGAATTGGGTAGAGAAGATCGGCCGAGATGCATGGATCAGACCTTTATAAAAGACGTAAGTAATTGTCATTTGATCGGGAATGAAAGAGTGTTCTGGCTAACCTTCATTGGAATTGTCGTTCAAGTTAATGAAGTAAGGTTTCCAGTCCGGGGGTAGGGTGGAAACATCAACCGCATAGCCATGATTCTGACTCGTGATATGGCATTTTCCTGTTGTGAGATCCAAGGCAGGGATATTGTGGGCTCGGTTACCATACTTAAGCTTAATGGTTCGGGCCCCAGCAGCAAGGGCCAAAAGCTGGTGGCCCAGGCAGATACCCATGATCGGGACTTGGGAGGTCTCCATCAACTTCCGAAGATGGTAGACAGTGTCCTGGCAATGAGTTGGGTCACCGGGACCGTTGGAGATGAACACACCATCGAAGTGGTGAGCAACCTTGTGAATGGGATAGTCGAAAGGAAAGGCGGTGACGCTGGCACCTCGACTGACCAGACTACGGAGGATATTCTCCTTGACACCGCAGTCGATGACAGCAACGTGGGCAGTTGGAGAAGGAGCGCTGACATGAAATGGCGCCTTGGTGCTGACTTTGCGGACAAGATTGATTTGCTCCGGATCAACGAACGCCTCATCCTGATCCTGGTCGTATTCTTCTCCAATGGTTATTCGGGCAAGACTGGAGCCTTCTTCTCGCAGGTAGGTAACGATAGCGCGGGTGTCGACCCCGGTGATAGCTGGGACACCTTCCCTAGCACACCACTCGCTCAGGCTTTCGACCGCAGTCCAATGAGAGTATCTTGCTGCAACATCCGCCACTACCACACCCACAGCCTGGATATGAGGGCTTTCAAAATATTTGAAGAGGCCATATTCGTCTCGAACATTCGACGGGACACCGTAGTTACCGATGAGAGGTTGAGTAAAGACCAGAATCTGGCCCCGGTAGGAGGGGTCGGTGAGTGACTCAGGATAGCCAACCAGGGATGTTGTGAAGACAGCCTCTCCTGAAATATTGCTTCGCGCACCGAAAGAAGTGCCTTGAAATATGGGACCATTCCGAATAGTGAATGTGGCCGGCTCGAAGGAGGGAGTAGTGTGTCGATATTTCTTGTGTAGAGGCAGTTGCTGCTCTCGGGGGGTATTGTTCGAGACCGTTGCCAGAGGTCGAGCTCGCAAGGCCTTCGAAGTGTTCGACAAGGTCTTGGTTGCCTTGGGCAAGAGGGTCGTCGGCCTCAAAGCTTGAGAAAACATTTTGGATTGGTATGTCTATCCTGTTTCCTCCAGACCGCTAGTTTGCTTGAGCTTTCCACAAATGATCTATCGTAAGGGTTAGAAAACAAATCGGGAGCGTGGAGGAGAGTCAATAGGTACCACTAATGTAATCCTATCAATCCATGAATTAGCAGATGTCCAAACAATGACTCCGATGACGTTTTTCCTGGCGTCAAACGAGAAAAGAGGTGCTTATCAGTGGGCGGGCGCGGAGCAGATATTTACCTGAGAGGTGAAGATGCTTGGGAAGCACATGAACGCGATAGCGACTCTTCAGAAGCAGCAGCAGCAATGAAAAGGAACCTCTTTAGTGCGCTGGAGGCGGAAGAGGAACTAGAAGCAAGGCTTTCTGCACGAAATTCTTTTCTCTGCAGCACGAGGTGTGGAGATGGAACTGCAGAAGATTGGTGGGAGAAGAAAAAACAGGTGCAGCTGGCGCAGTGGGCGCGGAGTTGACTCTTCGTCCAATTAAGCTTGTCGGAATGGCGCAAGGGGAAATTTCTGTTGCTCGTGACGAAAGAGATGCATTTTGCAGGTGATCGAATTGACGTTTTCCGGGATCTGCACCATCTTCAGGGAGGCATGCTACGTAGATTCCTCTCCTGTGGCATTCAAGAGAGAGTAGTATATTACAACATCTTACATTCCTAAACTGTGGCGAGGTTAGGGGTGTTCTCGTTGAGGTCTGGAAGAGTTCTCGGACAGTCACGTGACATATGTCATAGCACGTGACTAGATTCGTCCGTTCGAGAACAGGCGTGGCCCAACTTTGCCTTCTCTAAAAAGGAGTTGACAACACTAGAACGCATTGCTGGGTCCAAACAGCAGTGATTATCCTCATTGCTGAGATCTCCCCCGCTGACAACGCAGGATGAAACACCTTGTTTAATCAGCAGTGTGGTTGAACTTCAACAACTGGACCAGAAGATTCCACGAGCAAACTTGAGTCATCACTTGCTCTCTGAGGAACGAATATTTCCTCACGCCAACTGCCTCATGAATTTCTAGATTGCTCAAAATCGAACCAATATGTCTGACGAGGGCTCTGAGACCATCACAACTCTACCTTTCCCGCCGGTCACTGCCGCGCATATTCTGAACTGTTCGTTTCATTCGTGGCACCCACTTTTTAGGCCTTTGACACCGAAGGCCAGACTGATTCCATTATCGCCACCATTCCTGGAGTACCTCCGAGCTGATGGCATCTTGTTGCCTCCAGACAACAGTCCAAATGATGCGGATAGCGGCTTCGAAGACGAGGAAGAAGAAGACCCGTCAGAACCGTGGTCGGATATCCACGAGCGGATTCGGTCAACCATTTACGAACTTGGAGGAAAAGTCGTCCCTAAACTGAACTGGTCTGCCCCAAAGGATGCAACATGGATGGCGACCACAAACGACATGGAGTGTCGGACTCCGAACGACATTTACCTCCTTTTGAAATCTAGTGACTTCGTCACTCACGACTTGGAACAGGCCTTCGACGGTTGCATCGATCAGGCTGAGATCCCGTACCACCTTGTACTGCGGAAGTCTTTCAACCTCAATCCATCATTAGAGTTTCGTTGTTTCGTACGGAAGAGGAAACTTATTGCCATCAGTCAACGTGAGATGAACTATTTTGAGTTTCTTTTCGAGCTGAGACAGTCGTTTAAGGCCAAAATCCAGGATTTTCTAGAGCGCCTATCAGACTTTCCGGACGCGAATTTTGTGTTCGATGTCTACATACCTCCACCACATGATCGGGTTTGGCTCATAGACATCAATCCGTGGGCCCCAAGGACAGACCCTTTATTATTTTCGTGGCTCGAGATACTACAAATCCCTGAGCCAGAAAAGGATACTATCTTTGATCCTGAATTTCGACTTGTGCAACGCGATGACCCCGAGGCGTATCAATTCGCAACCACGAAGTACAGCGCTCATAAGCTGCCGAAAGAGGTTGTCGACGCGAGCATGGCGCCAAGCGAGATGAAGAACATGATGGAAGAGTGGAAACGTGTGATGGAAAAGCAAGTCGACGAGGATTCAGAGGATTCAGAGGACTCAGTCACTTGAACACAGAAGCTCTCGTAACACTGCGGCCGTGGCATTGGAGAGACTCACGCAATTGCAATATACCATGTGATGGCAAGACGGAGTGTGACCGTATATGCAATCCAGCCGCTCCCTTCAAAACATTTGAAAACACGATAACTTGTGGCATGGCGCGGTATGACAGGGCGGGGCCACCATGATGCAGAGTCCTAGTCACAAGCTGCCATACTTTCTACTGGTTTTATGGCCACTCAAGCTTCTCCTGCAGACTTCACACTAATGTCACCTTCCAATCTGGACCAAAACAGTCAAATTCTGCCCCATATTGTCAGAGCTCGTGACACAAAGGCCAGCCCTTGCCGGAATACACCCTTGCTACGAGTACTGACCTAGCAAAGATCGAATCATGATGATACAGACGGGTGGGAATCTCGACACGAGTCTTCGGAAACGAACTGCAGATCAATACTGTGGAGAAGCACACTCCGAGACACCGCCTGATGCTGCAGTAACGCAAAGGTGGTTTCTATTATCTCATATCGTCAACAAGCATCGTGTTAAGATGCTGCCCCAATCGCACAGAGATGAGTCCCTCGAATTTGTTTCCTTTAGGTCGGCGCGGCGGAGCGCTCGATGCAGTGCTCTTCATGACACTCAATTCTAGTCCTGGGAAAATTTCACCCCCTTTATGGACCTGTTCAACCACGTGTATGAGGATCTGTACTTCTGATCTGTATTTCTCTCAAGCCGAAGAATCCACAGACCTGCCACAATACAACGCTGCTCAACATACTTCACAGCGATTCACGAGCTCTTGCGCCCTCATCTGACGCCCTCTCACGACCAAGGCTGTGCTCCACCAACAGTTCTACGTTAAACGCCTGTGAAAGGGGTTTGTCATGCCTTACGCTCGCGTATCAAAAGGGAGTTCCATCTCGACACAGTGTTCCTCAGTCTGGTGGTTTGGTGCATCTTCTCTGCAACCCGGTATCACCGCACTTAGGTCGGTCGGCACTTTGTGCTTCAAGCCAACACGCTGTGCCACTCGAGCACCAGACGCCTTTGTATGCAACGAGGTCTAACATGGCATCAGACAAATCTCGCAGAAGCACCTTCAAGTCATGGCCGTTGCTTGGATATTGCACGTTGTCGACAATCGTTGATCCTCACCGTTGTGATTGTGTCGGGGCAATAGGCAGTCGATTGTGGATCTGGCTCAAGCTTGCGCGAATATTTCTCAGGTACAATATTGCGGTGAAGCTGATTAGATACTATTTTCGAAAAGAGTGCGGAAAGATGGTTCACTTCGTTGGCCGGCACCAAACACCTAGTCCAGCTGACCATCACGTTTGCGGGACCGACAGTCACACCGCAGACTTCTCTGCCTCACCTGAGATCATGGAATCTGTGACATAAAGGCTGTTCTCTGACCCAATGAATTCTTCGTTCACACAAACTTCTGGCCAATTTCTTAACGATGTCGAGCTTAACGCTAGATCTTGGGGGCTTGCCTCCTCTCCTCTGACGGCGGCCTCCACCAAAAGTCGTGCATGTCTCCCATGTTGACGGCATATGGCATAATGTGGCGGTTCCATACATGATCCCTACCCCTACATTCGAGTGCGAGCCAACTGCGGCCCCAATTGCAAATGGCCTGCCGAATGATTCACAGGTGGGAGCGTTGACTGGTACGGAGTAGGTATCAATTAGTGCACCAGCGTATGTCTACGGAATACAGAATACGTACGTACCTGAGGCTTAAGGCTTAGGGGCTTAGGGGCTAGTGATGAGGTGCGCCCCAGGCGACCTTAAAGGCATCCAGGCCTAGGCAACGCATTCTCTGGTTTGGACAGGCGACGACTCTCTCTAAGCTTGTTGCCCGACCCCTGCGCTGCATGAATACCTTAAGGTAGATATAATTATATGACTTGCATCCATCTGTGCCGTATGCTGTGTTGCCCGGACCGGCACCCTTAGCGGTGCAATCATAAGGTGGTGCCTATGGGGTACGGAAGCTAGCTGACTTAGTACCTAAGGTAGCATCACCAGTATACATATGGATCAGGAGCAATATCGAGGCCTCTCGGCGCGATGAATATGTTGCTGGTGCTTCTCTTAGGTGCACTGTCTGTAGCCTCTCTCTATTTTATAGTCAACACTCGACATATGATATAAATGTCAGACGATCGCTCCTTTTTCTATGAAACTCGCTTTTTCTTTCCGGCGCTAGGGTCGGGGGGAGGTGGGAACACACGGGAGGTAAGGCAGGGATCGTTGTCTGACCTTCCAAGGTACGGATACATGCACTTACACAACAGCCTTGTGCACGTCGGTTCTCTGTGTCGCTTCTCTCTTTATGGCGGAGCGTTCGAGAAAGATAGGGGGCGCCACTCGAAGTCGATTACCTTAGAAGGTGCTAGGGCCACCACAACATGCCTTGTCTAGGGGTTCTGTTTCGATCTCTCCCCGTCGTCTTCTTCAAAGTTCGGTGAAATATTTTGCTCTGGGGTGGGTGTATACGATTCGTTGGGTTTGGATGAACGCTAATTGCTGACCAGTATCAGTCGTTCCTCGTGTTTGCCTTGCATCCTCCTAGCCTCCTGCGCGCGTCGCCGAGTGACAAGTGCCATCCATTTGGGCACGATCTTTGACGGAAACATCTATGGTGAGTAGCCACTCCAGTCAGAGGGATAGGGGCTTCCCGCTTCAGGGCGGGATGTCCGCTTCATTTCTTGGGCAGCAACGGAGAGTGCGCGTGACTGATTTGGATGTGTCGAATAGCCCCCAAAACCAGCCCCGAGAAAGCCAGCGGTGTTCCTTTGGACGTGTGTGGGTGCTCCGCAGACTCTTCTTTGCTCGACCGACGCTGACGAGAGGACTAGTGTCGCTGTACACGTTCTAACATTCCAATCAGGAGCCAAAAGTGCCCTAAATGCGGCCAAACAAGGTGCCAGACATGCAAGACAGAGCGGCTGAAATAGAACATGAAAGCCCGCCGCATGCGCCCGATCTACTATCCAAAAGTCTGTGAGGCTGCCCTGTGTGGCTTGCTCTGTACATATTATACTTCCAAGGACTGCGATGGCAGTCCATGTCCTTCTTGTTTGCTAAAATCTGAAGCCTGCCGCAACACAAGCCCCTTGGGCAGACTGATTATAGCCGTCCATTTATACTTGTGGACCCCTAGCCCTCTGGGGCTCCCTTCTCACTGTCCTGCGCGTGTGTCTCCCGGTGCAGTCGACCTCGAGGGCCTTTGCAGTCGTTCACTTCATCTGTTCTTGATTCCAGCTCTCCTCTCGGAGCATCTTGACATATCTGACATGATGGAATATCGCAGCGAGGAGGAAGACGAGGAAGCGGGTTGGGAAGATGTTCGAAAGTCACGCATTGTGTCAAAGAGGCTGCCTCTCCAATGGAGTCCGAGGTTCACGGAGAACACGAGATCTAGCGACTGGGTGAACAATGACAACGAGGTGCCTTGGATTGAGTTAAGAGCCGAGATGAGGAGGCAAAACGGAGAAGTAAAGGGGGATCGAAATGAAGACGAGAGTGCGATTTTCGACTTCCTCCAGGGCCCCGATGAGGTGGACAGCTGTATGCCTCAAACCGACAGACTCCTCAATTTCCTTCATGGCGTAGATATGAATGCGTTGCGTGCAGAGACATGGAGTAGACAGGAGCTGCCCGAGGTAGCCTGGGTTGATGAGAGCAGATTCAGGGACGGGTTCCAGCGCTCGAGGCCCAACGAGGGTCTTTTGACAGCACACGGTCTTTACAAGCTGAGGAAAAGAGTAAGTCAGGCTGATACCTCCCAGTCTGCTCCAGCTGGCTGCGGGTGAACAAGCTCAAGCTGGAGCTGGAGTTGGAGCCCAAGATCTCCGTTGACATTATTGGCAGCGCTTTCCAATTGGGCAGGGCGGCAGTGGTGGCAGTAGTGGTTCTGATTATCAACCCGAAAGGGTTAGCCCTGGCAATCACGGACGGGCCGCCGCGGCACATGCATCCGCTTCCGCAGTCGAGCCACAGCCTGAGCAACCACAGCTGCAACTGCAACCAGAGCTGCAACTGCAACTGCAACTTCTGCAACTTGAACTCGAAGCCAAGACTGAGGCGCAAGCGGCCCTAAACTTGAAGTCCTCTCCCACCAGCGCCGACTTGAGCCTGCGCCCTTCCCTGAGATCTACCTCATGCTCAACCGACGATCCTCACGATCCCGACGCTCCTGACACTCCTGCAGATGAGGCGGTTGAGCCAGATTCTGACTGTCTAAAGATGTATGTGACAGACTCACCCACTGGTGTCTTGGCCTAATGTGATTACTTGCAGATTTGTCCAAAATCTGGATCCATGGGTTGCCTATGCTCTCATTGGCACCGCTTCTTACGTCGAGAAGAGCGCTTTTCGCGATGCCCTTGACCGCTACCTGGCCTCAGAGCCGTTTGTGGGCGTGACAATCCCAGTATGACCATCTGTTACTCCCGGATTGCGATTCTGCAATGCTAATGAATTAGGCTCAACCTTGGCCTGTATTTCGGCTGGAGTTGCACCTCCCATTTCCAGTGTGGAAGCAGTCGCAAAACCCGCATGAGGATCCGCGGCGTGGTCTGGATGGTGAGCCTCTGAGAAATTACAAAGACGTCAGTTTTCTCAACTGGGAGGATGGACCAACTCGCGAATACATTTATGAGAGCCACGTCACTTTGATTGTAGTAGGGTCAAACGAACACGCCTGGGATGCTGTTTGTTTCGAGGACAATTACTTCGAGCCACCAGACAGCAAGCATAGCGTACGGGACGCTTACTATGACAGTCTAGGCCAGGATGGCATGCCCGTGGATCCTCTATTAGGCGACGACTCCGACTTAAACTTTTCACCCAGGAAACCGCGGGAGTACTTCTTGGCCGCCCTCCTAACCCGCACCAAACAAGTCAAACGCCACTGGCTCCAGATTGAAGCCAGACTGAAAAAGAGCAAAAGGATCTATGAGCGTGTGAGTGCTATGTCCCATCTAAATTTGACCCACAACACTCGAGGAACGCGCATTTGTTTAGCTTGGAGATCCGTTCGCGCAGACAACCTATTATTATATGGATGATAGAGGGGTTAGATAAAGCCTTCCCCTCAATCCACCGTCTTCAGCCGCTATTGAGCGTCATTGACTTTTGGAATAGCGATACCGCTCAGACTTATCGGAATTGAGAGGACGCCACCCCACCCAAGAAGCCGGCAATCGCGACAGAAATCTTCAAAGATTCTCGCATTGGGTCCAAGAAATCAGAGACCTGTCAACGCAACTGTCCGATGACATTGCCAAAACTGTTGATGCCTATAGGGATTTTAAGTCGGACCACGCCCGCATTTTCCATGATCTCGATGAATCTGGGTGTGGTGCTGAGAACCTCCACGAGATTCTAAAGATAGTGCGTGACTTGGAATTGCTGAAGAGGAATTTCAAAGCCATGGAAAAACGCTGTGAGGTCACCGCCAAGCGTGTGAGTATATGAGCTCCGACTACCTTACCCCCGTCCGACAATGTCCCTGAGCCGTTCGTCTGAACATTGCTGATCATTCCCCGGACGAGTGCAGCTTGACACCGACAACAATAATCGTCAAGGGAGGCTGGCACAGGCTAATAAGGGAATGGCAGAAGTCATGATGGTACGTTCCCAACTTCAAGTGTGTAAGAGGCGCGGGCTGAAATCGATCGCAGAAATATGTCACTCCTCTCGGATTAACAGCAGCCATCTTCTCCATGGATAAGAAGGTGCTGCCTCCTTTTATTCCGCAAAGTTCGCCGTCCTTTTTTATCATCCTTCTCGTATTATTCGCCTTTGCGCATTCTATCCACCTTCAACCAGCCAAGGTGGTCACCAGAATTGGATTTGTTGGAAGGAAGCTGAAGGCAGCGACCACGGAGGTATTGCTTGTCCGACAGTTGAACCTGAGACCCCCGTGGAACCTGAGACGCCGGCGGAATCCAGGAAACCAGGGAACAATTGAAGCTCTGATATGATTGCATGAGCCAGACAATCATTGCTTCTTCAATTCCGGTTGAGAACCCATCGGCGATCCTAACGGAGTCCCCTCGAATGCAGGATGGTTGACAGTGAGGTACCGGTCAATCCTTCTGCATTTGAGGAGTGATGGCCACCGATAATTTACTCTGGAAGCCCGCTTAGGCCCCTTGCTCGATGTAAAGCTATATGCGTCGGACAGAAAAACACGGATTGGCGACGCTCTGTGCTCGCGCCAACCTATACAACAATGGTTGAAGTCTCCGGTCGGCGCTGCCAAATTTCTCACCAACTCGCCCAGCGGGTAACAGCAAGTTCTGAACATCGGACATAGCAAGAAGAGGAGGCTACGTGGATTGCTTCGGCCATCATTTGCGGCCATGTCGATTTAAGGCTGGATGTACCGCTGACTCCCGACCAGGAGGCTGGGAGTTCTCCAGGAGCATGTTTGGACCCTAGGTGCGTGGATAGTCTTGGTGAAACCCCTGCAAGCTGTGCAATGGCAGAACAGCAGGTTCTCCCGCCGACAGACCGGCAATGCGCTGTCACCAGCAGGACGGTGTGACTTCCTTGGTGATCATTCATGCCCGACCCCGCCTAAATGGGCGTCCGAGCTGATTCGTCGCCCTGATTTATAGATCATCTGTGTTATCATGATAGCCGGGAGGCAGAAGCATCAATAAGAGTTCAAAGACCTCCTCTCCCGAGTCTCGCTCCTGTCCATGTACATGCCTTTTTCGGGCGCACATCGACACGGCCGCCATGTCGACACGGTCGTCCGATGGCCTTCAGGCTGTGCTTGAAGGAGTGGGAGTGCAGAGTCCAATTCCACAGTTCCCATTGGCTGATACGCAAAATAGTCCAGTTGATATATACCTGTCGTATCTTGCGGATACGCTGACCCAACTCACTGGATGCGAACCTTCCATCGCCTACGAGTCCATTCAATGGGCTAACGACGTGGGAGACCTCGTGGTGGTACTGCCACGGCTGCGGCTGCCGAACATCGACCCTAAAGTTCTATCTGATGACCTCCAGCACAATGTGAGCCTATATCTGCCTTACTTCCCCCGGCTTCACCGTGTGTGTCGGTCTTACATACGTGGTTACCGCCCTCTAGTTCCCGGACACGCCGCTTTATGCCGCTCCGTTCAGCGATGGATACAATCTTCGGTTCTTTTTCGACAGCTGCACCCTTGCGCAGGTGGTCCTGCCTTACATTATTGACCGTGGATCTGCATACGGGAAAGATGAGTCCAGCGGGTTCCGCGATCATGAGAAGCCGGACGCTGGGCGCAAGAAAGTCGTGGTGGAATTTTCGTCTCCGAACCTTGGTCAGGAATTTGACGGGAATCACCTCCGCAGCACCATCATCGGCGCATACATTGCTTCCATCTACGAAAGCATGGGATGGGATGTATGCCGAATGAATTTTCTCGGTGACTGGGGCAAGAACATCGGCCTGTTGGCCGTAGCATGGTTTAGATTTGGCTCGGAGGAGCTCTTCGATGCGGACCCGCTCAAACACTTGCTAGACATCTACACCAAGATCGGAGAACTCTTCAAGGCCGAGCAAGAAGCGGCCAAAGTGGACGGAGTGGAGAAGCCAGACGCACCCATCGGCGAGGAGAGAGATGAATTCTTCAAGAAGATGGAAGACGGCGACCCAGATGCAGTGGCTCTCTGGGAACGGTTCCGGAAGGTCTGTGTCGCTAAGTATGCCGAGCTCTACGCCCGTCTCAACGTTGACTTCGATGAGTATTCCGGCGAATCGGAAGTCAGGCATGAGACAACCGTCGAGGTCGAGACCGCTCTAAAAGAGAAAGGGGTAGAGGAGGAAGGCGATGAGGCTTGGATCATCAACTTCAAGGGTCATGGACTCAAAGGCCTTGGGAAGCCGATAGTTCGGCATCGGAACGGCACAACCAGCTATTTACTGAGAGACGTCGCCGCGGTTCTGGAACGGAGCAGGAAATACTCCTTCGACAAGATGATCTATGTTGTCTCGGCGAAACAGGACTCACATTTCCAACAGGTTTTCAAGGCATTGGAGTTGATGGGTCAGACAGAGCTCGCCGGCCGACTTCAGCACGTCAGCTTCGGCAAGTCACTGGGGTTGTCGCCCAATTCAGGCACCGGCGGCCTTTTGCTAGGTGATATCTTGGACCAATGTCAGAGTGCTGTTTTGGAATTCTTGCAGACTCACTCAGACGACTTTCCAGAGCTGCAAACTGGAGATGCCTCAGACGTTGCAGATGCTTTGGGAATCATGGCCCTCATGACCGAGGATTTATCTATCAAGCGTGCCAACAATGTCGTCTTCGATCTCGCGAAGATGGCCACTTACGACGGGTACACCGGCCTGACTTTACAATACTGGCTGGATCAAGTCCGATCGAAGCTACGGGGATTCACAGTGGACAGAGATAGCCTTATGAATGCCGACTATTCGATGTTTATGGAAGATGCCTACCTGCCGTTTGTCGACGTGCTCCGATTGCTGGTTCAATTCCCTGGAATTGTGAAGTCTTCTTTCCGCGCATTGGAGTCTTCCACCATTCTCAGCTATTTGTTCCGTCTGGTTGACCTCCTGCCTGCTGTGTGGGATGTGGAAACGATGCAGCAGGGAGAGGAGGTCGGCGACCTCGGCGAAGAACAAATAGAAGACGCATGGGGTGTGGCGGAGGCTGATCAAGGCAAGCCTGTGCCTAGCCTGGGAGAGGTTCCGACCGAGGACGAACCAGAGCAAGCTCACAAGGATGAACAGGGAGCGCAGACCGGGGAGGGTGCAACGCAAAATGCACCAAAGCAGGACGGGCCCATGGACGACGGACACACCGGAACTCAGAATGAAATCGAAGGGAATCTCCTGCAGAACGAACAGGAGGCAGAGTCTCAAGAGCAAACCGCCAAGACGGAGCCCATGGAGGCAGAAGCAAAGGAGGACCAATCTGCCCAGGGGCCCGAGGAACAGGACCCGGCAAAAGAAGACACCAAAGAGGAGAAGTCTCCAGAAGTATCCAAGAGCGAGGGTGAAGAGTTAGAGCACGGAATGGAACTCCTTCAGGTGGATGAACCTGACCTGGTTGAGGCGACGAAGAAACCTAGCGAGCCCGAAGACGAAGGAGTGGATCTAGCTGTCGATGATGGCGAGGTGGAGGGAGGAAGTGCATCTGAAGTCACAGAGCAGTACGAGAGGCAGGACAAAGGCAAGCAGAGAGCGGCCGAGGAAGAAGAGCCGCAGCTTTCCCCGAAGGTTCTCCTGAAAGTGGCCTTCTTTGAGTGTGTACGCCACGTCTTGGAAAACGGCATGCAAATGGTTGGCCTGGTGCCAATGTGAGTGTGCGTATCGAGTCACAGTGCTTTCGAATGGCTTTATTTCCCATCATCCCCAAGGCTAGCAAAGTCCTAGAAGCTGAAGGACTCCGAGAACCTCATCGCTGTCCCCTATGACGGTACTAGTACAGTACGACAGGCTCGAGTGACGGGAAGGGTCAAATCAACGTGGATCTACATACATATATCCAGCTAGTTACGCTGGTCACTTCGATGGCCTTCCTTTTTCTTTGTTTCTCCTTCTCTCTTTTCTCTCAGTAGGCCAGATCTGCCCATGATCCAGATTATAGCAGAACCGAACCCAGATCAAAACAAGATCTCTTATTGGAGGGCCGCTCAGTGCTGTCACCCTTATGTACCTAATGTACAGTACATACGGAGTACGATACTCTACCCGTGCACAATGCTGTAAGATCCCATCAACATATCAGATGCGTTGCACCTTCCTTCCGGCCATCTCATGCAAGAGGCGCCCGAGATCCCGGCCTGAGGCCTGCCAGTGCCCGGCGTCCCTCTAGACCTTAGGGCTAAGAGGCCTCCTTACCCCCTTAGCCCCTAAGCTCAATAGAGGCTTGCTCGCTTGGTGTTCTACATAGTTTCCATGATAGGCATCTTTTCCCATGTGCCTGCACACTCGAGTCTTGATGTATCCAGGAACTCCAGCACGAATCGGTACAAAGGAGACAACGCACCTCACCTCCCGCATCGCCCGACTCGAAGCCTGGCCCCTACTGCCTACTGCGCCGAGCCTGAAGAACAGAGCGCAGGCTTAGGCTTAGGCTTAGGCTTAGGCTACTTTGTACAAACGAAACATTGACGGGCACGCTGCAGTCTCGTCCGGCTTATTAGCCAGATTCCATGGAGGCTGGAGTTGATGGGTCAGACAGAGCTCGCCGGCCGACTTCAGCACGTCAGGCATGGACATAGCGAGTGGCCTTTCCTCCATGCAAAGCCAGCGACGCCTGCTGCAGGTAAGACGTGGGGGCCCCGGGGCTCGCCTCGCCAGCAATCATCGATGGATGGCGTGGTCAACCTGGTGTGCTGACCCGATGGCTGACTGGCTGTAGAGCGGCCACATGAACCCGGCGAAGGGAAGAGACTGTCGCTCCCTCTCCCGCTCCCTCTCTCGTTCCCACCATCAGTGATCCAGTAATTCAGAGCACTTGGACCGGCCTAAGAAACAGACTCGCAGTCTGTGGTTGCCTGGACGCCACGCTCACCGTTCGAAGCGTTCAAGTTGTCGTCAACACGAATAGATTGCGTTTGGGAACTCAGATTGGCGCCTTATGTTGGGCAGCCATACATTCTAGTATTCCGTGCTGTCCTCCATATCATGCCAAAACATTGTACTAATGCATGCCAGGGGACACCAAGCCCAATCTGTCTTCACGATCCTTGCACTCCTCCAGAGGACATTTGCTGTCTCTTTACGTTCGTGTCTGGGCCAATTGAAGTGATCAAAAGCTACTACCATTTGGCAACAAAATAGAAATAGACACAACCGACAATACAAGGAGAAGGGACAAAGGCATCTTCTTTCCATGTAATCTTGTCGGCGGTGCGGTGGAATCTTGCCACTCGACTCGTTCTACTGCGCTCGGGGGCCCATTCCAACCGACCCTTGAACAGATAGGATTCAATCGGGCTCGAAAAAGCGGGATGTTCAAGTTCGTTGTTATTTAGGCAGTCTCGCAGACATGGATTCCCACGAGCTAACGGGATGCAAAACGAACCCCTCCTTGGGCGAAGCGAAACCAGCCTCACTGCGTTGACCACTGACATGGCGCCACGCTTTTGAGCGGCACAAGCATCACGATGTGCGTCTTTGACCTGTACGCGTGCAAATGCATCAACCAGTGCGGCTCTGCAGATTGAGCAGACCCAAAGAGATGGTATTTGTGCTGCTACACCTTGAACCGAGCTCCCTCTCAATGTCTTCCTCATTTCAGACCACAAAGCTGTGGTATTGACCCTTGATCAGCTGGATTAACGGGTCACTCATGGAGGCGCAGCACCGTAGCCTCTTTATAAAGCAAGTCTCCCTCCACCAAGCGGAGGCTGTTGTCCTTTTTTCGCACTAACATGGCAATAGATGGTGTCAGAGTGAGCAGGTTGAGCTGTACGTGGGCGGACAAGATGGTCCCCTCAGTCGATTCCTAGTACCTGAAGAGCTCCTCCGCCGCCGGTCACGAAAATTCCGGGAGATGCTGGAAGGCCGCGTAAAAGAATGGAAAGCATGGCGTGTCAAGCTGCAGCTGCCTGACACCAAGGTCCAGACGATGGAGGATTTCTTCATCTGGACATTCTCGCCCCAGCCACAGATTGATCATGGTGCATTGTTCGATGACGTGGTCCGCCTGGGGATCTTCGCGTGGAAATACCAAATTCCGGCATTGAGCAACCAGGTCACAGACATGATTCGCACCAACCTGGCGAGCGGGGAATGGGAGCTCCTGGCCCAGACTGTCGATGACATCTATGAGGCGGCGCCGGCGGGCAGTCCGCTGCGAGAAGTTGTCCGCGCAGCTCTGGGGCGGGTTCGGTCCAGCGTGGAAGACAAGGGCTCGATCAGGGAGGAGTGGCGACACACAATGGTGAAACACTCCCAGCTCGGGGTGGACTATATCGAGGCCACACTTTCGGATTGGAAACGTCAGAACTACTTATCTGGTGTGTGCCGGTTCCATGACCACCAGGGGCTCACCAATCAAAATGGATTCCTTGCGGACGGTTGTCCATATGCCAAAGAAGACTGTTATCCAAGTTGGGAGGAGCCTGCCTTGAACGGGTTCAACGTCGAGGAGCAGGAGCCTGGCATTGTCAGCCCAGAGGCGAATGGCGGGGCGGAACCTCTAGATGCGATACCGGCTGTCGACGAGTATGTGCAGGGACTCCCAACTAAAGAAGAACCTGCTGTCGAGGAACCGACTCCAGCACCACCCGAGTCGCTGCCTGAAGAAGCACCCGCGGACGTGTTTGAAGAGGAAGCTGTTCCTATTGAGGAGCCTGTTGCTGCTGAGGAGCCTGTTGCTGCTGAGGAGCCTGTTGCTGATGAGGAGCCTGTTACTGCTGAGGAGCCTGTTGCTGATGAGGAGCCTGTTGCTGATGAGGGGCCTGTTACTGCTGAGGAGCCTGTTACTGCTGAGGAGACTGTTCCTGTTGAGGAGCCTGTTACTGCTGAGGAGCCTGTTACTGCTGAGGAGCCTGTTCCTGTTGAGGAGCCTGTTCCTGTTGAGGAGCCTGTTCCTGTTGAGGAGCCT